CTACAACTGGAGCCGCTGGGGCACGAACAGGGGGCTGAGGATGCTTGGCTCTAGGTTTGTCGTCGCTATCATCCTTCCCAGTATCTTCCAATTCTTCCGCAGTTTCAGCAGCTCCAGACATATCCGCTTCATTACCATCATCAATTGAAGGAATAGGCCCACGAGATGATTTGGTTCTTCGTGGTAGTGCACTTCCTTCTTCCCTTATGGAATCCATTGAAATGCTTCCTGGCCTATCCCCCGTGTCCGGTCGTTCTAAGCTAGCAGTATCACCCTCTTCGGTAGTTTCATGGGACTCTGTTCTCTTTTTCGGTGGGCGCTTAGGTTTTTCTTTCTTTTGTGCTGCATCCGCATGCCTAGAAGCTTGTTCCATTTGTTGTTTTTGCAAAAGAGCAATACGTTCCTTGAGACTTGTAGGCTTGGGTTGTTCCTCTTCATTATTGTTACCTGGAGAAGTTGGCGCCAATCCTGCTCGCTCAGCTTGTTCTTGATTCTCATTCTCTTTTGCTGCGATCTCGGGGTCCTCCTCGCGCCTGTAAATCTTTTGTGGCGGCGGCTCACGAGGTGTAGGAACATAAGCATCTTTTCTTGGAGGTGGGGCAACAAATGGCTTTTTGATGAAATTATTCGAACTTCCAGAACTAAAACCCGTGGGTTTAAATGGAGCTGGCGGAGGAGCAGCTTTGTTAAAAGCTGCAATACGATCCCGAAATGACCCACCGCTTGGCTTTTCACTGACAGGAGAAGTTGGTTTTTGACTTGGAGCTGGTCTTGTAGCTGCCGGTGTTGAAAGTGGAGGCGGGGAGGCGGGTTTTGGAACTTTAGCCTGTGGAGCCGGTTGAGTAGGAAGAGGAAGTTGTCTCTCTTGTACAACAGGAGCTTCGGGAACCTCTTCAGGTTGTGCTTCGGGTTCAGGCTGTGGTTCTGGTTCTCTCACTGGTTCGGCAGCGACAGCAGCAGGAGCTGATTCCGACTCCTTCTTTGCTCGATGGACACGCGTAGGTCTTGGTGGTGCCGTAGGCTCATACTTTTCCACAAAATTTCGTGGGAAGATACCTTCTTGTTTGACTCCTGATGTATCAACATATTCTCCAGCATACCAATCTGCATCTTCCTCCTCCGTCACGGTGATAATTTGACCATTCGGAAAGTGAAGATCATCTTCATGCGGTGACGTATATTCAAATATCGCCTTTACTTTGAATGGTGGAATGGACATGTTGAAGGTAAAGGTTGTGGTTCAGAGTTATTGTTGATGTTGTAACTCGGTCCCAACGAGTTACCAACCACCGAAGTCCGATTTTGTAATGGATGATGTTCGTACCAACCTAGCGGTGGATTGAAGGAATGAAACTTTGCCAGATGGAATACAATTGACACAACTTTTCTTTTGTAATATTGACTGAATTGAAATGGTAGAGAAGGGGGAGGAAAATGTCGGGAAATCTGAAAGAGGCGGGGCGGTGTTTGTATCTAAACTCTGCTAGTCTACGTCAGCGCATGAATGAAACGAAGTCATAAACGGGATGTATCTTGAAAGTTGACAACATATAAAAGACTTACCAAGAGGTGAGAATTCCCGAAGCAAAACTAAATATTAAGTACTGATTGAGTAATGTTCAATCTGTAGTGTGTAGTTCTTTTTCTTTTGTAAACAAGCAGGTATCAATACATTAACTAGTGATTTATTGGAGGGGAACCAAGGTATGTAGTAAGAAGGTTTGCAAGGCGGGCATACGCTGTATGGTTTGATTTGTTGCGCTGCCGTGGGAGATTTCCTAGATGACCTGTTGCATGATCTGGTGGGTAAAGAAAGCTTCCAAGTTATTCAATATTGCTTGAGCAGGTACTTTAGATGGATGTGGCACTTTGAAGCACAGGCACAAGCACAAGTTATGAGTGGGTGAACAAGAGTGGCTCAAGAGTACAAGGGTTTTTTAATCTGTCCACGGATTTGACATTGACTCTTTACAGCTCATTACTATTAAAGACTTAAATTAGATCTGAGGACAAGAAATGGATTATTATTCATTCCTTTCCAGTCGATAAATGATATGACATTGATTTCTTTCTTCAACCGAGCTACTTGCAACTACCGTAGAGTGCCATACAAAGCTCCCTATATTTTAGGCTATTATCGTACCTACCGCCTACTAGCTGCTTAGATTACTCTTAATCGGACTAATTAATCGATTATTTAGATCTACGATAAAACCATCAAACCTCATATCATATATCTTATCAAACAAAAAAGCAAACCTCAAATCTCATCAAATATAAACAAACCTCCAAACCTCGACCTACCCACAAACCAAAAATAAATACATAAATATGTCGACCCCCCAAAAGCCCAAATCAATCCTAAAGCAGACCTCCTCCTACCCCGCCACCTCCAACACCCCCAAACCCACCAATCTCTCACCCACAAAAACCAAAGCCGAGCGCGATCGCGAAGTAGCCCTCTACCACGCGCGCCTCATCCAAGAACGCAAAGAAATCGAGCTAGAAATCCTAACCTCAACCGAAGAACTCATTGATTTCCCCCTCGCATCCGCACCATACGATGCCTCCAACCCATCGCCGTCAGACGCACGGGCATTCAAAGAGATGCTTCGACCCTTTCAACCCAGCGATTACGATGCCCTAATTCTCGAGCGTAACCTCGATAGTCGCTGCGGGTATACGTTGTGTGCCAATCCTCGACCTCGGGATAATAAAGGGGGACAATGGAGATTGTTGGGGATGTCGGGAAAGGCAAAGGATTTCAGAATTGCTAAGAAAGAGGATGCGGAAAAATGGTGCTCGGATACTTGTGCCAGGCGTGCTTTGTATATTCGAGTTCAACTGAGCGAATGCCCGGCTTGGGAAAGAAGTGGTGAAAGCTCTGCTACGAAAATAGATCTACTGGATGAACCTAAGACGGAGGAAGATATGGTAATGGATGGAATTGGGAATTTGGACTTGAACAAACAAGAGGTTCAAGAGAACCAGAGAAAATCTGGAAATCTTGCATTAGAGAGGGGAGAAACTGGTCAAGGGTCTTCGAGGCATGTTACGACTTTCTCTATAGTAGAGAAAGAGGTCAAGCTGGGTAATGCCAAACCTCCGACGCTCGACTCGAATGATCTTTCTGAAAAGATGGGTACATTGCATTTGGATCTTGAGGGTCATACATCTACATTTAATCATAAGAGCAGATACGGAGATTTATTTGGAGAAGATGATGACGATGATGACACCGAAATGGATACAGATTGGAAAATATGATTGTATTATTTGGAGTTATGGAGTTCATCGCAGGAAGGAGTAAAATATGATACCCCAGAATTTGTCACTATCAATGGCATGGATTAACCAAACCAATCCTCATTGGTGAAGTTCAAAATCCAACTGTGATTCGACTTCCGTAGAGCAAGACCATAACCAAATCGAACACGCAAGACTTACCGCTAAACAGACGAACCGCATGTAGGAATCGCACATAAGAGCCAGAGCTCAATCTGCCTATGTGCCACCGTATGCATCAAGCTCACAGCATGCATTAGAATATCATCACATTCACGGAAATCGAAGGTTTTCCCGAAGGATGGCAATCAAGCCTCAACTCCTAAAGGAGCATCACGGGCGACACCTAGTTTGGGAGGAATTCTCTCACATTGATCTGTATACACTTCCTGTCCTTTTATACGCCAGTAGCCATCAGATCCATGTGTTTCCCAATAAAATCCCCCATACCTTTTGTAAATGCATAAATTTATTCTCTGCGGGCAGGTCTGTCGCCGAATCGTCTTGGTCCACGCTCGGTAGTTTGTGCTTGAGTAACTGGGGTAACGTTGCATGGGATAGAATCGAACTGTAGTAAAACATTAGACAAGAAATTGAATTTCGCACAGCGCAAGATACATACACCAAGGCTCTTGAGGAGCTCCTTTGTCTCAACATCAACCTCAAGTTGTCCGCTCTCGGTGCTGGAAACATCGAGAGCAGAAACCTCTGGAACGTATTGATCCTTACGTTCTCTCTCTTCTTCTTGAAGCTTGAAGGAGATACCACGGACTGGTCCACGTTGAATACGCTTCATCAAATGGGTGGTGTAACCGGCGATCTAGTTATTGATTAGACGTTTTGTCGAAATTCGCTCAATTGGATATTTTATTTACCTTGTTACGGAGACGCTTGGAAGCAATGATGGCGATCTCATCACAGATTCTCTTGTTGGTCTCGAAATCGAGAGTCAACTTTGGGTAGTATCTCTCGATAATGACCTTGGCGGACTTCTTAACTGTCTTGGTACGAACGCGACCCATGATTACGGTATTTGGGGATTTGTTGGTGGTGGTTTGTCGAAAGTTCTTGCGGTTGTCGATTGAGAAGTACAAAATCTTCAAAATTGTTTTGTGTGGAAAAAGTTCAGGATCTCGCTAGCCGGTGCACTAGTGTATTTCTTAATGTTCACGTGACAATCATGGATGTTTGAGGCTCTCGATCATGGCATGGGTTCACTAGTTGTGACTACCTACCAATAGTATGAATAAAGGGTAATTTGGCGGAGAGTGTGTCTCAGGAAGTTTATCACCAAGCAGTCTGCCCTCGGCTGGACTTGGGTGTGTTCATAAATCCACCCGAACATCTTCAGATAGACGAGATAGACATTGAAAATGACATTCACACGCCCGAAACACAACACATTGATAATTATAATTAATTGCTCTCTACTTGAAAGTCTTAATACTCATACGTATATCCTGACAGACTTATTTCCCAAACCTTCCCCCTAAAACTGCCTTCTAAGGGGTATCATAAACAAATGGAGACTGTAAGCTTGTATAACCAACATGGGAATGAATGCTTCTTTACCAACGTCGACTGAATCTAATATGTAAAAAATTGAGATTTTCCTAGAAAGAATCTATTGATTTCGTGGTGTGACTGGAATGTCCCAGATCGACGGGGCTAATTGTGTAGATTCGGAAGGAGAATCTTGTTTGACCTGTGAGCTTGAAGGTTTGTTTTGATTGCCAACGACATTAGAGCTGGGGCCAAATGGTATAGTAGAGGTGGATGTGAAGACTGGAAGATCATATTTCTTCGCCGCAGCTGGCGTATTGGTATTCGGAGGTAGCCATCGAAGTGGTTCTTGTTGTGTCATTGCTTCCGGAACAGGGCCTTGAGGTTGGAAGGGGATGAATTTGTCTGCGCTGTATTCCGAGGAATGATCTGAAAATTTTCCGGTTTCATTTTGCTCCGCAGTAGAAGCTACAGGAGAGCTACTTGGCAAAGAAACCTGTTCAGGCTCTTGCATATGGAGAGGAACATCTGAAGAAAGACATAATTGAGGAGTCGAAGGGCCTGGTGAGATGCTCTTCATTGGCGTAGAGGTTCCGGATTGATTGTAGGTCATCTCAGACGCAACGCTTGTAGGTGATTTGTCATTTGACATAGTTGAGGATGTTGTACCAGCTACTTGACTTCGCTCAATCTTTACCTTAAGCCTTTCTTCATCCCTGGCTTCTTTCTGGGCTTTTGTGAGGAGACTAATCTTGATCTTCTTCATACCAGAAGTTAAAATATCTACGTCAGAAGAATGGTTACTGCTTTCCGCAGCTGGGCCGGCCTCAATAACATTATTCGCGTTAGTGTCAGAGCCAGTCACTGAAAGAGACTTCTTGCGTGGTCGACCTGGACCTGGTTTCGAAGTATCAGTTCGAGGTTTGGCAGGCGCTCTTGTTTTCTTCACGACCACGGGTGGAACGGGATTTGCACGAGATCCCATGGCAGATCCTGGTCGTGCACTCATTGCACTACCAGGCCTTTGAGAGAATGATGGCGCCCTATTAGCAGCAGGGGCTTGTTGAGATTGAGATAGAATTGGCCCAGCAGTTGACACAGAACTAAGTCGCCTAGCAGACTGTTGCGTTGACTGACTATGATTCGCATCAGATGCTTGAGTTGTGCCTGAGATTTCAGGAGCCTACTGATTGTTAGTCTGAGACTGTACAGCGTAATGCAACTACATACTTTGTGCACGGGCGAAGCAGTCGAGCCGGCAACGGTCTTTCGACGATTTGATTTTGCAGCAGGCTTTTTAACTACATCCTTTTCAATCCTCTCAACCAACTTCGGCGCTGGCTTTCTTGTTCGTAAAGACATTCTAGCATTAGTAGGTTCTGTAATTGCAGGTTGTTGACCGCCTTCGTCTTGTTCCAATATAGATTGGCGTTCCTTTCTTGCTCTAGTAGCTTCAGCTGCGAGATCTTCCCATTGACAACTTTTCGTCTGCCTATCAGTTGGAATAAGCAATTTGCTCAATTCGTGAGCCGCAACGGTCCAATGAACATCAGGCGGCGGTGGAGTAGGTGGCCTAGGAGCTGAAGCTCGTGGTGGTGGTAGATTTCTCATACCCATGGTTGATACACTGCGTTGTGCTGTAGGGGTGTTGACAACTTTAGCGATAAAAGATTGTGTAGGAGACGCAAAGTTCCCTGTAGGTCCGGCTGGTTTGTGGATTTTTGGTTCCTCAGGGAGTGGCGCACTATTCATAGCTGCATCAAGCTGCTCCAATCGACCTAAAGACCACCATAATGGGTCATATGGCATGAATCCATAAGGAGTTGCAGGTCCGGGGCTCAATGCGTCTACACCAAGTTTCTCTCCCACTTCAAAATTTTGACCGTTATATGCCTTCTCCGCATGAGTTACAGGATCACTTCCTGATAAACCACTAATATGACTCAAAACCCCAGTACACAAAGCACGATCGCTGTAACCACCTTCAAGAACACTAATGATCCTCCCGTCTACCCCTGTACCTTCCTCGGCTGCAAGTTTGACAACATCTCGTGTCAGACGAGCATAAAATTCCGTTGGAACATTGACTTTGTGACGTTGCATACCAGAACTTTCCCACTCACTAGCGTCGAAACCAGCCGACAAGAAAATGGCTGCCTTTGGTGGGGGCCCATTAGGAGATGTTTGCAAGCGATCATGTTGTGTACGTAGAAAGTTCCGGGTCTTCTCGAGAAGTACTGAATATTTTGATTCATAAAGTTCCCAGAATTCTTCTTCACTTTTCCAAGGTTGTAAGTGAACATTCCAAATATTTTGACCGTGTGCGTTTTCAATGCAGAGACTAGCATTCTTGACCTTTTCCTCATCGCCCATCTCACATGGGTATGAGTTAATATCATGAAGACTGAAATATCCAATCGATGTCTTTTTCCACGGTAATGCATTCTTAGCCAATCCATTCGCGCGAGAGTTATGTTCCCAAGCAATTGCTTGAGATCCATCTCCGTGATGAAGATCAAAATCAATAATAGCAGCGTGCGTGAGACCATGATTAAGTGAAGCATGTGAAATACCAACATGGACATTATTTAACCAACAGAATCCAGAAGGATAAGTAGCTGAACAATGATGTCCCGGAGGCCTAATCGCAATAAAAGTTCGGCGTGGTCCTAATCCTGTTGAAGAGCCCTCAAAAACTGCGTCAACACCTTCACATACAGCACCCAAAGCACCCTCCATGGCGTTCAAGGACTCTGAGCACAAATAAAGATCACCCTCGTGAAATTTTGAAGGAGGTTCTTCATTTTGACCTCGGTTCATCTCAGGTCTGGCCAATTCTTTTCCGTTCGTGGCAAGTTTTGCTTCTGCATTATCACACATAATCTTCAACTCTTCCATCCATTTAACTCCATGTACATTTGTGACCGCTTGAGAAGATAGAGGCATAAGTCGAGTAGTTTTGCGTATGCGAAACGGCGTGCTAGGTACTTCGGTAGCCTCCATTCCAGGACGAAGAGGATAACGACCTTCGGAGTGTCTTTCGCCCAAGCGAACATATGCTACAGATAATCCCAGTATGCTAGCATGAATTCGTTCAGGTCTTTCGACGATTACACTCAGGCCAGTTCTTGAAGTTTTGGGTCGGGAGTAACGATGTCCGTAGACCGAGTCGTGAAGTATAACAATAGTCTCTGCAGATCTCGAACCATCATTCATATCTTGTAAATCCAATTCCGACTTGAAATGCGAACTTGCGATAGATGCTGCAGTGTGTCGTGGAGAAGTTTCACGCATATCTTCCTCCCTTTCGGAGAGGGGTGATCTGCTACGCATGACAGATGGCGATCTATGTGCAAATTGTGTAGACGATCTTCTGCTGAGTGTATTTTTATCTGTAGCTGGTCCTCCACCGCTGAGGGAATTTAAAGATGGCTTTCGAGAGAGATTGGAGGTGGATGAGCGACGTTGGTCGAAACTCGCAGAACTAGCACTTCGGCGTAAGGGGCTAGGAAGAACAGGGCTCCTACCGTTTGGTGATGGATAGAGATTTGAGTGACCACCATGCGATGCACTTCTTTCAGAGGCAGTTTGCGATGAAGTAGGAGGAGTAGTTCTAGAAGCTTTACTGATTGAGAGACGTCTCATTGAATTTGATAACGGAGTGTCGTTGTTGCTTGTAGACGGGGGCGACGGAATGGGCGAAATACTGGCATGTCTGCCACTGTTTGATGATGAGTGCGCCATTGCAAACAAATAAAGGAAGTGTGTTGAGCTGAAAGCTCAACCTTCACTGAAATTCTTAATCCTTCACTCTACTCACTCTTCTTGTCGCGAAGTTTCCAAATAGAGAAGCTATGACGATGGAATATGCAGCAAAGAGTAGGTCGCGTATTGGCGCAGATCGCGAACCCCTGCCAACAACGGTCCAATCTCGTATTTATAATTTGTGATAATTCAAGAGAGGAAATGAAATAAAATTCAATGTTCATAGAAAATACATTAAATTCATTTACAGGACACAGTAAGGATTTGTATTTTACTCTCTGATGTTCGTAGAAGCGCCGTTGTTTCAAGTGCCATCTCTATTTAGGAAGGGATAGGCTTTGTTTCTTCTTTTTCCATCGGGATATCATTGCATGCATTCTCTAGCAAGTTCTGTGTTCAAATGTTCTAATAAGGGGTATCTATTCTCTGCAATTAATCATGAAACCATCTCTCATTCTTCCATTAGATCGACACCAACTGTTCTCAATGCCTCCACTGCCCAATCTGGATATTTTGATTTCTCTCCACCATGAAGATCTGAAAAGAACTTCTTCACGAAAGCTGGATATCTATCTTCAATGATAGCTTTCCTAGCATTTCTCATCAACTCCAACTGATACCAAACATTATGCATGGTAAGTAAATGTGCTCCAACCGTCTCTTTGGCGGCTACGTGGTGAACAAATGCTCTGGTAGTACCGAGACCGCCATCTCCTGTTCTGCAGCATATGCATCCACAACCTTCTTCAACTGGACCAAAATCATTCGCATAAGATGCGTGTCGTAGATTTATGACTCCATGTTTGGTTATTGCGTTTCCGAATCTTGCTGTTCGAGTAGGCCATACACAATCAAACATATCTGCACCTAAAGCCACACTAACAATCAAATCCTCAGGATATCCAATTCCCATGACATATCTTGGCTTATTCTCTGGTAAGAGACTTGTACATGTATTTACTACACGACAGTAATCTGACTTGGCTTCACCACCACTCAACCCACCTATTGCAATTCCTGGTGTTCCTCTTGCGACCATCTCTTCGCAACATTTTCTTCTCAGATCTAGATCTAGGCCCCCTTGTATAATGCAGAATAGGTTTTGTGTAGTTGGATTCGCATGTGCAGTAATGCATCGATCGAGCCATCGAACGCTTCTTTCCATTGCTACTCGCATTCTTTCCGCATCAGGGGAGGTAGTAACTAATACATCATCAAGTTGCATAATAATGTCGCTTCCTATGGAATTTTGAAGAGACATAGAATGCTCAGGCGTGAGTAGCATTGGGGATCCATCATGCGGACTCAAGAATCGTACACCTTCCTCTGTAATATTGGCCAACTTGAGAAGACTGACCATTTGAAAACTATGTACGCCATGTCAGATTTGATAAGGGGCGAGGAGAGTGGATTGAAGCGTAGACAAGCTTACCCTCCACTATCCGTTAAAATATTGTGATTCCATCCTTGTAGCTTATGGGCTCCTCCAACTTTGTCCAAAACTTCCTGTCCTGGTTTCAATCCTAAATGATAGGTGTTATTCAGGCACAATCGACAACCCGTATCTTCCAATTGTTGCGGTGTCAAGCCTTTCAATGATGCTTGTGTGGCCACTGGCATAAACATGGGTAATTGAACTGGGCCATGAGGTAAAGTCAAATTGGCGGCTCTTGCTTTTGTTGTCTGACATTTTCGTAGAAATTAGAGAGCGGTGATGAGAAATGAAAACAACGATAGCTTACAGAACAGCGGGCCAACAACTCAAAGGTCAAAGCCGAGGGCATAGGGGATTTTGAAGCCATCATCTGCGATACTTTTTCTTTACCAAAATTCCCTCAATCCTGATTGAAATGTCTCGGAATTTTATTTCTCACGAAGGGATGATTACTATGTTAAGGTGCTAAGGGTGGGGTTGATCACAGCCTTGTCCGTTCTCCATGCAATATGCACGAGGCTAAGGTAATACCCGGTTTGCGGGAGTGTGCACACTAAAACCTTCTAGACTGGGGTTTCTAGAATCCTAATCCAATCCTAATTCTGATCCCTAGGTAGAAATCCCCTTGATTCAATTCTCCGTTAAACACGTCGTCCCACAGAGCTTCACGGAGGATGGGCTAGGCAGATATAGGTAGGATACATGCCGGTGCGAGTAATGAGAACTTTACAAGATTCAGTCATTGATGGTACCGAGGTCTTTCTATCTTCTATTATCTATATGTAGTAAATATTGTTATCTATATCTCTCTTATTATTTTATTCCTTCTTAAATTATGTTTCATGCCTTTTCTTCCCTTTTCCTGCAAATATTCCGAGAATGTCACCCCATTTTGAACTTTTACCAGAGGTTTTTCCCTGTTCATTTTCCCATCCGTCAATCGAATATCAACATCAACCAATCCTCGCTAAGTAAAAATAAATCTGTCTCCACCCAGATCAGACCACTTTCTTCGACCCAACAAGGATGCATCAGAATCATCACCAACAACAGAACGTCACCTACTTTTTCTCGCATGGCTCACATGGCTCACATACGCCGGTCCCTCAACCTTTCCTGAATATAGATCATTCTGTGGCTAAATTAAGTGAAGATGCGGGTGATCTGGTTCCTTAATCGATCTGTTTACAAGTAAATAAACACAATGATACCTATCAATTTTCGTCTTGGCAACCCCATATGCTGCGTATCGCTAGGATGAAACTTGTACACCTCTCTGACTTGGGCATCATTGATAAGTCAAGTGAAGTCTAGATTAATTGATGTCAGCTCACACTACAATATCCATATTTCATTTTGATATTCGGGTTTGAGCCTTTTCCATATATATCTATTGATCTTCCTTGACCTTCCGAGCTTGTTTCGTTCATGTGTCAATTCCCAAAAAGGTTCAAGTAAAGCCTGTATAAGTTCACTTACAACCTCAACACTTCAACACTTCAATACTTCAATATCACTTCTAATACTTACTTTGAAATCCTCAGTCCCGCATGATATTTCCTTATTAGCGCTCGAGATTCGCCGTATAATACTTTAATAGTAATTGTTTCTCTTTTTCATACTCCTAGCGACAGCATTGGAACAAGTTTTTGTACAGTTTATTTTCAAAATGTTCACATCTTATATCAAAAATAATCCATCAATGGATCCTCAAGTTCTACGGTTGGCATTCAAACCCAAATCTACCATCATATCACCGACCAAAGAGCCACTCACCGATTTCCATCTCTTCCCAAAACTTCTACCTGAACTTCGAATCCTCGTTTGGCGATATGCCTGTGCAAGTCGTACTGTCGAAGTTAGATATGATCCAACCATCGATCGATGTCGTTCTATTAGTCCACCTCCAGCAATCCTCCAAGCCACTCACGAATCACGAACCGAAGCTTTGCGTATATATACTCTCTCTTTTGCCACAAAGACCTCCGATCCAAGAATATATTTCAATCCTTATATCGACGTTCTCTACCTTCCTCGGCATCGTGCTATGGGATACGATGAAACCCTTCGCGACTTTCGTACATTTTTAAATACACCAGAGCTCCTCGACGATGTTAAGGCTATCGCGATCGATCATGTGGATGTGGAGGTCAAGAGACCGTGGGAATCATACAACAAAGCAACACTATTAAGATCTTTCCCAAATCTCGATTTGGTTAAATTGATCATTAGGGAGAACCAAAGAGCATGCGGGAAAGTGAATGAAGATTTCGAGTTTGTAGAACCGAGGATGGAACCAGAAGATATATTAAGAATATGGGTGGATTTTAAGCAGAGTTTTATGAGGGAAGAGAGAACTTTGAAGGAGATCGCCATGGGTTTGGAGAGGGAATACATTGGATGGGCTTTACCGACTGTGAGGGTCCAAACGAAGGTTAAGAAAGAAAGTGTATAAAGAGATAGGGAAAAGTTTCATTGGATCTAAAGGTGTATTATATGGGTATACCCACATAGCCGGCGCATGTTTGGGATGGTGTTTTGGGCGCAACAAATACTCTTTTCTATTACTGTTTTTTTGTTCTTCTTATAGTGATGATTCTTGAAGGTTTTGGAAGCGCAGGAGTAATAAAGCTCTAGATAAGATTACATTAACGAAGTAAGAAGAAGTAAGAAATCCATAATAGCAGTGGATAAAAACTCAAAACTCTAAATGCCTTACTGTAACAGCACAAAGATAAAAAGTAATAAGGGCGAATAGTTCCAAGAAGAAAAACCCATTTATAAAGTTTATACTTTCCCATCCAGGGAAAACCTTAAGCTCACCTATATCACTGCATGTGGTCATCTCACATATCATACAGTAATTGCATAAATTACATATCTGAAGTAATCTTAAGATCACAACCCGGCAAAATGACATCCCCAGAAACTGTGACGCCTCACACCTCCGGGTCACGTGGCATGCCCCGTTTGTATTTAATCACAGGGAAACTCTCTACTCTTGTTTCCCTTCTTCTTTTCTCCTTAGCTTAGTATTTTCTAATACAAGATACTTTACCCAGTATTCTTGAGTGTGACAGAAACTGACTATAAGAGGTGTTACGAGGTTTGCCGTCTAGATCACGTGGGAGTGCTCTAGGCTCTCGAGGTGGTTTATAACTAGGCGTCAAGCAGGGACTTAAGTAATGACAAATAATGATATGCAATTCGTAACTAATAGTAGAGTATACTAAATGATTGATCTTGAGCACGAAGCTCTATACAAAGGAAATCCATCTTGATTATACAGACCTTCGTGCCTCCTTAAAAAAACCGATGGCTATGAGCCCGACAAATCGATCACCGCAAAGCCGATCTCGATTTGTCGGTTTCTTGATCATGTGATCAAGAACGTGACCTATGTTGCTGTCCGACGTAGCAGTGGCCCAAAAAGGGGGTACTAGACTTAATGAGTGTAGCAAAACCGCATGAATGAAGCATCAAACTCAACATTATTATCGTTCAGTCTTTACAATCACTAGGAATCTCTCTATAAGTTTCTATGACTTTGCTAGTTAAGCGCTAATCAATGATCAACCCCAAATCAAATGCGACCACTACTTGCCTTCCTATTTTCTACAATATATCCTGACCCCTCAACTTCAAACGCCTCATCTCTTAGCACTAAATGATATTCACAAATAAATAAATACATACAAAACTCAAGCAATACATTATATACTCGGATAAAAGATTATACCACTCTGACCGCGAATTTCTGCAAAATTACTGCACATCACCTGCTAGATTGTAGAAAGTTAGAACCTGCAAGACGCAACGTTAACGATATCTTTAGGAACCTTTTAAATTTTGGTAAATGCAAATCTCCCAAATACTCGATCTTGGATTCACTTCAGCCACACTTAACTTTAATTTATATGAAGACCTGAGGTTTATTTTGCTGTTGCATATCTGAAAGTTTTATACTAATCGGCTTCATGGCTTTGTGTTAATCGAGATTACTATTCAAGTCATTTGACTTGTTATACTTTCTTTGGTTGTGTATCTCGAAGGTTTGTGCTAATTGGCAGTGTTATATTTGGTTAGATTTTACTGATAAACGGGCTTTTTGATGGCATCATGGCTCTTGCAAGACAAAGATATCGAATTTTGGTGGATGAGTGTTGAATTTGACTAGGGCTACTAGTAGAGAAAGGAAAACTTAGATATGCATTTTAGATGTGCACTGGGAAGATAATAGGAATAGGCAAAGCATTTAGGTGGAAGAAAGATGCTTGATTAGAAAAGGGAAGTCTGAATTTTTCCATATCTTAAGGAGATTGGGATTGATGAGGTAAAGAATGCAAGTGGTTTAATTTATCGAGTGAACTAAATAGTATGGGAAGTATAGTATAAGGAGCAAATGATTAGGTAGTGAAAAATTTGCAGGGGTAAAAGAAATGTGTCAGAAGATGGATGATTGTAAGAATCGCTTTGTGAAATATCTGAGTATTTCTGTTGGTTTCTGGTTTTAAGTTTGAGGTAGATTGATCGTGAGTGGTAACGTGTTTGCTCGATTGAAGTTTGCTGTTAGACATTTCTAGACCTGCTATTTTATGGAAGATGACAATCAGTAGAGTAGTATAGATGGATACTATATCCAAATAACCATCAAGGAATCCCGTGCGAAGCCCTCATGATCAATAGCAACCAAATGCCAAGTTTGTCCATCTAGTATAAATTACCACAGATATCAAAGTCCTCCACATCCTCAATATAAATTCCCCTAAATCCAGAAGCTCGTAGCTCGCAACCCCAGAAGAACTTGTCACCTAGAAACTCCACCCCATAAAATCAAATATGGAACCAAATTCCAGTCTCAAATTCAAAAAAAATCCACTTGGTCTTCTCAGAAAATCTATATTACTTCCAAAATTTGAGCCAAACCCCAAACTACAATCCGCAGATCAATCGAATCACAAGCTCACCATGCTCGTCGCCAATTATGGGAAGGAAAAGAAGAATCGTGATGTATGGAAGACTCTGGAGGAACAGCTCGAAAAGATAGAAAAGATGGCCGCGGAGCTTAAGACAGCGTGTAGAGTGATGTTGGATGAGGAGATTGACTGAGCGATCCTTAGCGAGGGGGAAAGGCGAGGTTGATGTATTTTGACCTTGCTCTCGCTTAGAGTTTGATTTCTTATGCGAGGAGGGTCGTTGTCTGCAAGATTGATGGGGAGGAAGTTAACGAACTAGAAAGCGAGTAGGAAATTTGAGAATGGTACGCTACTGTGCTTGGCGAGTTTCATGAAGTGGGATTCTGCAAATTCCAGTATTCTTACAAACAAAGGGGTTTCTGGCATTTAATCTCTTTTACCTCCAATTTGAAGCTTATAATAAGAATTAAAATTTCAGCTTCGTGGTCTATTGTGTGGTAGAGCTTCGAATTTGCAATATTAAAAGTTCACGTTACGGCTGTTATTCGATTTTGCCTTAATTGGCTTGAGATCTCCAAATTTGAGGTGAAAGATCAGTGTCTATTTTGAAATGAATGCAGAGATGACTTTTTCGAGCCATACAAGTATGAAAGGAAGCTTACCGTAAAGCCGTTCATTGTTTCATTTTGAATTAGATAATACTAATGAGGTGGAAGTTCTCATTAACGCTCTTGAATTAGAGAATTGTAACCTAACTCGCTTAAATCTCCATACAAAAATTAGACAGTATAAGAGAGGGGGCTTGAGGTTAGTGAGGAGATAAGAAAATATACGATTCCTCCTTACTTGAGGATGAAGCCGAATAAGTATGTAAGATTCAGCACCCACTAACATCATTAATAATTTTACAAGCACTTCAGATAAGGAATGTTGGTTATCCCAGAAAAGTTAACAATAGCTCCATTCGTAATTTTTCACTTCCATAGTAGCTTAACATTTAAGTCATGCTTTCCGTCGGTCCTTCCTATCTTCATCTGTTGTCTCCACCTCATTTTGAGCTGTTTCCGTGACTCGATCACTCAACCTAGGTATCGCTCTTTCATATATGATATATGGGGTGGGTAACATAACTTATTGAATACGTGCATTCCAGACAATAATGCATCACTCTGAATATCATAATTGCAAGCATTACTCACAGTCATGCTGAAAGACAGACTCAAAGGAGAACATATCCAAGAGATATGTAGAGAATCCCTGAAGATCCACGATAAAAATCGATCATCATTATCTTCCTCAGTCATAAAAACAACGAGCTATAGTCCAAACTTTGGTTCTAGAGCTTTTCCCTCGGGTGACAATTTATATTATAATTTTAATATAATTACAATCGACACCGCTGAACTATTGATGTAAGCTATAGTAGGATTAGACGTAGAAGTCCAAGAAATCAGTGAAATTCCTGGTTTGTAATGTCCAATGAATACAAAAATAATGGAGATGAAACTTGAGGAATACAGTTAAATTTAATGGTGATAATATCGCAAGCTTTTTCTTGTCACAAGATCCCATTCTGTCCTTATACAGTGCAAAAGAAATTCCGTATAACATATCCAGCAAAGCCTTAATACCGACATTTAGCATACCCTGGGCAACAGTCAGAAGCTCACCGGGATCCGCAAAACCAACCCTTGGGTATTTCTTTGGGTATCCAAGTATTAGTGTTTCATCATTATACTATGAACACTAGAATATATATTTTCAAACCACCTAAATGAGAGTAAAAAGTAACGATAACCTTTTCTATGCTCCGGTGCAATTCACCCCAACTGACAAAGCCAAGCCAAATCGACAACTTCATTGCCCAAAAAGACAGCAAGACTCCTTCCCTCTTATGTATACCCTCTTACACCTTCAGGAAATTTACTTCGATGTGCTATTGGAACCCAATTTTACCGCGCCACCAGCTCCAACCGTAGGACCAACTCCCGGAAGTGTAAAATCTGGGAAATTAGGCCACTCGCCTAACCTCGCTGGATCTCCTCCAATCCTAACCCATTGTCCTACACTTGGCGTTCCATTATCCAACACAAAAAGCATAGCCCAGCTAGGTGGATACACGTGGGCATTTGGCGGTGTAGTGATTGTGCATTGTGCATTTGCCGCTGTGCCAGAGCAAGAAAATGCCGGAAAGTATGTTCGTTGACCGAAGGAATTTCCATGGGTAGCGCCTACAGCTGTCATGAGGGATATACGAGTGGTAGATAGACTGCCTTGATGAAAAACAGCGGCTATAGTTATTGTGTCTCCATAGCTGAAATCATTGCCGTTTTTCAAGGTAAAATCTGGCTGCGTGACTCCACCTAATAAGTACGGAGGTATGAATACCTCGATGCGATATTCTTGAGGGTATCGAGGATCTTCGGGGTCACTGCCTGAAACTAAAACCCTGCCATCAGGAAGAAGTACAGCCTCGTTATGATACATGCGAGCGATTGTTGTGTTGGCCAAAGAAGACATTCGAGAATTCAGGGGCTTGGATGGATCATAAAGGACAGCATTGAAGTTGGGATCGGTGGCAAGACCGAAGCCAGCGAAACCTTGTTGAGCACCATTAATGATGAGGAACGTACCATCAGGTCTAAGAATTCTCGGTTAACAATAGATCAATGGGGAATTTATGAAGTAGGAACTTACAAGGCTACCATAGATGATATTACTCGTTTTGAAGGCTGTAAATTCCCATTAGTGAAACCGTCCGAGGAACAAAATAGGAAAGAAAGCATACCATGCGCTCAATGGTCCACTTTGCACCAGCTACCTCTGGCTGAAGTGATACACAGTTATCCAAGGCAATCTCCGGGCCCGGTATCGAGCCTCCACAAATCATAACTACAAGTGGATCTGTATAAGGCGCACTCTGTGGCATTATTACAGCAGTACCTTCCATAGGGTATGTTCTACCACCCAAGAAATTATTTACCGCGGCAGGAATATTCGGTAACAGCTTTTGAGTTTGCAAAGTAACTTCGTCCAGAATTCTCGCCTCATTGTAATATGCAATAAAGATGCCGCCAGAAGGAAGGACCACGAGGTATGGATACAAATTAAACGGATCTGTACGTTGCAGATAATCGCAAAAGAGAGTTCCTGCTCCAGGAGGTCGAGGAATGATTTCTAGTGAAGGAACAGCTGCCCCGTTAGAGCCCACTTCGCCCCCTACTACGAGGATGCTCCCATTGGCCATAACCATTGCTGAAGGATACCATCGGCCCTCTTGCAGCGCAATCTCTTGATAATTCTCTTCCCAGTCATTTTTGCTTGGTACCCCCGGCGCGCCATCAGGAGTATAGAACCGTATACCTATAGTCGAGGGAATTGACCAGCCCCCTATATTGATTTGACGAGCAAGACGATCAGGGAGAACGATACTAGCGGAGCAGAATATGTCTGTCTTCACATGCATGGTACGCCATGCAGCATCAAAGCTACTAACCTGAGTAAGGTCAAGCTCATAAGCACCGGTACTATTCTTGTCAGGCGAGGTGCCGAACTTTTCTAAGAATGAGACCTTGCCGTTGATACCGACAGTAGATGTTAAAGGAACGATTGGTCCTGTAGATATTAGTCATGTGTTCAAATTACTATTCGTATTGCGACCTACCTCCTATAAGAAACTCGTATTTTCCGGCAGCATTTCCACTTTCAAACGTCCAACTATTAAGTTGTGTGTCTGTCCAAACGTAGTAGGAGATCAAGGAAGGTCCGCCACAGTACGTGTCACGATCGCCGCTGCAAAGCATGTTGCATTGAGAATCATTGACCGATGCGGCATTGTGATCGATAACATTTTGTACATCCCCACAGACTGTAAATGAAGTCAATATAAATTTCAACCTTGTAACTTTAAACCAAAGAATGATGGCCTTGGATGCAACAGTAGGCGGGGACTGAAAAAGCCCTGAGGTCCCAAGCAGCATTAAGCGGCATGAGGTTCAATTTTACGACATAGGGAGGAAAGCAAATAAATGCGAACTTACAGCATTGGTTCGAAAATTCCATCCCCCCAGCACCGTATCCATATTCAGAACAAAGGCTAAGACAGTTTGTGGCTGTGTTATTATTCGGAAGTATGGTTAGATAGGGAAAGACCCTATTCTGAGAATTATCTCTGCGCGATAATCAGCTCTGGCCGCTGTGTAACAATAGCAGCACGTCATATACGGTGAATTAGCGAAATTAAGAAGGTACACTTACCTAATACAGCCTTTGTATTTCCAGTTGCCTGGTAACGCCCTGTTCTCTATCACTGGTAATGGTAACACCTTAATATCCGTTTGATTGGAATAAACGCTCATCCTATCCCCTCCGCCACACATTCTGTAGTAGATTGAGTCAGCATGCCCCTTGAAGACAGACTCTTAGCGAAACAAGAGGTTAACTGTATTAGGAGAAGAGGATATGAGGAAAAGGGATATTGAAAATTAAAATCAGCGAGCAATTTTAGCTGTGAAAGACGGCGAAACTTGTGTATCCATCACGTACTGGTTTGAATTACCTCCGCACGGAGTGTTACATTGTGAATCTGAAGATGCCAAGGCACCCTGATTAATGATTGCAGAGTCACAATAACATTGCGTATAGTATTGCATTCCAGCTATACTATATCCTGCCGTGATACAGTTTTGTATGCACGATTCCACAGTCATATTAGCATCGTTAGGCAGGTTATTTGCGAGAATACTACCAAGACCAAGAGCTCGGTCGACCCAACAACCCTTGTAGGTCCATCCTTCGGGAAGATCTGTGATCGTGGCCGTAGGAACAGTAACACTGACTGTAGTTGGCGTTGGAGTAGATGGCAGGCTCGTTGCTGTGTAATTGTATACGTTTATCCGTCCGGCCCTAGAAGATTGGGTATTCAGTAATTGTCTATCACGAAGTACCTCGGAGAAAAGAAATTGGACAATTGGATGTACAAGACAAGGTCAATGTACAACAAATGACATGTAATCCTTACCCTCCGCAAAATTGTGTCGAATTTCCTTCACATGCCATGGTACAACCTGTGGCTGGGGCGCCATAATTATTAATCTCGTGGTCGCAATAACATTCACTGCCATACTCGACTCCTGAAAGTCTGTAACCTCCGAAAATGCAGGCGGAAAGGCATGTGTCGACACTCATGGATGTCCCGGCAATAGAATATACTTGCGTGTTGAGGGTACGTCCATTCACGCTATCATTGTAGCACCCAAGAGGTTCCCACCCAGTAGGGGCTCCCGTGTAAGTAGGGACGGGAATAGAACTTGTCGTGAGGGTAGGGAGTGAGATAATAGCATTGTTTAAATCATAAACACTGAGGCGACCAGAACCTCCACAGACTTGGGAAAGGTTCCCATTACAAGGCATATTACAACCAACTTCGCCATCAGAAGCTTTGGTCCCGCCATTGTAGAAATTATTCCCACAGTCTTGTGATTTGTCAAGGTTTAGGCTACACAATTGATGGGGTTTACAACTTACAACATTCTCCTGAATACTCAACTCCAGCAAGTACGTAGCCTAGACTTTGACAAGTAGACTGGCAAATTTCAACTGTTAAACCTGCCTCTCCTCCAACAGTTGCTACATTAGTAGTGAGAGTGCGAGCCCCCACATTGTCGCTAACGACAGCGAATCAGCAAAAATCTACATGAGGTTGTTCAAACATGGTTATATGGGAAAAGAGAATGGAAAAAATGATATGCACTCGATATACCCGGCTACCAGTTTCTGCATTGCGACATGCGAGCAATCTGAAGCAATCTGAAGCAGATTGATAGAAGGGTAGAAAATGCAAGCCATTAGTTTTTCTATTCCAGAGGAATCCCTTGTATCCTTATTGGATCTTTTATGTTTCAAAAAATGGAAGATTCGACGAAAATGGGAGTGTGCTTGGGGCATGGAACAATGGATATTTTTACCTGTAGCAGCCCACATATGAGCATGTCTACTGCCCTTGGTAAGACAGAACGACTCCCTGAATACGCTTCGGAACAAGTAAACTATCGAACAAGAACAGATTAGCGGATTGAATACAGAGTTAACACTAGTAGAGATTGTTTACATACAGATAGAGATATGCCTAGCCCCGCAAATACAAGGCGAAAAAGGGATTGTGCCATGATTGTAATTACAATCGCTGCTCAAAATTTAAGTGCACGCCGGGACGGTTGTCGCTCGATGATATACAGGAGAAATAGAAAAAGAAAAAGGAAGATCAAAACGGGTGATGGAGAAGTCCATCGAGTTTCTTTACAGCCTTGCTTGGATTGCAGTGACAAGAATTGACAAGAATTGCCAGGACCTTGGACATGGTGGACCGCTGATCCTTCGACCCTTGAAGGCTGACAGGAAGCAGGCTGAGTATGGAATTGTTCACTGTGAAGAGGCAAAATCGTATAGTTCTCACCTCCTAACCCGTCCCAAATGCTCTCATGTGGTCTGAGGTATACCTCGTGGAGTTTCTATGGTGATCTCCACATTTTCTAAAATGTTGCATGGTACGAAAAAGCTATTTCCAAATAATACGACCGCGCATGTCCCGAAACTTAGTGGTACAATCCTCTTGTCCTTTTCGCGGATCCTCGTCCGCGGCTTGACCAGTTCCTGATGACCTGCGATTTTGAATCTCATTCGGACATTTTCCACCGTTCGGCTTACATACCGAAGGGGACACAACGTCTGCCAATGGCTTGGCTAGCAAATAAATATTTAGAAGTATGACTGCTTGTGCAGATACGTAAAGTATTGACGGCTGAGGATGTGTGTACCGTGCCGCAATTCTCGCGGGGAACTTGCGAATGTAGCAATCACAATAGTTAAACATGAAGTCTGATCATCTGGTTGGTAAATGCAAAGCTTATACATTATTGTGTAACAATTGCATAGGTATTCTATCGTATATTGATGTACTGCATGTACCTGCTACTTGACAGGGTGGGACTGGTGAGTGAGATGATGTGCTGGAGATATAACAGTGCAGGATCGAAGAGTTTTTGCGAAGAACAATCAAATGTATATTTGATTAGGCTAAGAGAATGTATTGTTATTCTAACATTCTTGGGGCGAAGAACGTTATCTTGTTGGTTGCAAGATGTTCATGCGTAGCAGTACTCGTAATTCTGACAAGAAACGTTCGGTTAAGCTTTAGGTTATAAGCTAGGGCAGTTAGCTTGGATAGCCTAATAATAGGCTTAATACGGCGTAAATGGCGAGAAGCTAGGAGAATTATCAGACGAGAACCCCTTCCACTAAATTTTCGTGTAACCGAATGAAGAAACTCATTTGATAGATCCGCACTCACGAAAAAGGGAGATGGAAAATCAATTCTAAGCTCGCAGGCCATGCACGTAACGTAGCTTTTTTAATGAAGCTCAAGAAAAGTTCCCGTCAATCTGGGTGTTGGGCCATATAAATATATAAATAGCCATGGCATATGTATACTATTTACAATAGAACCTACCCGAGATAATGATACTCAACAATGTGCATCAACTGTCTCGTGAAAGTGGGATCAGACCATTCCCAATAAATCATCTAGACGAGACAGAAAGGAATTAATATAGGCAGTCATACCAACCAAATTCATTCAATGTGTAAAATTAGGACCCGCCTTCAGGACTTCTCATTGATCGGCCCGGAAATCATGGCATTCTCAAGAATTGGGTTACATTCATCTGGTCACCACATGCAAGCAAAGCACCATCTTTTTAATCTTTGGACATTTGGAAGCACCAATTCTGTATGCCTAGTCTTCGTGTATGCACCTTCTTATCACTAATCATCCCATCTGTTGTGGTAATGTATAGGAGTGTACCAGAATGTACAGTGTCTTCTCGAAGTATTGATCACCATCATAATTATGGAATACACATAGGGTTAGTTTCAGAAATGTACATTTTACCATTGTTTGAATTTAAGGAGCTTTTACTGAGGTCGAACCCTTGCAAGTGATATGATATGCCTCGTTTGGACTAACAGCGATAAGGCTAATGTGGCTCTAGCTCCATAATGTAGATACATACAACCGACTACTGAATACTTTCAACATAAATGATCTGTGAAAAAAAGAATATTCCATAACTACAGCCCTTTTATCTTTCTATGTATATCGTCCCAGAATTTGATCTATACAATGTTACTATACAACATTAGAACCCCATTATTATCTATCCTAGCTTTCTCAACACCCCTATCTTGCTTACTCCAGCGAAGTTGTCTCCCGGCGTTTATGTCTCAGCTTGCGCTTCCACAAGCCCCTTGTGAATACATCTTAACACTTTTAATAGTCATACCTCTCTCTTCGGGCGGTCCCCACGTCGGCCCCCACTGACTTGAAGCGTTCCAGAACTCTGCTGGGGCCGTAAGACTAGCATCTCCCCACGGTTTGTTGCCAACCTTGTCCCTAGCACCGACATTAGCTTTTATTGTCTCCAAAAATATGGCGTGCAATATGACAACCCACGGGAAATATCCATTGGTTCCTCCCACTGCAACGCTGTTGAATGTGTATTAGCAAAGTCTATGCTATATTGCTTGATGCTCAAGGTAGTCTTACTTGAGTATGAGGTAGAAGGCCTGGTCAAACGGAGTTGCAGGATTACCAGTTTGGCTCCATGGATCGTGTAGCGCCGAGTTATTCACGATTGTCTTACCGAATTCACCTCTATTCCACATGCTGTTATAGCTCTTGCTGAAAGAGAGATAAAATACTTGCTGCACGAGCGTCAGTTTTAGGTAGGCCATAAGTAACAATTACCAGAATTATGAAGATCATACCAAGAGACGACTGTTGATATATGTGAAGATGTAGTCTTCACTCCACTCTAGTCCATATGTGTAATAGGTTTCAGTATAATCGGTTCGTCGAATGTTGTGCTTTCCATCGGTTTTCCAGAAAGCATCCACTTGAGGAATTGGGCCCCAATGCTTTTCATCACTGTAAGCGCAAGTCTAGGGCCAATCTGGAGAGTCCATACCAGAGCGGAAGTAATACTGTCTCGACCCCCGTCATACGTAGCCCCATCATTACCTTTGCTTTCAGCAAGATCTATCTCACCACTGGCAGGCCATGGCCCATACACAGAATCTTCAGGCATCATCCTATTGAAAGTAAGCACTCCAACTGCCAAGCGAGGGTAAAAACATACCAAATGGCTGGCCATAACCAATCGCCCTTCGGCATTTTTGCAATGACTTCAATCTTACCATATTTGATAGTCTTTTTTCCTTTCGTGGACAATCTTGCACTTCGAACAGGGTTGATAATGGTACCGGCGGTGATATTGCTGTACATAGAGCAAGATGTGCCCGCATCATCAGAAGTACATACTCCATCAGGTCTGTTGTCGGTAGTCAGGTTTAAAGTATACCCATTCAGAATCTGAGCGGGTGTAATGTTGGTGGAATTCACTGTCAATGTTGGGACAATGTGAAGCCCTTCAGCATCAGTGTAGGCATTTTGGGGGTCGTTTGTGGTCCATTCAAAAGACCCAGTGCTAGAATTGTCAGTTAACAGACCTCCCCGAAAATTATTCTGTGACATCACCTACCCAAATCCACCTCGTTGGATCTCATAGCCCCATATGCTTGGGTCAATATCATGAAAGTCATCCTCGAACATGAGACAGTAAGAATTTTTGGGGACTGATGTGAATCCTATGTAGCACATAATCCCTCCTAGTCCGAATCCAATGGCAATACTTGCCCAAAAGATTATGGAATCCCAAGTTCGCCCAGATAATTTCTTGCGCTTTCCTTCAGTGGCAAGCTTCTCTAGCCACGGCTTTTCGTAACTTTCCCACAGTCAGTATCCATTTGGTTTGATCTAGAATTCTGTAACATACTCGCCAACAAGTCTAGCGCTTTTGAAACGGCGTTGCCTTAGAGGTACAATATCTAAGCCATCTTCAACTGTCAGCAGTTGCTTCAACTAGAGCTCGATTTTAATACCTGAGATTGAAGAAGCTTCGGCCGGCGATGAAAATCGATTACTTGGTGTACTTGGGTGAGAGGATCTGTGATTTGGCGTTCCTGGTTGAGATAGTGGTTGAGGTGTTCCAGGTATAGACACACGGTGAGTTTGCGTTTGCGGTTCTTGTGCGGTCAGAGACACGCTGTATGTTGACATTTTAGAATCTTTACGTCGTCACTAGTTTTGCGGAATTTGGGACAAGTCGTTGGTTAACTTATTAAAGAACTATGGCCTCGCCTTCCACAACTGGCTCCTTCTATTCTACTGCCCACTCACTCAAATTTCCCAAGTAAGATATATAATATGATTAAAACTGATTCCGAGATAAGGAAAGCCCGAAACAAAATCTAAAAGTAATCGATCCATTCCAACACTGGTAATGCCAAAGATCGCGTAGGCGGCAGGGTACCTTGTAATTACTTGCATCGACCCCTGAAGGTAGGAGCGTTTACTGCTAGGTTTGAAAACAAATGAGAGCATTAGGAGGACTGGTCGCCCTTGTAATCTTCATGCAGTGGTAATCGCCGAAGGGGCGATATCGAGAACAACAATAACAACTTTGTTCATAAAGCCACAGAAGAGGGTTCAGCTATGTTTGGCCAGCTAGGCTAGTACCTGTCGCTATCCAGTGGCCGTGAATCCTCTCCACCTAAAGTTTGATGACTTAGGAGGCTCCAACATGAACGGATGTAACGTCAAAATCACAAAAATGTCAATCCACGATAATGATTGAATTGTCCGAGCCACTAGCCCTCAAAATAGATGATACGCTGGCAAAATTGATGATGCTAATGTAACACTTACAAAAATACATGTGATTCTTGAGATTAAATACGAGTAAGTCTCACTCATCTCTATGGTAATGAAACTTGATGGGATGAAAGACAAAGGGCTGAAAGTTGAGAATAGGTTAGATGAAAAATGATGTCAAGGGAAGTTCCAATAAGAGCTCAAACCAATTCCCAAAATAACAGGTTCAGATAATTCATAAGGATAAATGCACGCTGGGGTTTTGTGGTATTACCAAGAAAATGAAGCGGTCGAGTTGTCGGGATGTTAATATGGTTCATAAAGAAGATAAGGTTACCGACGAGTTTTCAGGGTGCGAAAGCGTTGAATCTTCGAATTTCCCGTGTGACTGGGCCTAAGTGCGAATTCATCAGCCAACAAACATGAGGATTGCGCTGTCACAGAGTAACATGCAGCAATTTTGAGGGGTAATAGCACAAGCGCCGGGGTATGTTAGCGATCGATATAGGGTAAAGAAGCCTATAGTGCGTATGTGTAACCACGAAAGACTACACTAGGATTATCTCCCCGGAGTCTGTACCTGAACTATTTGGCATCAAAAGGTTCATGAATATACCCTGCCATACTAAAAGGTCATGGATTGTCAGCTTTTGATCTGTCTCGCCCTATTGGGAACTAGTGAATTTAAATAAATTTCGCTTACAAGCGTTAGTATTAACCTCGAATTAGTCAAAAATATCAGAGTAAACAAAGTCTAGACAGTTAGATGGCCACTGCTTTGCTGCTACCTCTCCCGTACTCTTTCAGAATCATCAGGCTTTCAATTTCAGATCGATGAAGGATCTCAATCACTTTTCGTATTCTGGCCTATCTGCGAGAATATAGTCAATATCTATCGTGTACCACGCCTTCTGGTCAAAAATGATTTCCAATAGTTCCAACTTCGTATTGTGAATCCGTTGAACGGGTAAGCTTTCCGACACACTTGTCTATGCTATAGAAAGCGCCAGAGACACTACACTTTCCCCAAAGCCCCCGCCTTATCGTCAAACCAGAATCCTATTCTTAGGCCAATATTCGGCATCCTGCATGCGTTGAGATATTGATTGAAATGCACGACTTTCGTCCAAAGATGCTCTACATCTGCAAAACTGAGCCAATAGTATAGGCTTCCTGCAGAAGATGTGGCGACCGCGTGCTGGGAATATGAGCCACAAGCCCGATGTTTTAGATGTATTGACTGAGCTACTTTCGTGCTTTCCACCCCAGTAACCATTTTTAGACTAGGCCCATTTTCACTTCTCCGTCGCTATCACTCAACTAGCTCAAACATTTCAAGGAGAAAAAGGTTATGGACTTTCAATTCCCCCTCCGGCCGCGATAGCGAATGTGTTGGCAAGTGAAATGTTAACTTCCGTTCTTGACAGACTTCGTTGATCACCTTTGAGTTTAGTGAAATACCACAACCTCAAGTTTTCACTTGTTCGAACCGAACTTGCAGCTCTTACAACCTTGATGCAAGTAGTCCTTTCCCACGCCGGCTCACCATTAAGGCAATGTCTGAAGAATTCAACTTTCAATCGCCCTCTGGCGACCTGGCAGCAACACCACAAGATGGACGCCCTACAATGGTAGAACGACATCAAAGTGTGCCAGTCCCTCCAAGATCACGTCCAGAAAGTTTGATACCACCATCGCGACCCCATAGCATCATGAGTACAGGATCTGCAGGAAGCCGAGATCGTCATACTCTGGTACGTCTTTTAGTTCCCCGGCCCACTTTTTCTTTCCACTCAAGCAAACCTCCAAATAATTTCAGGCTTTTACCTAACGTTGGTTTATAGGTTGCGAAATACCTTCAAAGACGATGCGCGGCTGCTAAATGGCTTCAGCCTATCGAGGAGGAGGATGGCACTATCAATGAATCGTCATGGGTCGGTGTCGCTATGCGGCTTCCGGATGGGAGCTACTACACCGAGCCACCAAATGTCGACAACAAATTTTATACTGTGATGCAGTATCTCAACTGCAAAGTCGCCTTCACAATGTCATCTGATATCACTGCGGCATTGATGGATCAGATTGGTCCTTTTCAAACTGAAATTCAAGTGCATCCACGAGGGATTAGACTTCCCATTGTCCAAAATCTTTCAGAACTTGCAATTGGAGGGGGTGGCGTATCCAAAAAATCGTACTTGTGCGTATTGAGAGAGGAGAGACTCGTTCTTATATGGAATGAGTCTGTGGAAAGTATCATGACCCACGGTGTAGATGTTGAAAGTATCCTCGTTGGCATGGTAAGTCGAATCAGTCCAACAATTATATGAGCCGTACTTACTAGGGATGAGGTAGATCTGGGGATCTCAAATTGGGACTATGACAGCTACATCTCCATTCGCATCCATGACTCCACTTATTGGACAAACGCCAGGCCAAACTCCGGGACGGACACCATCAGCTATCAGTGAGGATCCTGAATTCAATGAAAAAATGGGCATTGTTCAAGCCGCCATAGAGCGCGAAGAAAACAAGGACACACTTTTTAATCCAGATATTGAGGCCGCCGCGCCGCCAGAGAGACCCTTCCTATTATTACATGCTGGTGTCATTGGATTTGCCATGACTTTAGTGGTATTCGTAGAAATGCTTTGCGCATCGCGACTTATAACAGAATATCAATGGGACGGTGGTGTACTGCGCTTTGCACTAGTTGCTGTCATTCCCTTTTTCGTTTGCTTTTCTCTGGTAAGACGTCTCAAGCCACCTTGTATGTGGCGTTAGCCTCAGAACACGAGAGAACTACCGACAATTTCCCGAACATGGCTAACACTTTATTGATCAGTTCTTCATGGTTGTTATAGCTGGGAGTCTATTCCAATTATTTGGACCCTTGACTTATGTTCGAAAGAATTCTCGGTTCTATTCGGCCAAGCCGCCCAAGAGAGGTCGCTACCCCGACTTGGAGCTCCCACACATCACTATTCAAATGCCTGTCTACAAAGAAGGTTTGAAAGGGTAAGAGCGTATGGGAATCTTCTTAAAAAAAAAAGCGCTGATTTTATTTGATAGTGTTATTATTCCAACCGTAACGAGCATCCTGGCTGCTATCCGATACTATGAAGCACAAGGAGGTTCCGCTTCAATCTACGTCAATGAAGATGGGATGCAAGCCGTAGATCCCGAGTTACGTGAAGCTAGAAGGACTTTTTATGAACTGAATAATATCGGATACTGCTCACGCCCCAAGCACACCCATAGCAAAAAGAAGTGGTACCAAGGAAAGAAGGTACAAGATAATCCTGAAGGCTTCGAGCGAAAGGGCCAATTCAAAAAAGCATCAAATATGAACTATTGCCTCAGTTTCTCTATTAGAGTCGAGGATGAATTGCTAAGACTCATTGCCGCAAAATCCACAGCTGAGAATCGACCCGAAGGTGATATAACACCAGATGAAGAGGATTTACTTTATAAACAAGCTTTAGAGACATGCCTTGAGCAAGACGAAGGAAGGACTATGGCTGGAGGCAATGTTCGCATAGGTGATATAATTTTGATCATCGACAGTGACACTCGAGTGGTGAGTATCCTCTTGTCATGAAGTAGACCAATTGTTAATGGATTTAGCCCGAGGACTGTCTTCTCCTTGGCGCATTGGAAATGCATGAGAGTCCTGAAGTGGCTATCCTCCAGCACGCCTCTGGTGTCATGCAGGTCGCTCATAACCCTTTCGAGAACGGAAGTATGTATTTACATCGGAAGTGTGTTGAGATACATCACTAACAATTAACAGTTACCTACTTCACGAATCTCATTTACATGTCTATCACCTTCGCAGTAGGAAACGGGGATTGTGCTCCATTTGTTGGGCATAATGCTTTTTTGCGCTGGAAGGCGGTACAGAGCGTAGCTTACGAAGAGGATGGACAATTGAAGTTTTGGTCCGATGGTACGTCAGCCCCATGCTCACTTTGCAACATGAGACTGATGCCATGCTAGATCATGTGTCCGAAGATTTTGACATGAGCCTACGACTTCAAATGGCGAAATTTATCGTCAGATTAGCAACTTACCACGAAGGTGGTTTTAAAGAAGGGGTATCCCTCACCGTATATGACGAACTCGCTCGATGGGAAAAATATGCCTACGGATGTAATGAATTAGTCTTCAACCCCATTTACAAGTGGTGGCGAGGCCCCTTTACCAAGCTCTTTATGAGATTCCTCTGGAGTGATATCAAGCTCACCTCCAAAATCACAATTCTAGCCTACATCGGAACCTGTGAGTATTTACTACAATACGCCCTCAGAGTTCAGAAGCTAACCCTATATCAGACTACGCAATCGCCTGCGCCATTCCACTCACCCTCGCAAACTATATAATGGTCGGCTGGTTCAACGACTCCCTCGACCAATTCTATCTGACCTCATGGAAAATCTTCGTCGGCATGGCCGTAATTTTCAACGTGCTCTCACCCCTCGCCTTCGCGATGCTTCGTCACCGACTCGGTGAAAAAGTCTTCGTCTCCTCCATCGTCGAAACGGCAAAATGGACACCAATGTTCATCCTCTTCTTCGGCGGAATCTCTTTCCATCTTTTAACTGCTATATTATGCCATTTTTTCAGCATCAAAATGGAATGGACGGCCACGGCTAAAGAAGTCGAGGCCGGTGGGTTTAGAATCGGTTTAGATAAAATATTTAGAGATTTTAAGTGGATGTATTTGGCCATTGTCCCAATTTTAGCGGGCATGGTGTATTTGGGTGCTTTCGCACCTCGTGGGTACGAGGTCACGGATTTTACAGCCATAGTACCCCTGTCTAATCAAGTCGCTTGTCATATTTTGCTTCCTGTAAGTCTCCCGTCCTTTAGCCATTACCTTTTTCCGGGGTATAACTAACATCCCATTAGTTCGCGCTAGGACTTTTCTAGATCTAGAGCCGTGAGCCTTGCTTGCATATATCATTGTATATACACACATCAACTCTTATACACTCCTCAATTATACCCGTGGTCGAACCAGATAGCATGAAGAAGATTCTTGACATTTCGCTTAAACACAGATCGCCCGGAAGGAACGTGTTTCGCTCGCGTATTTGAACAGTGGTGGCCTGCCAATTTTTGATATATTATTATCATGACTTGGATGGGTATATCATGAAAAAGGCATTTTCTAAGGCGATTCTCGAATGTCTAATATTCTGAAATGACGAGAAAGTTGTGGATTGAGTATGTAAAAAGAAATAGATATGTTTATTGTTGGCTTTCAATTTGCAGAATAAGGAGACCTTGATTCGGGGGTTCCAGATAGTGTGATATGATATAGATGGGCAAGGAATTAGCGGCACCATGAGAGACATAATGTGATGTATATAGTAATAATTATTTTTCCAGTCTTAGTCAGAGAATGTGCAGCACATACTCGTACTTTGAGGCAACAAACACTTCCGTCATAAATGTTATACAAGCTAGTCGATCTTAAATTGGCATTTTATCCCCGACGTTCTCGGTGTATTAGGTTACGAAGATTGCCACGTTTCCCACAATAAATTGTCATTTTAGATCGAACCCCTATTCTCCTTGGCACCTGAAGATGACTCAACATCTTCAAAAGCTCCTTCCAGTAGTGTTTCTGATTTCGAAGAATTTTCAACATCTTCTGAGACATCCTCCTGTGAAGGAGTATCATTTGAGACAGCATCCCCTAAAATTTCATCCTCGGAAGCCATACTGGGATCCAAGGCCTTCAAGAGCTTTATATTTCGTCTCATTGCGCTCATTCTAGCTTTCTCTTGCCACTCGGCTTTAGCCAAACATATGTCAATCTTCTCCTCCACCAACCTCTTAATATGGAATGCTAAGGCCTGGCTGTGGAATACACCTGTGAATCTGTAACTCAGCCAGAGATACAGCGTGATTTTTTTATGAAGTCCTTCAACTTTGCGTACGTAAATCTCCCTTTGTTGCTGGGAAGTAAAGGTATCAGGATCCTCGTCCAGAACTTCGATATCAAGCTCTGATATATCCAGTACGTGGCCACCAGTGTTGTTAGCTACACAACGAGCAAACGCTCTCAATACTTCAACGCCCCCAGAATCGCGTACAGACACTGGAGCAGCAAGGAAGACAAGACGGTTACGAATGGAAAGACTAAAATCTTGAATGATGTCTGCAATGTCGACATGCTCCTTGAGCTTGCAGAGATGAAACTGGCTGCTTATAGAACCGATTTCGTGTAATCGCAGAATAATATAACTAAATGGTGTACTTTTGGGGAAACGCTCAGCAAAGCGTTCTATAACATCTGCTGGAGGAAATATTCCAGCTGAGGTCATTTGCGCGGCTTCTTTTGACATAGCATTCGACAATATCTTGTGATCCTCCTTGTAGAATGTTGTCACAAGGCCAACTGGAGGCTCTGTTGGTTTCGCTGGGATGCCATCAGTTACATCAATAGGCCCTGCTTCGATGGCATCTCTTGCCGTCTTATATCTTCCAGCTCGACCAGCAATTTGTTTAATTTCTGAAAGAGGGAGAGTTATAAGGTCTGTGCCATCAAACCTCTTGATAGATTCGAGAATGACACGTTTGATACTCAGATTCAAACCCATGCCAATGGCATTGCTGGCAACCAAAAAATCGTAATCATTATCGGGATCATTGAACAGAGCGGCCTGTAGAGCACGAGTCTCGGGGGGCAATGATCCATAAACAATAGCGCATCGTTTGCCTTTGTGCTGTGCCTCGATTTTGTTTTTCATGGCATGAATTTTCATCCTCGAGAATAAGATGATAGCATCACCTTTCTCCAACTTGCTGACTGGCCCCCCACCTTTTTCAGACGGACCATCTCTTTCGTTGTTTTTTGTCGAAAGACAATTATTCATTACTTGTAACTTCCCAAGTCTGTCGTAATTATGTATGACCAACTTGTCTCCCATCATTGCACATAGCTTTTTGATCAAGTCAGTCGTCCGGACTTCGCCACAAAGATGGACTTCCTTGGCCTGCACTCCAAGTACTGCTTGAGTCCACGCCCAGCCACGTTCTTCGTCTCCGATCATCTGAATCTCATCTATTACTGCTATATCGACTTTAGTATTCAGAGGTACCATCTCTACGGTACAACTTTTCATGAGATCTTTTCCACAGTCCGGAATACGTCGCTCCTCTCCCGTAATCAAAGAGCATGGCTTTCCTTTCGCATTGAGCCTTGTATAGACCTCGTGAGCTAATAGTCGCAGGGGCCCGGCATATATACCACTGTTGGCTGCCTCAAGCTTTTGCAAAGCATGATATGTCTTTCCAGAATTTGTTGGTCCAACGTGTAGATGAAAGGTTCGTTGCATCGCTCGTGTGGCCGGAAACCATTCAATAGGATAACGAAAATCTGCCAGTCTCTGATGATTTTGCAAGTTTCCTCTTTTTGAGAATTTGCCTGAAAGTGTGAAGTTCGTGAATGAATGTTTTATTTCATCTGCTAACCCTTTGGCATCCCTTGCAATGTATGCATCCTTGAATTTGCAAAAAAGAGGGTTGGATGACCTATCGATCTCGCCCAGCTCAGTTGCTCTTCTGCCTGCTGCTGCTGCCTCTTTCTCAAACTCTCGAAGCTTGGCTGCCAATTCCTCCCTACTTGACAAACCCCACCCTGCCAGATCTTCGTCTTTTATAGAACTTCGAACTTTTGTTCCAATGAGAAATTTCTTTTTCAGCCCCTGGGCTTCTGCTATTATATTGGCTTCAAATTTCCGAAACTCCGTCCTAGCCCGTCCCTGAGTATCTCTCGGCGGTCCATACCCTAATTCGTACAAATTTTCTGGATACTGGAAAGTTTAGTAGTAAGCAAATGAAGATACTAAAGGTAGCAGCTCCTGTGTGATATACCTTCTTGCGACCCTTTCGAGCTAACCTCGCCACAGGGCTAGACTGATGGAAACTTCGACCATTAGGTCGGAGAAATGAAGGATTTAGCCATATCAAGCTGCGGAATGTACAGAACGCACATTTTCCAGACCTTTGGTTCACCAATGTCATCACAGCAGCGGACAGCGCGATTGTATGTGAATATGGGCGAAATTATGTTGATATCAAATAGAAATGGTGACTTATTTTTTATGATTAGGTAAGCATTGAATGCATGAGAAGCCTAGCGGCGGCCGCAGTTCGCATTAGCTTTCGCGCCCTCGTCATTGTACCTCCCCGATCCTGTTACTTCCATGTTCAATTGGATTCAACCTTTCACAGTTGTCTTCTTTCAAAACGTCAGTTCTCAATCGCATGCGGCTCTTGATATCAGTTCCATCAATTGTTACATTCATTTTCTGTTTGATTTTTATCTAAGAAAATTGATCGCCGTGACACTTTGCGAAAGAGCTTTTGAATTCCAAATCTAGGTATTCAAGTAGAATTCTAATAATGGCCTCCTCATCCTCATCCTCATCCACTCCACCAACTCCTCTTCTCTAGTAAGCATATTTACTTTTCTTGGCTCTTTTGGTCATTTCCTAACATATCCAGCTCATGTATCTCTCACAATACCACGATCCTCGCCGAACATACCGCATCCGCCACCTCGCAAACCTCCTCTCTCGCCTCCCTTGTCCTTCCCAAAATCAAACATGACGAACCTCAAAAGCTGACATATACGCACAACAACTCGTTCATCCATTATATGGCATCCGCGCCTTCCGAGTATCCCGCTTCCGAATCTTCTGCCGGCGGACTCACATTTCTCGTAATCGCTGATGCTTCTCTCGGCCGTCGCATCCCATTTGGATTCATTTTTGAGATTAAAAAGCGCTTTTTCGAATCCTTCCCACCTTCTACCACAGACTTTTCCGATTTAGGAAGCTATGGTGCTGGATCCTTCAACTCGGAGCTCAAGAAGCTGATGATTGATTACGGAACGACCCAGGGTGGTAAGGAGGATGCAATCAAGAATGTACAAGGAGAAATCGATAATGTACGAGGAATCATGAGCCAGAATATCGAGAGCCTTCTCGAGAGAGGCGAGAGAATTGATCTCCTTGTCGACAAAACAGATAGACTAGGCGGAAGCGCATCGGAATTCAGGATTAAGAGCAGAGGACTGCGCAGACAAATGTGGTGGAAGAATGTCAAGCTGATGCTACTCTTGACAGTCGTCATTATATTCTTGCTTTACTTGTTTGTTGGGTTTGGTTGTGGATTTCCGGGCTGGCGGAAGTGCGTTGGATAAATGGATTATGCGAAGGATGGCATAATGTGGATGGAGAAAGCCATGGATTGAAATCAAATTGACAAATGGGGAGGATATCACTAGGATTGGGGGAATTTATACCACGGATTGGAGTTTTGGCATGCGGCTTTTTGGTATTCTAGTATACATAAGTTGACGGGTTAAAATCTTGCAAGGACATTCAAGTGAAATTGTACTCATGAATACGCATGCATTAAAGCCTCCAAAGTGACGTTGAACAAACCGCTGAGTATTCGTACAATGCAGAGAAGGCTGAATCCTATATAGACAATCCATGAAGTCTCTTTTTCTTTTTCAAAGTCAACCTCTAATGTACAGAACCGGTAAAATTATAAAAACCCCCAAGAACCATCTTCAACCGGCACTCTAAAAGCCCTCGTCACAACTTTGCTTCCCTCTCCTCAACCGCACCACTTTCATAAACATACCCCCTAGCAACTGGGCTTCCCGCCTTCCAATCCTCATACCCGTATCCATTCGCCTCCACGCCCGCAGGTGCTCTCCTCAATTTATCTGTAAAGAAAACTGGATGGCGTTTTGCAGAATCTAGGATGAATCTGCCGTTTTTGTGGGTTATGTGGAGGAAGGGAGATGATGCTGGTAAGGTTGTTGGAGATGGAACTGTGGTTGTGGTTGTTGTTATGGGTGTTGATGCTGATGTGGGCGTTGTATGTGGTGGAAGAGCTTCGATTTGGGTTCGGGGGGGAGTTGAGGCGGAGAATGTGAGAGCGGGGAAGGATGGGAATGAAAAAGAGAGGGGTGTTTGATCAGTTGGTGGGGATATTGAGCTTGTAGGTGGATGTGGATTGGAAGGTGGAGCTGACGGTGTGGATGGTGTTGGGATCTAATTGATGGGCACTAGTTAGCTAGCTATATTCTTCGATTATCCCCGTATCGGCTAAGCAAAGCTCGGTAAGATTTTCCAACATACGGTAGGTCTTTTTGGTTGTAAGGAAGAAATCATCTCGTCGTTGATTGGAGTTGTAGATGGAGCTGTGTATTGAGAATTTTCATGTGGTTGAGGGCTTCGAAGTGCAAATGCTGGATGCGGTGCAAATAGCTGAGATATGGAATGGCGTAGGGGTGGCATCTCGGATAAGGTACTAGGTATGTGAAGGAGTAAGCTTCCTATTTGGGTCCTTTGTCCGGAAATCTTGATTTGTATATACAGCAATTGTATGATGTTATGAGCTTTCGCTAAAATTATGTCAATTCCAAGATGTCGCGATGATTTTCGTAAATCTTTTGATACTTTTCAGAGAGTAGGATTTGTGACGATTTCAACATTTAAAAAGATCAGAAGTGAGGGGGCGGAAAAATATACCGTAGATGGAAAATTATGGAATGTGGAGTAAATCTAAATCAAGCTCCAACTTTAAATGGACGTCTGGCACAGTTGCCGAGGTAGGCGAGCACTCCACAATGATGCTATTCTCACATATGTATAACTTGTGGAGGTGCTTGTTGCTGTCATTATGCAAGTATACCGTGTGCACCGATTATGTCTCCATGATATTCTGGATTTTGTGGCAGTTGTCGTGTTCGTCATTGCTAATCGATTGTCAGATGCTGCACACATTCCAGATCGATATCATAGCCCACATATGATGGTTTAAGTGACCTGATTCTGCTCTGGAGATATCAAGCTTGGTGAAGCTCCTTAGGACAGATTTGATGCACTAAGTGTAGTGCAAAGCTGTCGTCGGTCCTACGTTTGCTCCATGTACACACTCTACTGCATCAAGAGCACTTTCCTCCTTGAGGACCTCCAATGCATCACGGCCCTACTGGGTATCCGTGTATTCGAGAAGACTATCTACTATAAGAGATAGTCTCTCAATCTTGTTTAAATTCATAGCATCGTTTTTGCATCCTGGTGGAACTTCTTCATGGAGTTTCAGAAACCTCAGTTGGTGATTGAAAAGTTGTTTGAAGAGAATTGGAAGGTCTTCAAACACTCCAGATTAGTTTTCAGGACAATAAGCATGCCAAGGACCGAAATAGACATTGCACCAACGGAAAGCAAAATGAGTTTGTACCCTAATAGCTCATGTCCTCCCACCCAAGGGGCTTGGCTATTAAACATGCCTGTTTTTGATTTGTTCAACTGCCATGTGGCAATAGCTCGCCTAGCTCGAACAGGATTGCAAAAAAAGGAACCTCCTTCCAGGGCGTTCCTCCTTGTGTCCGTCGACGGTTGTAAGGTTGCAAGGTTTTAATATTTGCATTGCTATTATTAGGATTCTCTCACAGTTTGATGTAATGGATATATGGGGAGGGAGGATATATGTTTGCTCCTTTTGATCTAGTTATTGGGACAGCGAAAAACAATATGAAAGATTTGGATGGTGAACTGTGGTAGTGGCGGCGGCGATGATTGTGGGAGGTTGAATTGTATGAATTGTCTAAATTGAAGGCACTACATTAACGGAGGAAATTACCCGGGTCGAGGAGGAAATTCCGTAGTAATGGTGCGTTCGGATCGATTTTTTTTTTCACATTTGATTATATTTGGACCAATATATTAGATCTAATATACTCAAAGCGAATATGATATTCCAGCCAATATATATTTGCCCAAATATTTACGTTTACTGGATACAATATTAGATTTAATAAAAAAATATTGAAATAAATAAATATTTGATTAAATATTCAAACTTTTTTATATACAATAATCAATAACAGCTTTTTGTGTTACGTAGTAACAGTCAACCTGTCCATATGAGCTCAGACCCCGTGGAAAAGCAAACCGATTCGCATACAAAATTGTATGGTAATTGGTTCGTAGAGTCTCCCCACCTTCAGCAAGCACAGACATATGTTCTGATTGAAATCACGGTGATGGATCTAAGGATCTAGATAATTAAACTCTAGATCCAATAGATCCAAGGGATCCAAAAGAATACAGTAGAATATGAAGTTCTATATAAAGGGATAGGTTTTCATTTGTAGAGCTTCGTGCTCAAGATCAATCATTTAGTATATCCTACTATTAGTTACGAATTGCATATCATTATTGTCATTACTTAAGTCCCTGCTTGACGCCTAGTTATAAACCACCTCGAGAGCCTAGAGCACTTCCACGTGATCTAGACGGCAAACCTCGTAACATTTTGATATTAATAGTTACATATTTGAAAAATTTCGATATCTCAATCATCAAAAATCTTTATTTTCATTCACTTTTATTATTTTTTCAAATTTATCTCAAATATATTAACCTCATTCAAATATATTCAAATATATACTAGATCTAATATTTTATTGAGCTCAATATTTCTAATATTTTTGAAAATCGATCCGAACGCACCCAAGTGAATGCGACTTGGAAAACTTTCGAAATCGTTCTATCATGCCATCCACGTTTTCGAGTCATTATACATTCACCTAGCAAATGCTTCCCCCAATAAACTTCAAAGTGAATCCTATCCCATAGTATCCAGGCCGAGAAGCTCCATTGAATAATATTAGCAATTGCTGCTTCCAAAAGACGGGACGACAACACGAGAGCCATACAGTACTGATATTCACCCCAACATACTGTGCCTCCCATTAAATAAAATTTGTCTTTACTGTGCCTTGATTTCGCAATCTTAGATCTGGTAACCGAACTCGCTTTGCCATAAAGCTACGGCACTCAAAGTCTATAAAAGAAGTCTTCCCTCCCTCTTCCTTCAAATTTTTTCCTTCCCTCTTCAATCCATTGCCACGAACAACAAAACACATCTTTCTCCAACACCTTTGTATTTGCTTGCTAGTACATCTAGAGTGAGAGATCTATGCTCTTGTTGCTAGTGGTACGGGGTCGATCGTTGGATAACTCAAGTACTCTCATTGCACGATCCTCGAACTCTGTAGTGCACTACGGTCAGGATTCTATACCCTTAGCTGGGACTTAGATGACTGCCACACCATAGGGGGAGAGTGAGAGCGCCCAACGCTACGCCCACCTATATCTACTTTCACTCCTATTGTCGGTTTATCGTGGCATTTAGTGTGTTTTTATGAGAGGGGTTGGATTCAAATCTGTTCGTTTCCAATATAGAATCTTGCGCCAACCTTAATGGTCGCATTTATGCGATCATCACGGTTCCTTTCCTTATAAAAGAAAGTGTTCCCGCGCTATTGATTCTGAACTTCCCTCTAACATTTCTTGTGCATCTGAGCTGAGATCTAAGTTATTGACGGGTGGTTAGGATTCGTCGCTTCTTATGAGGTGCGAATCCAGATCTTGATGGTGGATTCTGAGAACTTCACTTGATAGGACGCACTTGTGGGGAATCTGTGGAGAGGTGATCACTTTCTTACGATTCATTAGCTTTTGATCTTTGATCATGTTGCTTTGGGGCTTTTCACACTGGAATATTGTTGATAGGGCACTGTTAACATTTGTTTGCTATTATGGTATCACTTTCTGGTCTATGATGATAAGGTTTAAGTCAACCAGGGTCATTTTTCATGTCATCTTCGATTTGGATCTTGAACCTTTGACGAAATATACTATACTCTCAGATCAATTTGTTGAAAGATTTTTCTTTACAAGTAATTGGACCATGTGGTCTGACTTTATTTTTTGTTTTTTCCCTATGGCGGTTTTGAGGATACGGCTTTTTTTTTTCTCTTTAATTTTCTTCATATTTCCGTGTTCTTGTGATGGTAGCAAATATTTGTACTTGGAGAACTTGGTGCGTGTTTGACTTGGAGGAAATCTTTACGTAGGTTTTCAATGTAAATGATATCTAAAGAATATCATGTACCAAGTTTATTATAAATGGAAATAACACAGCAAGATCATCCACTTAAATTCATACCTCATCTTTGTGAAAATATCTCATTGTGAACCTATCTAAAAAACTTCCTAGATGACTGAAAAGGTAAATCGCCTAGGTAAATCTTCCCCTTCCCCCAACCCGCTAAAATGCAATTTTACAAATGTACATTCCCGAGTTTCAACCCGATTAACTACTTCGATTCATTCCCAGAAGCAATTCTTGCTTCAATGATTTTATTAGCAGATACTCCTGGCGAAGTTTGATTTTCCAAGCCTAACTTTCGATCTCAATGAATTTTATCTAAGACTTTTTCGTAACCATCATCCTAACATAACAATGGGCAATACCTTTTGAATCTATCGTGTATGACCAGTGCGATGACTGGATGATTGTATAGGCCCCCTTATGTGATGATTCTGGTTACATCGATAGATAGGTAACCCGTGGTAAACTGCGGGCCCGGGTGAAAAGCCGCCCTAGATATCCACATTGTAATCTTACGCGGGCAGTAACGGGGTCGGATGAGAAGCCGACCCAAGGCTTGTCCGAATCACAACCCAAACTCAGTATTTTGATAGCAAAGGTAAGGAATTGAACTGTAATCGTCAAACTAGACAAAATGCACATCATGGAATATTTTCCTTCAATGGCATACATAACAGAGTGGGGAATAGCTGCGAACACTAATGCAATTGCGCCTATGGTAATTTTTAATACTTCGCAAGAACTTTCGGAAATTACTTCTGGGGTATATTTAACTCCTGTCGCCTTTTCCTGACTTCCTCAATCGCCGCTTCAGCATCTGTCGAGTTTGGGTTCCTTAACTGCCACTCCATGCATACATTCAAAGCCGGTCCCATCCACATGTCAGGTCTCACACCCAGTGCTTTTGAGAGGATCTTCCCATCTATAATTCCGCGGATTGCAGGAGCTTCCATTACATCAAGATCCCTTAGATGATCTATGAATTGTTGCCACTCCGAGAATAATGATTGGTATCCTAGAAGAAATTAGCACCAACTGGGAGAAATGTGAGTATCAATCATACCTTCAGCACTTTCTAGCTTTAAAGCCTCAACAAGTAATGCAAACAGAACTTGTAGTTTCCATTGTCCACCCTGAGATTCCCATTTCCGAATCATCATCCCAACTGTATCTCGCTTGTGGATATATGAATCGTTTCTCAAGACTGCATCCTTGAGCTCCGTGATCTCGGCATATTGTTTAAATGCACCGGCAACCATACTGCATAACTTGCTTTCTGCCTTTAGTCCTTCTCGGGCAACCAAAGCTCCAAATGGTGGGGGTGTCTTGCCTCCAGGTTTTGATGCTTGTGCTGGTGGAACAGCTGTCCAGGGCGTCAATGCGGCGAGAATCCAGGCAAGATATTTGGCATCGTCTGATCGCACTAGCGATTTATAAATCGAGTCTGGTGTCTCATTTGACTTCATTTCTTCCAGACAATCGTAAACAACTCTCCAGTTAGATATATCTGGTACCGGGATACTGTCTGCTGCAGGATCTGTGAAGATTGTGGAGTAAAGACCAAGTCGATCAAAGAGATGTAAAGATTGCCATGGGTTATTTCCTGAATATGGTAAGAAAACGTTCTAACTATTGCAATCACAATTGACCAATATCTCACCCTTTAACATTTTTTCAACCTCAACCCCTACTCTTTCTCGACTTATCTTAAGTTTTAGAGCTTCCATAATGGCTGGATTGCCCATAAACTTCTCCGATTCCGAATCAATTTTGAAATCTAGTCGACTAGCAAATCTGATTAACCTCAAAACTCGCAATGGGTCATCTTTGAAAGTAGTATATGGTTCAAGTGGTGTTTTGATGACTTTAGCTTTCATATCCGCAAGTCCTCCAGTGAAATCTTCGACGATATCTGTATGAAGATTATAGAATAAAGCATTAATTGTAGCATCCCGTCTCAAGGCATCTTCCTCCGCAGTGCCGGGCTCCATTTGAGGGTTACGACTATCTTCGGTGTAAGTTTCCTTGCGTAGATTGACAAAGTCTACATCGAATTGAAAAATATTGGTTGTGGCAGTTTCCAAATGTTTAGACTTCTCCGGATTCGCAGCAATTTTGTAGAGTTTTTTAACATCCTTAGCCTCTAGTGCATGCTTCTTGAGGTTTTCTGTATCTTCCAGGTATTCCCTCATTTTCAAACTGAAATTATACCCAGTCATAACATTAATTGCTGTGTCGATATCATGGCTTTCGATTCCGAGCAGCTTGTCACGAACCCATCCACCAGCCCATCGCAACTCAACTTTCTTCTCAATTTCTTTGGACTCATTGATGTAGTTCGCAACATCAAGCAAAAGATTTCGAAGTTGACCCTCTCGAGAAGTCAAAGCAATAGTAGTACTAGCCATGATCGTCCCTCGCAACCTTTTTGCGAAGTAAATTTCTTCTTCGTCGTATTTTCGTTTCATGGACGAGAATTGGAATGTTTGTCGTTTGCCGGTAGTGACTCTTAGTAAAGACCTAGTACTTATGACTCCACAACTCTGGACCAAAGATGTTAAATTTGGAATCATAGCATGAGTCAGGAACTCTTCTAGTAAACCAAAAAGTTGGATTTCCACTATCTATTAATGACGAATAAGGAAAAGTAGGAAGAATTAACCGGAAGTTTTGATATATTCTATTTAAATCACGTGTTGGTGCGGATTTTGGTGGTGCCGGATTATTTTTAGCGCGAGGACATTATCAATTGTTGGAGTGTGGGAGTTCGCGCGATTGTAACTCTCGAGTACAACGTATACAGAACACAGAACACGGAGACGAAATAAATTACTGAAAGGCATATCGCGAACTTCTTCTAAACTCCTTGTATATTTCTCATGTCGATTATCCGGAGTTTCAGCATAGACTATTTAAGACGGATTGGCGTTCGAGTATTGTACAAGGCTACATCCGGATGAACAGTCGCCCTACTTTTCGCAGTAGTCTACCTCCGACTGATTAGGCGCATGGTTCTGCGATTGTTTGGGTATTTCAGTTACGAACGAACATCATTTTATCCTGGCTGCGGGCCCCTCGGTCTTCATGACACCTTCCAATCATGTATCTCCCTTCAGTCCCCCCGAGCCGGTGACTAGTCCCACTCCGTTGAGGAGGCCGAAGACAAGAATTTCAGCGGATGCGCAATCAATGACTTCGTCTGTAGCTTCACTGCCATACAGAGCCTCAAATGCTTCCGTACAGTCACTATTTGCATCAACGACAACACCTTCCAGTTCAAGACCAGTCTCTCCGACCGGGGGAACATCAACACCTTCGCGAATCACAGGATCCGTGTTTGGCGGAAGCATTGTCTCCGAAGCTTACCTTTTACCATCAGATAGAAAAGACGATCCACGGAATCTAATATTATCTGGATTTGTTCCTCATATTGCAGTACATACATCTGCCGACACACACGAGCTTGTACAAGACAAAGGGTTTAAGGGAGGGCTTTGGGAACTAATTAGACCATTCGGGGAGAAGATACAAGGCAAGGTCAACGTGCGAGATAGTATAGGAGCTGGTAGGACGTATGACGATTTCGGAGTGCGATTTGTACAATTGGGAGATGGGCTCGAGATACGGGAAGGAATACCTGGGTCGCGGAGGAGTGGGGAGGGCAGAGTTCTGTCGCCGAATGGCACCAGATCAATACCGGAGTCGATAGCAGCTCAGCGGCTTAGGACGGGGGGCGATATTCCTCAGATTGAGCAACTTGTCGATCGCCATTTAGCAAATGCGGAAGAATTCCCAGGTGTCAGTGCAGAGGATTTTTTGAATTTCAAGGATAGCTCTAAAACTTCTGGAGCACCTTCTCCATTTTACACACTTTATTTACGAAGATTGCTCTCAGGAATCCCCTTAGCCCCGCACGAGACTTTCTCTCATCCAGTGGCATGTATCATCGCCATAAGTTCACGAAATAAAAATCCGATTGAAGCTTTAAGGAGGTTATATGAAGAATCAAGTCGCGGAGAAAAGCGGTTGCCGCTTTGGGTCAATGATGATTATCTCCGTTATTATGTTTTGGTACATGATGAAGAACGAGATGATATCACCAAATCTATTACATTATTTGAACAAATGAAACGTCATTTTGGGCTTCATTGCCATCTTCTGAGGCTTCGAAGCAGCCAATGTGTGGCAACAGATGATGATAGTGTACAACTTCCACGGTGCGAATGGGTAGCTGCGTCGGAGGAAATGGCCGAGATACAAGCGCGAGAGTCCCAAGAAGATCCCGAAGATTCATTTCCGTGTATATATGAATCTGATACCACCGCTATTAAAACATTTATTCGAGAGATGGTCACTCAATCTGTTGTACCATCGATGGAAAGATGTGTGGCAACGTGGAACGATCAGGTAGCTTCGCGGCGAAGGGGTATAAGCGGAAAATTTATGAGTTTATCTAAGACTTTGAAGTGGGGATCGTTTGGTTCTAGCTCACGAAGTACTTCCACAAATTCGATGGGATCTGGTAGTAATTATGATGCCTTGCAAGGGTTTTATCGACCGGATTCGCCTGAAGCATTAATGCGGAAACTGGCAGACTACTCGTTCATGCTTCGAGATTGGAAATTGGCTCAGCAAATTTATGACTTTTTGCGGTCCGATTTCACTAATGATAAAGCATGGAAGTATCATGCAGCAGCGAATGAAATGGCCGCTATTAGTACCCTCATGATGCCTAATGCTATAAGCGCCAAAACACGTACGGAAACGATCGATTTGATGCTCGAGACTTCATCGTATTCATATATGACGCGATGCAGTGCCCCATATGGAGCCCTACGCTGCTTGACGCTTGGAATGGAGCTTCTTAGAGTGAGAGGTGGTTCAGCTACAGGCGATGCAGCAAGATGGGGCTCTAGACTTCTTGAACACAAAATTGTGGGTCCTATTGGGGATTCATTGTTCAAGGAACGTGTCGCGGTATGTTATGGGTCGAAGAAGGGGCATGGAGTTGGTCTTTGGGGTAACAGAACGAGGAAATCTGCTATGTGGAGTATCATGGCAGCTGAAGGTTGGCTCAGCCTGGACAAGCCCCATCAATCGAAAAAGAGTCTGGATGATGCTCTTGCGAAATATGCCACATTGACGAATAAAGATGGTCTGATGTATTTCTCGGAAGCGAATGGATTCATTCAAAATCTTGAGAATGAGATCGAAAATACTTTATACCCAATTACCGAGTCACAGGCAACAATCATGCCAGACGACGATGGAATAGAAACAACAATGGGAGAAGAAAGTGAAGCTTTTAATTCTCGTCCACATCGAAGAAGCCTAGTGGGCGGAGTAGCACCGCCTCCTGTTGCGAGTCTCGAATCAGCTCCTTTGCATGGGACTCTGATAGAAGCGGAAGAAAAAGATCAGCTTGTTACGAGTAACGATTTTGAACAAGAATAAATGGGAAGACTGACGTTACAGTTACGTATCAATGAAAGCGAGCGCACTTCCTGCATATACCATTTTTATTTTATTTTTGAGAGGTTGAATGTGCTTGAATGGAAAGCATTGCGGAATAGGAGTCTGAGGAGTTCATAGATTTGTCTGAAGATACATAAGTCTGGGGATGGACATTGGGATCTTTATGTATGAATACTATGCTATGCTATGAGATGAATTCGATGAATGATTTTTATCTATTATTATTATTGAAGTATCCAGCATCTATATGTTGAAAGTCGATTAATCATTATGGATCTTGCAAAGTCTCTATTGACTTTTTTAATGAAGCATGCTAAAAATACCCGCAAAAGTTCATCTGTAAATATGACTTCTTCCATCGTTGTTGTGGTCTTCATTTCTTGACTCCTTTTCTCCTCTTACATTTACATAATCTATCCTTTTAGAAAAGATCATATATCTACAAGGATATCCATAAATATATACCCCAAACGCCTTTCCCTTCCCCATAACAAGATGTGTCGCTAAAGGTGAGATGCCCCTTTTCCTGCTTCCGAATCATCCAATACATATCTAGATATCATAGCAATCCCAACGTCCCAACCCCAAAAGATTTAATATCAAATCCGAACACCGTCCCTTTCACCCTCTTCATCCTTACCAGCCTCTCCGATAATAAATTCTAATACTTTACAGATCCTCTCGTTTAAAATACCACCTTTTACCCACTCTTCCCCGTTCAACTCATCACCCAATCCCTCCGCTTCTAATTCCACTTTTTTTGCCCTCCTTTCCTTTTCCACTCGTTCTTTCAGAGCTCTATCAATTCTAACCGGTACTGCTACCACAACTCTTATTAACAAAGCCATCAATCTAGCTTTTCCCACTAAATCCCATCTTCCTAAACTTCTTAATCGCTTCTGAACCCTCCATATCCTTCCCATCTCGATGTATATCAGTAAAGCCCATATCCTCCCTCTCATCACCAATTCTCTTACTTTTATAAAAGCCAGTTCAATAGAAGAAGTTACATCGGTATTGATGAGATGCGGATATTGTGAATTGAGAGAAGAGAGGAGAGAGCGAATGGTGATGAAATCGCCGGTGAGAAAATCATGAATGAGTGATGAGACTGTGGTTCGGAATAGATTGTCGGAGGCTAGAGAAGGAGAAGGATATTTGGTGGGTAGCGAAGAGGCGGCGGTTGAAGACGATAAAGGAGATGTGGAATCGTATGCTTGACGAGAGGAAGGAGATTTAAGGATTTCGAATGCGAAGGCTAGACGTTGAAATGCACTGATGGTAGATTGTTAGTGAACGTTGGAACAATAGGAGGTTGTAATTAAGGGAAGATGGACTATGGAGGGAGGGGTAAAAATTACCGAGTGGAAAGTGGATGAAAGGGAATTTTATCGGGATGACATATTTTCGATCGTTCTAAATAACATCGTCGCAATTCCGCATATGAAGCAGATCTCTGTGCTCCAAGTATTTTGTATAACTGTATGAATTATGTTGTCAATCATCGGGTTCGTGTACTTATACCCCTCTCACAGCGTGGTACTTATTTGCCCCCCCCCGGCTTTTCAACGTGTGGAGTGCAATGAGAATGCATCCGAAAAGCCCAACGGCAATCCCATATAATGAAGATAATAAATACAAGAAACATACATCTTCTTCAGCAAGAATACCTAATAATCACAAAAAGCAAACCCCAAGTCAGCAATTGTCCATCTCAAAACCCTCAATCCAAAGCCTCCTCATCCAAACCCAAAAATCACATGTCAAAAAAGCAGGCAAGAAACTCACAGTGAATTACATCATCCTTAGAACCCGAAAACTCCCCAAAATCCCTTTCAATCATTCTAATACACTTTTCTTCCACCGATACAATATAAGGAACATGAAATAAAATAAAATAATAATAAAAATAAACTGAGTATTAGAGAATCAACATAAGAAGCATTTTTACCCAAGAGAGAGGTGAGATGTAGAATGAATGAATGTTACATGGAAAAAGAATGTGGAAAAAGTATGGTAAGTGCTTCATAAGTCGGGAGGGAGAATTCGCTGGACTTTCACATGGAAAAAATGAGGCGTGAAGTGTGGTTTTGCGTGTGACGCTGGGGGAGAAGATTAGTGGATCCGGTTGGTTGGAGAGAAAGAGATGGTGGTGGATGACTAAGGAGTTATGCAATGTTTATGTATGAATTTTTGTGCAATGTAACAATGTATATGAACATGACTCAATTGATGCTGAATATCAACATTTGTCGGTGTAAGGTTAGGGGTAAATTTTAAGATTTTAGGAAATCGTTGAATATTACTTGCAGAGTTCTTTTCATATTAGCCATAGCATATATAGGTCATAGTAAGACAGACAATGGATCATACGAGCACAGCAGCAGAAGAAGACCGAAATATCAGGTCAGTTGTAAATATGGAAATATAACATCAGCTCATCTCCAATCTTAATAAAACTCAATTCTGCCGCCATCAACCGACTGAAACCCCGACCTTCCAGTAGTAATCTCACAATCATATACCCTAATCCATACCCATATCAGTGTCGACACCATGGAGATTCTTCATGGCTTGTCTTTCTACTTCCGCCCAAAGCTCTGTCTGCTCCTATTCACTTCATATCAAGCCCTTTCTCATCCAGCAGAATAATCTCCTTCAAGACCTCCTCGCTTTCCAGTTTATCGTTCTTAAACTTCTTCGTGCCAAATCCGAGCCATCCACACCTTCGAAATGGTCCTTGATGATCGTCAGAACTTTGTGGGCAGTAATTTCAAGGAGCTTGTTTCTGTGTACCTTTGAGTCGCCCTGTACTCGGATCAGCGCTATCTTCTTCCTTTTCCTTCTCGTCTGACATGATGAAGTTGAACTTGCGTCCCCTGATTCTGAGCTAAAATCTCCCGCTCTCGTTCCCGTAAGGACTGTAAGTGGCTTTTCGTGCGACCTGCATGGTTAAATAAGGAGAAAGACTTGGGTGGTAGTTAAAGATATGCTGGAAATGTGTGATTGCTGAGTTTCGAATTGTATGTAAGAAACTGGAAATTCTTCGTATTGTGTGAATATCAAGTTTGGGATAAAAGATATCAAGCAGTTAGTGTACTTTTCGAATCTCCAGCCTCAATGCCGGCCGTTATTGGCACAATAATACAACAACAATGAGAAAAGTGTTAAGACAGGATTGTAGCGCGCTAAGCATGAAAGTTACAAGCAGTTCCAGTAAACGGACTACTGTTCCATACATAGATCTAGACCGTGGTAGTAGACCTTAGATAGAATTTGACCTATAAAAGTGCACAAGAGAGGATCAAGGCAAGGACATCATTTTAGACAACTAGCATGCTAAATCCCCCAGATTACCATACAAAGCAATGACAGATTGTGGGAATGAGGCTCTTTCTAAAAGATCTTGCTGCTTAGCAAGTCGAAGCTATCCTCAGATCAAACGCACGGCTATGCAAGATCCACGAGCTTTGCCTCAATTCAAGAGTCAGATCAGGAAAGCAACTACTAGATATGCTTGATGCTTTTTCACGAGCAAAATTCCATCTCGGACATGAGATACGTATAAGCAGAATGTAAGAAGTAGACATTTTAAGTACCAGTTGAGTGACGCGATGAAGCCATCGCTCTGTGACTGACAGGACGAGAAGTTTGTTAGTAGCATGATGCCATGATGTATGACCTAAAGATACTTCTGTGCGGATATTTAAAATAGAGAAATATGAATTATCAATCATGCTAAGGCGCGACTTTCCTTCGATTTTTATTTTGTAGAATTCGAATATACCAAATTAATCATCTCAATGATGAGTATTTTGTTGTTTGTGGAGGCAAACAGTTCATCCGTGGTTGTATTGCTCGAGTAGAAGTTCGCGAAAGGAAAATACTCGATTACCTAATCTTCTTCTCAGATATCCCTTCAGGTCCGACCATCAATTCTTTCCTACAACGACAATTTGTACCACAGAGTGCAATCATGTTCACGCTTGCTCGTAGCCATGCTACGGACAGAATATACGATGTGAAATCGCATAAAAATGGGATACCGTTATTGCCATCTAATTGTAAGTTCCCCTTGCTTTCCTGCCAAGTATTGTCTTAACACGTGACTAGTTCTACCAGAATCTTACACTTTCGAAGATCTGTATCGAGAGCTGGTGAAGGAAAATGAAAGTGGTAAAGATGTAAGTATATATCTTTCGGTGATTCGAATCATCTGCTTACTACATATCAGGAAGAGCTAGTAAGCCTTCTCATACTTGCCAGTTGCCTAAAAGAAAAATCGAACATTGTCGGAGGGCCTGATAATGAGAAATGGGTTGAGAAGTTTGAGGATTACTTGTCAAACACGGCATTGCCTGATGGAAGAATATTCTCATTGGATAAAAGTGACGGCAAGCTATTTCTTTCCAATATACAGATTTGGAGCACAAGCTCATGTTTTAAGAAGAGGAACAATCGGACGAAACCCACAAAGCTAAGCAATACAGAGACAAATACAGCCTTCGTATTCTCTCAATATCATACCTCCTCGAGACAGCTTCAAACTCATTGCAACAGCCGAAGAATTCAACCCTCCTTTCCCTCATTCCATTTACCAGCACCGAGAATCCGTGGACGACTCCACAATCGCAACAAATTGCTACCAAAATACTCGAAAAACACAGTCTTTACGTTCAATCCTCCAAATTTTTAGTCGCTTACCTTCTTATCTCTTTCATTCGTCCCATATTTTCGGAGGCTGCCACTCCAAATTCCATCACTGCATCTTCCCGAAAAGCAGCACCATCATCTGCACCACCTCGTCATTTAGATATCCGCGAATCTTCTCCTTCAAGACAGCCGTGGAGATCAAATATTCCACACACTATAACAGTCCTGCAATGGATTATCCGATCTATCTCTGTATGTCTTCTCACTCTTATCTTACATCTTCATACTAATATGTACCACTAGCCGGAGATCCTTCGCACGGATGAAGTATTTCCACAATTGGTACCCGCCCTCCTCATTCTTTTGGATTCTCCCTCAAACTCAATACGTATTCATACTCTCCGACTTCTCCCTACTTTGTTCTCGAAAATGGGCGAAAAGCTCCTTATAAAAACAGGACTAGGTGAAGTCTTCGAAGATGCCATCCACCCAGTTTTGTTATTCCTACCTTCCATAACGCCTGTTGAAGACACACTCAAATTATTACCAGCGGGATACGAAGCACTTTATGCATTATGTGATGCCAAATGGCCTGAAAAAGAAGACGAACAAGCCAGTACCGGTGCCATAACCGTACCCACAAGCAGCCTTTTAGGCAAGACAACAAACACTCCGGAATCAGCAATTAGACTTCGCCTCGCCTTTCTTGACAAAACAATCCGCCATGGTATCCTCCCTGCTTATACCCACTGCCAAGAAATACCCTCAGTAGTCGAAATACTCATGTCACAAATCAGTATCATTATCCCGAAGATGAAGATATCTGGCGTGAAACATCTTAAAAACATTCTACCTATTATATCAAACACCCTAATCAACCCCTTCTTCCCAGACACATCACCATCGCTTACCATAAAAACACTACAAACACTAAGAGAGATAATCCTCGTACTCTGGCCCCGCATCAGCGTCAAAGAACATCGACTACTTATCCTACAGGCCTTGGGACTTCTCTACTGCAATACTCGTTCAGATTCCGTAGGGAGATCCAAGGGTGAGAAAATAGTAGATGTAGAGGCAGGGGTGGAGACAGAGATCATGAAGGAACTTCAGGAAACGGGAAAAGTTTTCGTAGCAGCGGTTCAGATGGGAGATGATGAGGCGAAAGAGGATTTTAAGCTGGAATTGGATATACTTGTTAAGACTGAGGGGGGATTGGCTAGTATTTTCCCTGTTTAGATGGAGTGTTGTGGAGGTGTATGGGACTTGTAGGTCTTCAATTCAATAGTAAGATATTATTGTCATGTGTGGTTTTGGTAGTCTGGTTTGATTATGGATGGGGGATTTATTGATCTGTAACTCGAGTTGCATTGTAGGTTTAGGTAATATCTTAAATGATACTCTTTCTTTATAGCACTGTGAAATGAACGTCCCTAATATGTTAAGATCATACTGAGTAAATTTCTAACGTTTTTTGGAAAAATCGTAAGGATAATCAACACTCACTATAACTTATAATAAAAAGTTTTTTTATATATTGTTTAGTGTATAAGAGATGACCAAAATTATTTTTTAACCCCATCGAAGAATGAACACCTAATTCCTTTGTAATACTTCTTTTCAAATGCTTGGATCATAGCTATATCTATATTCTGGTGATTGCCAGTGAAATTATTTGGTGAAGCCGAACTTTCTTGATAGCATTGCGAATGCATGGCACGCCCGAAGCCACTTCTCGCTTCCTCTGCATAGAGCAGTCTTCAACTGAAGACGGTATTAAATGACATAAAAAAAATCTCTCCCTAACAAGTTCCTCGCACGAAACCTGAAATTATGGAATTTCAAGCTCTTCTTTTCTCAAACTCTCCCTCACCTCTCCATAGGTATACAAGAACATTTACATAGCATTCCCCATAAGCCTATAGCCTGCATCATTTCTTCCCAAGCAATCGAATCAGAGCATCCGAATGTTATGAGTATTGTCACTTTCTATTACTTCTTGACGTGCCAGTCCCACCTGATTACGATTAGTCAAAAAGAAAATCCGATCCAAACTTTCTCTTGCGCATGCAGAGCCATCAGTTTAGCATGCCTAAGTTACATATCTTTAGGCTTTAATAAACTTTCACCATGATAGTTATTCTTGAGAACGTCTCAGAGATTCGAGTCGGAATGTAGCTCTAAAATGAGATAGGTTATTGCGCTGAGTAGCTTATTGAAGGAATTTGCGTGAGTCTATTTGATAGTAACATGAAAACACACAAGCGCTGCACATCCCCCCAATGATCGATGGGTCTAAGGTTCTTTAGCGAGTTTTGGGCCAACGTCCCAAGGAGGGCACCACATGCTCTTATGGCTACAGACCCGTTCTTCCATTCTTCAGGGCTTTGCATGCTTCTCGGCATACCGAGATGTGATCAGGCTCACCTCAATGCTTGCTATTTAAAGAAAAGCTATACCAATACTCTAGGACGTCGAATATTCTGCAGGCGAACGTGACCTCTTCTGCTGGGAATCTAATCAGGGCCCAGGATGGGATGTTGAGTCGATTAAGCTTGTCATACTAAGCTTCCGTAGTGAGCTTGGCGCGAAGGGAGACTTTAATCCCGCAGACGGCGAAGGTCACGGTAAACCTCTGCCACGAATATTGAATAATTCAATTTTTTTGAGTGGGTGGAGCTCAACATCGTTGGTTAACCCCATCAAAGCGAAGATTTCATCACCAGGATTGGATACCAGTTTTTGATAGTGATATTGAATTGCGTCGAACAATCCGATGGCTTTAGAAGAAACACTTGCCGTGATGCTTCTCTAAGGGATGGGTCTTCCTATTTGATTTACGGGTATATATCTTCTTAAAGTCGCTGGAAAGGTAAAATACCTGGATCTTGATCTACCTTCATGGCCTCTTGAGCTTCAAACACATGTATAGGGATGGTTTTGTTACGGCAAAAGTACTAGACAATCTTTCGTTCGCCATGGTAAGCTCTTGCAACACCCATACGGGTTCCCGATAATGACGAGAAACCAAAGTATAAAAGCTGTAAAATACACTGCAATTTGCGGAGTTTTGAAAGCATATTGGGTAAGATTTATCTCGCATCACGGGACTGATATAGATAATTGGGAAGTGGTAGGGCATTTTGGCCATCTTCACCATTTTTTTTTTCGAGCCACGACACTAACTTCTCTGCACGTTTATGACATTGTTGGGCCGGTCAAACGGTGAAACTGGTGATGTTGATCTGGATGCCTTTTGGCGTAACTGAGCCGGTTGCTGGTGTATAACAGTCAAGCCAACCCTCGATGACAAGGTTTCACATGAATTCCTTTCCAAGGCAGCTTGACCGCACGAAATCAAGCAATATATCAATAATAAAAAGTTTTACTTGTAGAATTAACAAACAATGAAGGGAAAATTGTGGTAAAATGGTGGCGTAGAATACAATCTAGAAAGAGATATGGTTCTTTTACACATGGCTTCCGCATCACGTTACGGAGAATGGCGAAGTCATCTTACATAATGGCTCGCTGTATGCTTGCTAGAAATTGGAGAGCAAGAGGTAACTTCTGCGTTTTGTGACTGGACAAAATGACTCGGATTCAAATCAATCATGAGCCCGAAATCTATACGACGTGACCTTGACTTTAAGCCTGTGCAGTAGACACAATCCAAGGTGCCTGAACAGAGGCGTTTTTGAGTGAGCTGAAGGGAAGGACTGTGTGAAGTAACGGCGTCTAAATTGTTTGTAGTAATCAAGCACCTCCGTGGGATCTAAATACATCAAGCCATCAGACTATCATGCCCTGGAATGAGTAGTTGTAAATGTCCAAGGCGGCTACTCAAAGTTTTGCTTGAAGCTTTCCAATGAACTGACCAAAAATAAGATGATTAACTTGTATCTTTACGATTAAGAAATTGATGGATTCTCATCTGAGTAAGAAATTGTAAATATATACATAAAGCGTGTATGTAATAGTATCAAATCGGTACTATGCCGTTTAATACTGAATTGGAACCACAATGATCTCGGCGTCTGCTTTGCTTTGCTTCGTTATGACATTGAGTATGATAGATACGCCACTGTACGGCTTGCCAGACGAAATGTTTCTCCTGTGCATTCTAAATCCAGGCGAAAATTTAATGCTTATAATAAGTCCCAGTATGCAGATATCAAGGCTCCCTGGGTGAGGTACGCATTGCAGGAAGATCTGAAGGCATTGTGTCTAACCAGACCTGGAACGTAGAAGTAGAAAACTATCAACATCGCAGGAGCAACGACCCGAAAAATCAAGATTCTACTCAAGCCAGACATATGGGTTGACATTTTGGTTGTTGTTTTCGCTGTTGAACATTTTGGTTCGATTTTAAACGCGGGGACCGGAAACATCCCACCGCCAAGACATCGGCTTGATCTTCCTCCGAGGTATTACCTCAAGGCACAAAGCTATATGATTTCATACTCATAATATCGAACCTCACTCGGCCGGATATTGCTCCAACATTGCAATCACTTGTGGACCCATTAATGTAGCCCTTCGGCTTGCAGGCCTTTCAATCGAAATAACCAGGACTTGTTCCCATCTCGAAAAGTTAATCATTGCTTGGATCCACAGGATTTCGTCGCAAAGACCTTCACTGTGGAAAGCAATAGCTACTCGATCTATTCTAATGTCAATATAGTTTCATCCTCTCGGAAGCGCTTGACGAAGCTTTAGTAGCTCTGGCACATCTTTGAAACTTCTACAATGGGCAATTTTCCCTTCCAGACATATCTCCTATGGTTGGGAGCTTTAGGCGCAACAGCTCAATCACCCCATCGACAACAAGAACCAATAAACGATCATTACAAGTACGCGGAAGCATGTCCGGATTACAAGAAATATTCTACCTTTAGACATGGGCCAGTATCAACTGGCCCCATGGAATTGCCTTTCCAAAGGCCTGTCGAGCAATGTCGGACATTTTCCTCTCCTTTGGTGGAGAAGGTTATCAATGATATGTCACTTAAGATGATTGACAAGGACCTGGCACGACTATTCGAAAATGCTTTTCCCAATACCCTCGATACGACTGTGCGATGGCATGTAGATGGAACTAGAAAACATACGGAATTGAAAGCTCGGGATGTGCGGGACAGTCAGAAATGGCAGGGAGCTCAATCATTTGTGGTTACTGGAGATATCAATGCAGAATGGCTCAGAGATTCTACAAACCAATTGCTTCAATATCAACCTTTGGCAAAGAAGGATCCAGCTATCTTCAATTTAATATTGGGAGCTATCAATACACAAGCAGAATATGTTGTTCAATCACCATATTGTAATGCATTTCAACCCCCTCCGCCCTCGAAGCTTGCCGCAACAGAAAATGGACAAGATGATGTTGTTCACCCTGCATATGAACCTTCTTTTGTCTTCGAGTGCAAATACGAACTAGATTCCCTTGCAAATTTCCTAGCTATTGGAAACTCCTTCTATAACCACACCGGGTCGACCGACTTTATCACCCCGCGGTGGTTAACAGCACTCGACACTGTTCTTATGGTCCTCGAACAACAATCTGAATCTACCTTTGATTCAAAAACTAGTCATTTCCAACGTAATGCTTACACTTTCAGCCGTCGCACCGAGCAGGGAACTGAAACTTTACCATTATCGGGTGTTGGCAACCCTTTGAACTACGGAACGGGTCTGATACGAAGCGCATTTCGTCCTTCAGATGACACTACGATCCTGGGGTTTTTCATCCCTGCCAATGCAATGATGTCCGTTGAACTGAAGCGTACCGCCGAAGTGCTCAAAGCAGCCAAACGCTCCGATTTAGCTCAAACCCTCGAGAAGCGCGCACAAAGTATCAAAGACGGCATCATGAAGCACGCCGTTGTACAACACAAAAAATGGGGCAAAGTGTTTGCCTACGAAGTAGATGGTTATGGCGGCCAAATACTCATGGACGATGCAAATGTTCCTAGTCTCCTCTCCCTCCCAATCCTTGGTTTCCTCAAACATGACGACGAAATCTACAAAAATACTCGAAAGATGCTTTTATCCAAAGATGGTAATCCGTATTACCTCGAAGGCAGAGCATTTAGAGGGATAGGAGGTCCACATATCGGCCCTGAAAATGCATGGCCTATGTCTCTACTCCTACAAGCCATGACGACCGACGACGACGAGGAGATCATGGATTGTTTAAGTTTAGTCCTGAGAGCGAGCAAGCTGGGATTGATTCATGAGAGTATTAATGTAAATCGTTTACATGAATATACGAGGAGTTGGTTTGCCTGTATGTCATCCTTTCTCTTTCACTCTTTCTCATCCTCCCATCTTTTAATTGCATAGATTTTTCTTTCTTCAGTATGAATACTAATAATAAATCCAAAGGGGCAAATTCTGTCTTCGCTCAAACAATCCTCGATCTTGCGAAACGGAAACCACATCTTTTGTTTGGGGAAGGAGCGGATCCTTATGTGATTGAAACTTGACATTTTTATTAGTTGTGAAGAAGCGTGCATGTGTATATAAATATGGAAATGATGTTTATGATTGGGGTTATATCTATGGGTGTATTTGATGAGTGACTACTCGATGGCCCTGAGCGGATTTTGCCTTCTGGAGATGTTTGGAACTGTAAGGAAGGAGGGTTATATGTATTTGGTATTATAGTAATGAATGCCATCTAGAATTAATATAAACTATCTTTGCATGTCTTGTATTTGAAGACGTGGAAGCTAATTCTTACTACATTTTATGTTTTACCAATACATCTCGATTGAAGATAAGCACTTTAACGCACCCCTACAATATTTAACTCGACTCGCTAACAAGATACGTATCTCGATACTATTTCTCCTCCCAACCTCTTCCCTAAGAGACTTCATTTCTTCCCAAAAAACGACATAATACTTCCCTGTCCTTTTTTGGGTGCATCTTTCTTTGCTTTCGAAGTAGTTGGAACCGAAGGTTTTGCTTTGGGTACCGAAAGAGGCTCGTCTTCGGAAAATGACTCCCAGGCTTGTTCTTGTTTTGTGACTAAGAGTGGGATTAGTTGCTGTTGTGCTAAATAGATTATGAAATTGGGTAATGGGAAGTGTTGGGTAATATATATACCTAAATAACCATCTTCATCCTTCACGGTTTTCTTCTTCATAATTCTTCTTCTGCCTCTTCTGCGTCCATTACTAGTTGTAATAGGTTCTTCTTCATTAGCTTCCTCTGGTGCGTTATCTTCTTCTGGTCCCTCCATTGGTGTTTCAGGGGCAGGAGAGGGTGCAGCTTCTCCTTCCTGCTCCTCTTCGTCATCGTCTTCCATCATTTTCCTTAATCTTTCTTGTAATTCTTTCCTGGATCTTCGTTCGTTCGCTTTGGTTTCCTCAGTGACAGGAGCTGGCATCCATGTATCGTCATCATCATCATCATCCGAGACATCTTTCATAGGAGTATCCTCCTCTTTTGCATTCGAATCTGTCTTATCAATTTTTGCCTTCTTGAGTTGAGTCTTTGCAAATGCCTTGAAAATGCTACTTGACTCGCGCTTCAGATTCGCGGGAGGTGCTGACGTTGATTCTTTGCTTGAAGGCGCGGTTGTGGATTCAGCTTTTGAGGATTCAGCTTGTGTACTGCTCTTGGTCTTTTCTTTTCCCTTATTGCCGAAGAAATCTTTGGCGTTGGAAGGTTGTGATTTCGGTTCCGGCTTTTTGGAGTATGAAGAGGAGGATTTGGAAGGTTCTTGAACTTCGTTGAGCCTAGATTTGGCAGCCGCGGGCCTGGTTGGAACAGCCGTTGGTACATTAGCTGCAATAGGCGGTGCTTTTCGCGTACGGCGTTTGGCATTGGGATTGGTTATTATTCCGTATTTATGGTAAGATTCCAAGGGATCTTCGGATTTTAATAGGGTTTGAATTTCTCGGGTTGAGTCTGAGAGTAGTTGGAGCTCCTAGGGTATGTTAGTACTATGAAACAGTTAGAAGCAGAATGTATATGTACCTTTAATGGATGAGGTCCTAAACTGTAGATATGTATCGAAGAAATGTGTTCGAATTGTGCCCGTATGGCTACACTGTGTTAGCTACTGGATACGGCCTCGAAAGGAGGGGTTCAAACTTTCCAAATCCTCCTCCCGTGCCAGTGTTATACTCAATATGGAGCCTTGACCTGTACCACCCTCAGATTGTGGCATTGAGCTACCAACAAATGGACTGCTCTGCATGTAATAATCTTCACCATCCTTCTCAACTTCAATCGCTACGGGAGCTTGCTTTCTCTTGGTGCCAGCAATTAGATAGGTCGCATGGATTGTTCCCGGTTTCTTTGCGTTTTGGACTCGATGAAATTCAAATAGCATTCTATCAGATTGTTAGCGGAAGGCACTATAAAACTCCCAAATGACATACTCCTTTGCTGCATTCACATGAATGTTGAGCACCCGGCTCAGCAGTCGATAAGTGACCTAAGAAACGCTTAGTTAAAGTGAAGTAACTCATAAAGAATTAGCTTACTACTTTATCCTCTGTCAAGATACTTGCTGCAAGGTAACTTCTATAATCTGCCATTTTGTTAAATTTTATTGTTTACCCGAGAAAGCAGCTGGAGCTGGCTTTCTAGATTTATTTTCGAGGTTGAGGTCGGGTCGACGCGTCTACCAACCACTTTACGCGAAATTTCTAGGATGTCATCTCAGTACAGAAAAAAGAATGCGACAGGCAAGACAATTGTCACAAAAAATTCAACGAAAACTCTTATCGAAGAAGCTATGAATATGAGAGGAATGAAGGATGATTCTTTTGATATAGCGGACTCGACGGATTGGTTAGGAACGCCACTTTCCCAACTCGCAGATGTCGATTCTTTATTACGATGTCAAGTCTGCAAGGACTTCTTTACAACACCGATGATTACTTCTTGCTCGCATACATTCTGCTCACTTTGCATAAGGAGATGCTTAAATAATGACTCGAAATGTCCGACATGTAGATCGAATGACCAAGAAATTAAATTGAAACCCAATGCGGCTATTGAGGATTTGGTGGAAGCTTTCAAAAGAGCCAGACCGGCGGCATTGGAACTTGCGAGGAGACCTGCCGTAGAAATAACTGTTACATCCCCTAAAAGAAAGCGTGAAATCTCAGATTTAGGTGGCCTGGATGAGCAGGGGGTGAATAAAAAGACGAGAGCTTCTTCACGGCAAGCGGCGAGACGACTCGAGAGCGCCGAGGCGGCAAAAGCATCGAAGGATGTAATTGTTGTCGACGATGGAGAGACCGATGCTGATCTTATACCTGGTATGTCGCCATGAAGCATATTATGCCATTTTTGCAAAGACTTATTACTTCACACAGATGATGGGCTGACTGCATGTCCGGTATGCAATCGACGGATGACAGCGAAAAGTGTTGAAGCTCATATTGGGAGATGTCTTGCTGAATCCGAAGCTCCTGCTCAATCTACAACTATACTATCGAAACCTTCATTTTCATCCCCTGGACCAGTCAAACGGCCGGAGAGATTACCTGTCGTCAACTTTAGTCTAATTAAAGACCAGGCTTTGAAGAAAAAGCTCATAGATCTAGGAATATCTGCTGCTGGCGGAAGGGAGATGATGAGGAAGAGATTAACGGAGTATACGACTATATGGAATGCCAATTGCGATGCGAAATATCCCAGAGGCACCGCGCAGTTGAAGAAGGACCTTGACTCTTGGGAGAGGACATTGGGTTCACGAGCCCCACAACTAAGCGCTTTATCAGCCCATATCAAGGATAAAGATTTTGATGGGTTGGCTTGGGGAGAGGAACACAAGAGTAGCTTCAATGAGTTGATCGCTAAAGCTCGTGAGAAGATCAAAAACAAGTCACCTGAAATGGCAGAAGGGAACTCCTCAACGTTTACAACAACGCCTCTGATACACAGCCAAACTTCACAGGGTCTTGCACCTAGCGAAAATTTTGTGAAGGAGCAGAAAGACCCGATGAAAGAGAGTCAGGGAGACCGAGCAAATATTGAAATTAACCCAGCACCACTACCACATACACTACCAAAGGGCTTAGAAGCCAGCAATCCACCATTCCCGGGGCGGTTTTTTGCGGCAAATGTAGAGCAAATACCAGACCACACTATGGCAGCCATACCACCATCACGACATGAGAAGGAGTTGCCCTATAATGCAGACGCAAGAAGCACTGAATGACGTTGCTGGTACAAATTCAAGCACGAAAGGGCTGTTGGTGCCATTATAGATGAAAGTAATATATAATACCCTTCTTAACACCATGTCGCTTAATTATCTGACTCGATTTACGTGGATACATATATTTGTTTCTGCTTCCATGTGTAAAAGATTTGCAGGCGCGGAACACTATTTCCATCCAAATACCACAGAGCATCTTTTTTGACTTCCATATCTCTAGCTCATTTGACCGCTTCTCTTACGATAAAAATGATATTATTTACTGAAATATTCTTTTGTCATGTAATTTTTATACGCAAAAATTATTCCTGGGAATGCGCGAGGGGCAATGCGGCAGTAATGATACCACTTCATTGGTAATATTCAGGCTTGAAGTTTCTCCCATTAAAGAATTCCTAGAGGCTGGAGAGTTCCTCTTCTTCATGTCCAATCCCCTCGGGATATTTTTGTCTTTCTTATCATCGGAGCTTACATTTCTTTTCGATGAAGGATTACTTAACCGTGACCAAAAGTAACAGTTCACCTCGTCACAACTCACTCCTGCCTTTCTCAACACTCCTCCCTCGCATTTTTAAGCAAGTACTCATCTCCCTTATGACTTTTAGTAACACTATATTTTCCACCAACCATCACAGCGGTACACTGGTAGTTGGGATAGTGCGGTTCTAGTAACACCTCCGGCGATACCTGCATTAAATTTACGAGCCCTTTCATGGCGTTCGTCTAATGTTTAACTCATGGTTTTTCAAAGTTCATATACATGGTTTCAATCCACGAATAGTAATAACTGAGATGGATTGACGACTCAATCTGTCACAGTCTTCACGGCTCATCCATAGATGAAATATATCTAGATTCTCTATGTAAACTCCCTCGAGCGCGAGGTTGGCACCCCAGACCGGATTGTCTTGCGGAGACTCAAGTTTCAGCAAGGGTCTGAAAATTCACATTGCTGAGCGCGGAACCTTCTTTTTTGATGGTTCGGCTCTTCTTTTGTTTTATGAGGAGGATGGTGAGGGTTCGGATGTGAATAGAAATTTAGATGAGCATTTGAATGGATGAATGACTTGTCTATTTACGGCCTTTCTTCCCACGTTCTTACAGCATGGGATGACGAAAATTCCAAACTCGCAACAGATAGGATGATTGATCGGCCCCAATTCATCTCATGAGAGATTCTCTTCTATCCCGGGGAGATAACACCACTACGAGATACTTGAACTAAGATTACCTTTCATCTGGAATGACATGGTTTTCATGTATTATCAGGGTGAAATTCTTTATTGCGTATCTCTCTAATACGTGGTCTAATATTCATATTGGAGCTTTACACTTGTCATCAATCGTATATACTCGAAATTCCTGAAGATTCGGGAGGCGACGGATGGAGAGGTCAACAAGGACTTTTATTTTCGTTCGGTGGAAGTTTCTCCCATTCATACAGCAGGGACGACGGGTGATTGGATTGTGTCTCGAAACCTTTGGAGTTCTGAAGAATCCACGGGTCGGCGCTAGTTTATATATTCATATGATATCATTCAGTACTGTCTTTCTCAGCGTGCATAAAATGTGATTTTTGATTGGAATGATGAGCGGGATAATGTGGGCTATTGATACTTCACGATGCCCTGCGTGATTACAAACCGATGCAAAGAAACATTAAGTCCGAATATGACTAGGCTATAAAGACCTCCGGAATGAAGTTGACTTGTGCTTGGCTCAGAGAAACTTTAAATGAGTTAAATCATGCATATATGTACGTGATTATCAAGAATGTAAAGCTCACCGGGGCCATCAACTGTCCACCATGGACTGCCCAGCTTTACTGTCACGTTCACATTTTATCTGACGAAGTCCCCAGGCTTGGGGTTATATTTCGAAATGGTTTAATGCCAAACATGTCAATATGGAGGGGTTTCTCATATGCAGCCTGGGTGAACACCGTATTTGTTATATTTTTGAGAGATTTTGGCAGCATTTGAGATGACACCGGCTGGAGACAGATATTTCTTGTAGGAATCAACATGATTATTTTGTGGTGAGAATATATGCAAGGTTATCTACTACGAATCTTTGAATGATGTAAAACTCGAAGGCCCGTGGAACAGATCTAATGTTAAGCTCATATCTCCCTGCGTAGTCGATAGATAATTTAAATATAAGCCCGGTATTTCTCATACAAAAGAAGATTCGGGATATCTGGGAAAACTTCTGTTACCTTTTGCTTTGAAGACTCACACTCACGACTGAAGGAGGTTATGATCATCATTCCCAAGCTTTTGATATACCATTCAATCTCAGTGACACGAGAGAAGAACGGCTTCCCAGCTTGACACTTCCCGTGACCTGCACAACTTTGTCAATCTGTTGCTATTTTCCATTCCGGAGGGTCCAAGCTCACCATGGAGTTATGTGAAAATGAGGCTAAAAACCTTGCGGAAAATAAACTAACACCTTAAATTAGGATAGCTCTACAGTCAATCAATTTTCATCGTCTATAACCTATCTTGAGCGCAGCATTTGGGTCCACTTGGAGGAAATAGGCCTCCGGGGTTTAACTCACACATTAGGAAACAAAATTGATCTCAACTTTGGAAGAGTACTTCATAAATCCTAATATGCTATTCAAAAAACCCGATCTACAGGAAAAATATTACAAATACCTCAAGCGTGCTCAGGTACTGGCTCTGGCTCTAGAGACATCCGTCGTATACCTTGTGTGCTCTCTTCAACAACAACTTCTTCTTCCTTCCTCGCTTCTCTTGCCTTTCGTTCCAATTCCTCCAATTCATCCAACTTGCGTTTTGTTTCTGCAGCCTCCTTCCTCTCTTTTCCTTCTTCGATTAAACGTTCTTTCTCCTCGGTCTTCCTCACTTCTTCTCTCTCCATAGCCTCCAGTTCATCATCCACCTCAGCTTCATCCACATTATTCTGTGCCGGCTCAGCAATAATATTTCCGACCTCATCAACTTGTCCCATTTGCTCCCTCAATTGATCAACTACATCATCTACTCTTTCCACGCCACCGACCTCCTTATTGAGACTTGATAGTACCTTCGTACTCGATTCCATGATTCTTACAAGATCCACTTGATCAGCAGCTTGCTCTATCTTGGAAAGTACCTCTTCTAATTGTGATAGCGTAGCGTGACGATTCGCAAGAGTGGTTTCGGCACTTTTCTTCGACCTCAAAGCTGCTAGTGCCGATACGCGGTTCTTCTTTGCAACAGCTTCTTTGGCTGCGCGATCCATGGTCTCAACTCTATCAGTGAACAGCTTTGTTTGAATCTCAAGGTCTGCGATCAAGGATTTCAACGATGCTATTGAGATATCCTCTTGAGTAATGGTTAGACTCTTGGAGTCTGTCGGCGCTTTCAGCTTGATAGTTTCGCCATCATAGGCTATTATCTTCTTATCCCTTGCGAGAAATATCAGGAAAGCATCCATATCGACTTCTGAAAGAGTGTGCTCCCCCAGTACATTGCCAAACTCCTCCTTGAACATCCTTCTGGAATATATCCTTCCCACTCGCCCTGTCTTTGATATACTCTTTCCTGCAAATACTTTTGCAGCTTCTTCAACATTCCCAAGAATGACCAATTTTCCTCCCGGCAATTTATTCCCTCTGAATGATACGCCGAACTGTTTAAATCCCCATGCTACGATATCCCAAGGCTTTATAGTCCACGATGTCGTATAAATACTGTCGCTTGCATCCATAAACTCCTTCAAGGGCATTAACTCTTTCTTCGCGATAGCGTCCTGTACAACTGCTCCCAGAGATAGGGGTCTTCCCCATTCGTTCGTATCCAATGCGCCCAACTAGTTCATCGTCGGCTCTTAAAATCAGTAAATCAGGACTCGACCCTTGAGTTGGCATGACTCCTGCTCGTGCCGCATTTGCCAATGCCTTCCGCCATGCTTCAATATTTGCTTGGTAACCATCCGGATTCAGAGTCTGTTGTTGACGGAAGTCCGAGTACAAGGCTGCAAGACGCGCTCTAGATGATTGTTAGTTTAATATACTTTTTGCTGGAGGATCAAGGGAGCATCGTGGGAATTGAGGGCTTACCGACGGAATTGAGGCTCATTGTTGAGGAGATAGTTGAATAGCTCACTCATGGTGAGCCAAAGGTGCCTTTATTTGCATGAAGCTGCGATGATTATGTACGGAGTAGATTTTGCGATTGTTGCTGTGGAAGGTTGTTGACTTATCGCAAATCCTTATCAGTCACGACTGTGAGGTGACGACAATAAAATATCCTTGTTTATTTGTTTCCTTAGATGCCTGTCTTAAATGTGCAACCTCGAAGTCTAACTCCAACAAACAAGAAAGAAACGAGGATTTTTCGAAGTTTCATAACTAATTCCAGCTAAAATGATGAATTTACGGTGATAGCAACTGCCAGGTCAATATGGCGGACCAAGCAGATGGTCCCGCACGAGGGCACTCACCGGGCCCCGCTGATCTCAATGATGGGCATGTTCATTTCGACGATGAAAGCACAGTTACCTCTACCATCTCACAATCAACATCTGCAATGACCTCTCCCTTGACTTCAGAATTTAGAGACGTAGAAAGGAACGAACAAGATGTACCACGATTACCAACTCTGCCGTATAGCATAGCGCCCAGCGAGGAGGGCTCAAGAAGAGATTCTATCGGTGGCTATGGCACAGATGAAGACACTTCAGTCTGCAAACCCTTCTTGAGAACCTTGAGTCCAAACTCTGACCTGAAAAGAAATAAAGGAGCGGGATACGAGAAGGTGGGAGATTTGGGTGTTTGCACCATGCAGAAGTTCTCGTTGTATGAGACAGCTACCAGGTATTATGTTGTTGGAGCGGATATTCTCGACTCTCGATTCCGAATTTTGAAGATCGATCGTACGGCAGAGATAGGGACTTTGAATATCACTGAAGATGAGATCGTTTACACGAAGAAGGAAATGACCCAGTTACTTAATGCTATTGATGATGGCAACAAGATTTCGGGAGGTATGAAACTGAAGAGCGCTGTTTGGGGTATACTTGGATTTATCCGATTCACCGGTTGCTATTATATGCATATGATCACCAAGAGGAACCAAACTGCTATGATCGGTGGCCATTTCGTATACACTATCGAGGCTACAGAGCTTATACCACTGACTACCTCCACCAATTCTAGGTTCAAGTCATCAGATACTCGTAATACCGAGGAGTCTAGGTTTCTAAGTATTTTAAACGGACTTGACTTGAACAAGTCTTTCTATTTCAGTTATTCCTATGATATCACGAGGACTTTGCAACACAATATTATGACAGAGCGAGCTGCTCTAGCTGCAGGAGAACCCTCTCCTCATCCCAAAGATTACAATTCTATGTTCGTTTGGAACAGCCACCTACTCAAGCCTGCAGAAAATGTCTTGAAGAATACTTATGACTGGTGTGTACCTGTCATCCACGGATACCTTGCACAAGCAGCTTTACCAGTATGGGGACGGATTGTTTACATCACTATTATAGCAAGACGTTCAAGGTACTTTGCTGGTGCTCGGTTTTTGAAACGTGGTGCTAATGATATGGTATTGTGGCCCGATTTATTTGCTTCGGACAATGTGCTGATCCTTACAGGGATACGTTGCAAATGATGTCGAGACTGAGCAGATTGTCTCGGAGAACACGACGACTTCATTACATGCTCCTGGGCCGAAGCTTTATGCTAGTCCCAATTACACTTCTTACGTGCAGCATCGTGGAAGTATCCCACTACACTGGACTCAGGATAACAACGGTGTGACACCCAAACCCCCTATTGAGCTGAATCTGGTCGACCCGTTCTACAGTGCAGCTGCGCTACACTTTGATAACCTGTTTGAAAGATATGGAGCTCCTGTCTTTGTATTGAATTTGGTGAAATCTAAAGAAAGGACTCCCAGAGAGTCAAAGCTATTATACGAATTCACAGATGCAATCAATTATTTAAACCAGTTTCTTCCGGCAGACAAGAAAATTATCCACAAACCATGGGATATGAGTCGAGCTTCGAAGAGTCGAGACCAGGATGTGATTGGTACGCTTGAGAGTATGGGTAATGAAGTTGTCACTCGCACTGGGATTTTCCACAATGGAGATGGTAAAACAACAATACCAACGGTGCAAAACGGCGTTGCTAGGACGAATTGTATAGATTGCTTGGACAGAACTAATGCTGCTCAATTCGTCATCGGCAAAAGAGCTCTTGGTCATCAACTCCATGCGCTAGGCGTTATCAGTGAACCTTCAATCAACTATGACACTGATGCAATCAATCTCTTTACAACCATGTATCACGGACATGGTGATACTATTGCAATTCAATATGGAGGCTCACAGCTAGTCAACACTATGGAAACTTACCGAAAGATTAATCAATGGACCAGTCAATCTCGAGATATGGTAGAAAGTTTCCGAAGATACTATAATAACTCCTTTCTTGATGGTCAAAGACAAGAGGCCTACAATCTTTTCCTCGGTAATTATGTCTACGAACATGGGCAGCCTATGCTATGGGATTTAGCAACCGACTATCATCTCCACCACACCGATCCGCGTGTTTGGTCCCCACGTACCCGCCGAAGTTATATAAACTGGTACACTCCCTCCTTTCTTGAAAAGAAAACTCTACCGCCATATTCCGATCCACAAGGCACCCTGGCGAACAAACCTCTCACCTACTTTGATGACTATTGGATCGAATATTATAAACCACTCTCCATCTCTTCTATTGTTAAAATCTTCACCTACCCAGGCAAAATGTCCTCCTCCGCCCGCCTTATGCCCCGCACCCAGCATCGTGACGAGTCACGCATCGGTTACGACCCCTCGCCATTTAAAGTTCGCGCTGATGCTACAGCCCATGTAGAAGAACAGCCCATTCAGCATGTATCACCGAGTACAAAAGGCAAGAAAAAAGAAGTCTCTTTTCCAGAAAGCAAGGAAGTAATCGCTGAGGATGAGGTGCCGGATGATTCATCGATTAAATCTGGTGCTATGGGTACGAAACGCATCGGTCTTCAAAAATGGCTTCAGCCAATTCATGAGTCCCATCCTCTTTCTGACAATGAATCATATCACAAACCAACATTGCAAAATTATCATCAAAACCCGCCTGGTATCATGAAAGAGACATCCTCTCATTCGCAATCACATTCAACAGAAGACTCGTTTCATAACTATAGTTCTGGTTTGAATAATAGCTCTTCAAATGTAAACTTGAGCAGGAATATAGGGGGATTAGACAAGAAAAAGATGACAACATTAGATAAAACTAAGGCTGCTCAATGGACATTCACTCAGGTCGTCAGCGAGTCCCTCAATCCAAGCGTTAATCTAGGCGAAGAAGAAGATTACGAGCGCTACGTCGAGTATCCGCAACTACTATCACTAGTTGTAGGAGATGACGATCATGACATCGAAGGCGTAGAAGAATATGAGGAATGGGTCAGAGGTGTAGGCTGGGATAGTGGTTCTGGACAAGGAGGATATAACGGTAGAATCAACGGAGGTTGGGGTAGGGAAGAAGATCATGAGGAGATTGAGGAGTATAGGAGCTTTTTGAGGGTAGCGGAAAATCCATTGACGGTGCTCGAAGAGGATGGACAGAAGAAGAGGTATAAGGCTTACAGGAAGTGGTTGGCCGGGAAGAGTTTGTTTAAACAACAGCCTATTGATTAAGTGGTGGATGATTGGGGTTAAGGAATTTTAAGTTAGCATGGTGTTGGAGGAGTATCTAGCGATGGAGTTATTTTGGAGTACTGTTATATTAGATACCAATTCATTCATTTTTCATCAATGATTTGACTTTATAAAGACGCGTAAATAGTCAATATACCGTTATTTGGGAGTCAAGGAAAGTTTGGTTAAGTCGAAAAATTCCAACACGACACAAGAGGCAAATCTTGAACTAGCACTGCTAGGATGGATCTGGAGTGGTGATAATAGAATATATGTTCCTATGTCTTCACAGTCCTACAACCAACATTTCTGCGATTAGTAAACGTCTGTTGGAAGATTTACAAATGTCGGTTGCAAGATCTTACATGGATACCTAGGCTGTTGTTATAGCCTGTTATGATGCAAATGGTGCTATGTTAGCTGAGACATAGAATACGGAGCATGCGGCATGCAAGACATGCATGTCAAATTTTTCTAGTTGGGGGTTTGAGTTTTCCGGAAATTTAGATCCATTATTATAATAGGTTAAATTAGGGGTTTGGTTGTATGACCGAATGTGATATTCTGCTTCTTGATGGCTGCTTATGATATCATTCTGTGCTGCGATTATCACTCTGCTCTGCGACAGGTGGGTCTTTTGCTGCGCAGGTAAGTTACAATCTTATCCCAAGTAGAGCTCATCGATCTTCCATCCAATGTGCCCGTCATATATCCTAACATATGAAGTGTCCACCAAATCCTAGATCCATAAACGGATCTTTGCTTACTACAAAGACTGCACCTGACACACGCAAGTACGAAGGTAAGCATGATATGTATACGTTACCTTCCCTGGTAGTACAACCTGAGGGGTTATCGATTTTAAATTCGTTTGAAGGATTTGAAGCTCTTGGGAGAGACTGGATCTATTCAAATAACCAAAACATTCTTGAAGATCTGTAGATTTTCGGATCTTGTTAGCTTATAAGCTAGATCTGCTTTGACAAGTATGGACTATTGAATACTTTGCTTTTTCGCCGTTCCACTCTAGTGATTTACACCCTCTCCCTATCGATTTCAATCCTGGCTTCTCACAGTCTTGATTGGCAAACGAAAAATCTCAATAATAGCAAAGCCATTTGAGTTTGTACGACCATACACTCCCGAGGAGAAAACCCAACAGTATCTTGAAAACTGCTGAAGGTGAGCACCGCTGCCATGGGAAGCAGCCACCGGCGCGGTAGTAAGTAGCTTTGAGTGTATGGTGTACCGCATGGATGTTATCAGATGCGACAGATGTTTTGGAAATGGTTGCTCAGGGCCTGCTCGAGTCATGCTTATCCTTACTGCCATCCTTGCACTCAGAATGTAGTTTCTCCAGCTCGGTATTGTCTAGATGATGAATAGATTATATCCTCTTTGGAACAATCTCAATAGATACCTACTAGTATGGGAAGATCATCATGACAGTACTTGCACTCCGTAAAATTCTGTAGACGAATGTAAGATTATCTTACCTACTCCGTATCTAAGATCTTACAATACTACTAGGCAGGTACTCCGTACTTGGTAGATCACCCGACTGCTATTACTCATTATTTTCGCTTCCGATCACTCGACTCGGAGTTAAGTCTTACATTTTCATAATGTTGTGCTCCACTCTCTGCGACCCTTCAGACATAAAGATTAATACCCATAAATAAACCAGCACATTGACGTCAGGCGCGTAACCTTCCACTAATTATATTGTTCCGGGCGGAAATGGCGCTATTAAATGCAATTTTACGCGCTACCGGATCCCTATCAAGCCTATCCGATAGCCTACAGCGTGAAGACGAAGACCCCATTTAATAATACAACAAAATTCGCCTCGAAATATTTCATAACAAAATCCAAATTTACGAATTCGGCAATTCATTGAAGCTATCAGACATCGGAAAGATTAAAGGCATGAAGGATCTTCAACGTTGAGCCTGGTCATTTCCCTGACCATGGTGGTCTCAGACAGCAAGAGTAAGGGGAGTGTCAAGTCAACCATTCACGACAATCCAAACGTTGATGTTCGCATTCAGGACATTCATATCGCAGATATGGACCAGAGTTCCATGCCCGATTCTACAAATTCGCACTCGTCTCACTCCTCGCACACAGCAACCGCATCTGCTGCGCAATCAGGCTCATACTCGGTCATAAACCAGTCACCAATCTCAAAGACAGCAGATTGGACTCTAGATCTCCCCGACTCCCAACATGCACAATTCTTCAGAAGCACAGATTGGGCTGCAACTCCTCTTGGCCCATTGGAATCATGGGGACTTGCGCTTCGACTTCACACTTTTACGACATTTTCGGATTCGAGACCCGCGTGTTTATACTGGTATGATGCAACGACGAATCTTCTCTACCCAAAATTGGACGCTCTGACAATATCACGCTAGGGGAAAGCATAGGGTGGCTATATACAACGAACATTTTATCACTATAACCGGCAAAACCCATCCAACACTGATGGGCAAACCTTTTGAAGTGGCCTTCCCAGAGATCTGGAACGACATAAGAGGCGTTTTCATCTATGCAGAGACTAGCAAGGTTGCGGCGGACGTCAATGAGATACCTTTAATGGTAGAAAGGAGTGGTTACAAAGAGGAGTCGTACTTTACTGGAAGCTTCAATCCCGTTCGATGCGAAGATGGAGCAGTTGGAGGCTTTTACAATTCTGTAGGTTCGTAATTGTTCCTCAAATTTCACTGTCTTCCAAGCCCAATTCTGTTTTTGATTTCAGTCCCCACTTCTCTCACCACCAAAAAATTCTTTCGCCTTGAGAGCGGAATGAATCGCATGCTAAAGCATCTTTCAAGGCATCTAAGTCTGATGGATAAATGGATTGTCAAATCTGGATTGAAAATTTGAAGAGCGTTCTGAGGTATCTAAGCTCAAGAGGCTATTTAGATGACGGATCTTAGCTTAGATATTGAAGAAGGTACTTCAATATATTTCGGGTTTAGTATGCGATTCATTTCGTGTGTCCTGGCTCTTTCAATTTTGGATTCAGCGTTTTCCATTATTTCTCCCCCGAATCCTCTCCGCCATGTGCAAATTACTGAAGTCTGGATGCAGTTGAAGTTACTACTCAAAAGCTTAACGAGAGAAGACTTTCAATGTTGAGTTCGTTAGAAATTCCCTCGGGGTTGCAACCAGGAACGCTTGCTAGTCACATAATGCCTCATTTAAGGTCTAACCCGCTAGACATTCCCATGGCGATGCTGTACCAGGTTGACGAACAAAGTTCCTCTGGGTCTACAGTTTATTTGCGGGATCAAATTGGTTTCCCTGCTCACCATCCACTTGCTGTGGAGAAAGCAGAGCTCAGCAGCTGCCTTGCACTCTTCCCACTGTTGTGTGAGACTGGCAATGAGATCTCAACTCATTCTGTCGACGAAAAGTTTACCGGTGTTGAATGGCACGGCCATAAGGATGAGTTGACTGGAATTCATGAACCATCAAAAGATTTTAGTATACTTCCAATCTCGAGTGGTGATCGTGTCTTTGGTTATCTCATAGTTGGCGCGAACTCACGTCGGCCGATTGACAAAGACTATAATGAGTTTATGAAATTCATCGCCTCCAGAACACCGTCGATTGCATCTGCTTTGGCTAGCGCTGAGGAACAAAGCAAAGAGCCGACCGTCTAGAGAAGGAACTGGCCGAAAGTGAGAGACAAATTAGATACATGGCGCAGAATGCTCCGGTAGGTATGTTACAAGTGTCGACCGAGGGGAAAATTCTCTGGGCGAACGACATGTTTTATCAAATTACCGGTCATCCAGGCCCTGAGACTGTGCCATATAATTTTTCCTTCTTGGATACCGTGCTTGATGAGGATAGGAGTCAAATTTTACGGTATTGGCAACAACTTCATGAAGGTGCACCCCGTATTGAGGTTACGTCGCGGCTCAAGCGTATGTTTGTGCCACCAAATGGGGTACCTGATCACGCCTGTATGTTATCGCTGGCATTTCCATATGTCGTTAATGGTAAGGTGCAATCGATTATGGTTTGCTCCACGGATATTTCTGAACTCAAATGGGCGGAAGCATCAGAAGCAAGAAATGCCGCGGAAGCACGGGCGGCAAAACGTCAACAAGAAGAATTCATTGACATTGTCTCTCACGAGATGCGGAACCCACTTTCTGCTATATTCCAGTGTGCTGATATGATCGCAAATTCCTACAAGGATGCATCACATATAGATGCCGCTGAAATTTTGAAAAGCAATGTTGAAGCGGCAAATACCATAGCCATGTGCGCTAGTCATCAAAAACGCATTGTGGATGATGTCCTAACACTTTCAAAACTCAAATATATGCTGCTGTCCATATCACCACGTCCTGCTCGCCCGGCGGATCTTTTTGGGCAGCAAGTCGCCAAAATGTTCGAAGCGGATTTATTGTCTCACGAAATTTCAATCAAAACACTAGCTCAACCTTCTTTCGCCTCAACTAATATTGACTGGGTCGTATTTGACTCTTCGCGTGTCACCCAAATATTGATAAATTTGTTGACTAACGCGATCAAGTTCACCCAAGGGGAAGCGAAAAGGAATATCACCATCACTTATGGTGCCACGCTGACTGAACCGGAGAAGAATTTCGATAAGGACTTTTACTGGGTACCTTGTGGTAGCAAATTCGAAGACTTGACCCTCAATCCTGAATGGGGCTCCGGAGAACAAGTGTTCCTTACATGCGCAGTCACCGATACGGGAGTTGGCATGCATGCCGAAGAAATTCCTCGTCTCTTTACGCGTTTCGAACAAGCCAATGCGAAAACCTCTATAAAGTATGGCGGATCTGGTTTAGGCTTATTCATTTCTCAACAACTTGCCGAGAAGCAAGGCGGGAGGATCGGTCTATCTTCAAAATTAGGCCGGGGAAGTACTTTCGGATTTTATGTCAAAGCACGGCGTAGTATTGAACCACCGAAAGAGACGCGGCCAGATTTGACTCCTGCATCGTCCGGAGGATCTTCTTACGATAAATCGAAAGCAATGCAAGTTCTATTAGTCGAAGATAACCTTGTCAACCAGAGACTATTGAAAAGGCAATTAGTAAGAGCCGGATGCGTGGTATACGTGGCCAATCATGGGTTAGAGGCTCTAGAAATATTAAGACAGTGTTCCTGCTGGCATGAGCCAGTGAAAGATGCAAAAGGTCTGGATATCATACTCATGGATTGGGAAATGCCGGTGATGGACGGCCTCACCTGTAGTCGTGAGATTAGAGCTTTGCAACAATCTGGAAAGATTGTAAGACATCTCGAAATTATTGCCATTACTGCTAATGCCCGAGAAGAGCAGGTCCAATTAGCATTGCACAACGGGATTGTGAGTCTTTAAATGATGATCTGAGTTGAAATATTTTGCTGATAGGTGCTACAGAATTTTGTTATGTCGAAACCTTTTCTGGTCGCGGATTTGCTTTCCAGAATGAGAGAAAGACTTAGTGGGACAGATGATGGGACGACTTTTCAATGAATGAGTAATTTCCAACGTCTTCCCATACTAACGGGGAGTGCATCACGTCCCGGTCATTAATCATCCCGCCAAGTTTTCGATTGGTTTTGACATATCTGCGGTTATCAAAGTCAGTATGGATAATCAAGAGAGGTGGCGAAGAGATTTTGGTGAGGAGGCCGTGGGCACATTTGCTCAGCTCCCTGTCAAAGCAGTGACGTGAATGTTCCAGTAGTTTTGGCAGGACAAAAAACATAATAGATGGGAAATGAGTCGGTATAAAGCCTACGATGGCAATTTGCAGCTCTCACTTCGCAGTGATGGGTAATTGGTTAGATAAAATACTCGAACTTGGTTACGAGATGTATAGAATAGAAGCCATTAGGCAGGCAAAGCCAGTAAGATAGCTAATACTAAGGCTTGAGTTCTAGAATAGGAAGCGGCTGCTCGTGTTGCTCTTCCTTTTATACTCTGTCCATTGGATAAGGTTTAGCACTAAAGTAGGAAAAACGATAATCATATCCAAAAACCATATTTTTCATTCTTGCCTTCACAACAGCTTTTGTATCAGGCGAGCGGAAACTTCCTGCGTGAATTCAACTGCGTGGCAAAGGAAGCATCGAACTAAGATTACAATAAGTGTAAACACATTGTACTCGGTACTTCCGCACGTTTCTCTTTGCACCAAGATCTGGCAAGGCAATCAATCATAAGTCTTACATTTATAACTTGTGAGAAATGTATATGTATAGTTATGCCACGCTTTAAATACCAGCACGGATGCGCAATGAGGAACTTCCAACTTTTCGTATTTGGCTTCGTGTAGCGGACGAGTAGCCTGGCAAGGAGCTGGAGATGTTCTTTCCCAGCGCACCCCTAGCCTCGCTTGGTTTGATGAAGGAAGAGACATGATTACTAGAGTTTTTCTCTCACATTCTGCGGTGAACATATTTCAGAGTATGGCATTTTGTCTGTTTGGTAAGGGATTTAATATATCTAAGGGATCAAGGTAACCTTAAAGGGCTGCGAACTTCAGGACTACTCTCTTTGGTCTCACGCGATGGATAAAATAGCCTGTACAGGTAATTAAATGAACGTGCGATTGATTACCTGGTATTTTGTACGTCATTGGAGCTGCAAGTACCTATGCTTTGAGATGGATATGGCAAGTACATACTGAATATGTTGGGGTTGTTTCATGGGTGGCCGCAACTGCTGTTTTGAGCAATTAGTGACACTTCTGTTTATGACTAAATTGCAATTTCTTCAACTTGAAATTTTCCTCTCCTCATACACACTGTATCAATTTTGGATAGAAAATGACTGGATCATGGAAAAGAAAGACCGGGGAGATTCTGAAGACGTATGGTGTTACCTTTCTTTCTCGTCATTTAATAAAGTATAAGCTGACTTTTGACTAGTTTGCTCGGGTTTGGTGGCTTCGCCGCTGGCGCCTAGGCTGAGCGGGGCTTTTGGCAAAATGAGTTCAGACTTCTATAATGCTGCTAAAGCTGCAGTCAGAGATAGCTGCTAGTGTTCAGCGGAAGCACTGGCTGCTCGGGTGGATGGATAAAACCCAGGTGACGCCGCGGGGATGTCAGAGAGAGGTAGAGCGGGGGGGGAGGGCAAGGCGGAGAGAGGCAGAGCGGAGAGAGAAGTTTCCACCATCTGTTGACACTCGAAAAGCAAAACCTGAAGTGAGTGATCTACTAGTTTCTCTTCGTGCCTCAAACAGAAAATTTAATTTGAGAACTCCTTATTTCAAAAGATTTTGGGGGGAGATTACAAAAAAAAGTAACCTCCAAAAAAGGAGGGGAGTTATAAACAAGGTCTCCAGGACCGCAAAGAGAGATGGGAATTTGATGTATATTGTTTGTGGTGTTTCTGGTTTTTCATCGTGTAAAGGAGGGAAGTTATAAACAAGGTGTTTGAGGCGTTTCTAGTTTTCTATTGTACAAAGGAGGGAGTTATAAACAAGGTGTTTGGTGCCTTTGGTGGTGTTTGTGGTCAAGAGGATGGGAGTTCAGTTTATGGTGTTTATAGTGCTTGTGGTGAGGATGGCGAGGAGGATGGGAGTTCAGTTTGTGGTATCCGTGGTATTGTGGTAAAGAGGATGGAAATTCAGATTGTGGTGTTTGTGGTGAGGATGTTTAAGATGATAGAGATGCGGCATTGTGCTCTGAGCCAGTGGGGCATAGTAGGGAGTGTCAACCTTACTCTATCCTTAGTTCGATGGTCTCTTATCCGAGTAACAATCTTCCTCCTCGTCCTAACTCTCCCCCTCTACAACTGTGGTTATAAGAGTCAGTTGGAGAATCACAACTCCTGTTGCGGGGTGGTGGTAGTTGTCATTTTATGGCGTGGCGCTTGTGGTGATAATGCTGGTTAGACCGAAATGAAGGAGATGTATGATGGTATTTCTGCTGATGGCGATGACAATCTCTCACGAATGGCAGAGTCTTAGAAATGGAAGAGGAAACATTATTGGCATACAACAGTCAACCATCACTGGACTCACAGTTATAATAGCGGATTTGGACTTGTCATTTCTACAACCTCAACGTAGTCAGACAGACAGCCGTCTGCAAAAGATATCTCGAGACAGACGATTACATAAGTACCACTTCAGAGCTCCGAACACTGTTCTCGAGGCACAAGCTTTCAAGTACTCTCATCATACCAAACCACACAATATATTTCCAAGAATCGCCGTCCATATACACCAAGATACTGTTTCTAAACTGAGAAGCTTGTTCTTGAGACGCCAGTTATCAAACATCAGAGACGATATTCACGAACTGGTGCGTATCAGGCCCGTATAGTACAATGCAAGAAGTGCGTCCCTAGGCATCATGCTCCGATAGTAGGTAGAGTTGCAAGAGATTCGTCCACTGCTTCAATTTTTTATAGTCTGCTTTCCGAATAAGGTGTCATTGGTGGAAACTCGTCGCCTCTGTCAATTACCTCCTTTTCGATACACAGACCTAGGCTCAAGTTTCGCTTCAATTTCCAAACAGGTTTCTCTTCTAAATCATTATCTTCGACTCCCAAATCCAAAACTCCCTATGGCCTTTGGGAAGAGAAATACTTCGAGTGGAGGTTGTGGGGGCGGTCCACGAGGCATCCTTGCCGGATAATGATCTACGCAAAAGAACAATATCAGCACAGTCCATCAGCACGGCAGCTCGAACTGCAGAAGGTCTTCAAATTTCGACCATCGCGCTATTTCTCTGAGTATTCGCCAGTGATGCCTTCGACTGTCGGTACCATGTCTCGACATTCGAGAGGTTCTCACCAACCCTCAAATTGCGTGATGATCCCCAAAGCAATACTTTTCATGCAGTGAGGATACCTAAGTATCTACGTTAGGAAAATCACAACAGAGGCTTCGAAACACTCGCTCATGCCGAATGCTTCCTCTTAAATTCGAGTGTGCCATTTGCTCTTGGGGAAAGGTTTGTAAAATAGAAACATGAAGTCATTTAGAATAGAATATAATAAAATCAAATTTTTCATGGTTGGAAAACAAAATGATAGATAGAATCAAAGACATATGTTCGCCTTTCCATGTTTTCTACCTTTACATTGTTCTCTTATGTAGGAAATGAATCTCGTTCAAGGTAAGGTTATGCCTTACTTGACTAAAATAGCTAGGCATTAACGTTAGTAGGTTAAAAAACCCACATATAAATCATCCATCCTCTCTCATGGAAGTTTGATTTTTCTTTTCCACCTTATCGTTTTCACAACACAATCCTTAAGTACCAAGTACTCTGTGAAAACAACCTCTTTATCCAAACCTCCTACAACACATTTCTCTATACTGGGTACTTACAAACGTACGACCCTTCAAATATAACTTCCATATCGAAGCTTGTCTCTCAGTTCGCAATTTCGATCACCTACCAAACACGAAGCAATTAGCCACCACTTACTACTCATGAATTCACGTACGTAAATACTTCATGACGGCGTTCGCGGCTTTAGTTCTTGTGGATCATCCAACCAAAACCGCGTCTAGTGCCTTATTTAACTCTCAGTTCCCAAGTCCAAAAGGCCTTGAAAAACATAAACGCCAGATCGAAGAAAGGCGGGCCAATCTTCTTGGTCCCAAAGTGTTATTTCATTCAGCAATCACGGCCATGTTGTTTACGCATTATGGTCTTGCAGGTCGTTGGTTTGCTTTGGCTGGCTCTGTATCTGCCTGGGGTTTTGTCGGAGGTTTTTTCGAGGCTATGAAAGAGGCCTGGGATAATCGTAGGGCAATGACAACAACGAAGACGGAAGGTGATTTGATTGCTCCGACCTCTGGTATATTTCATTTCACGGCAGAAAATTTACACTTTCAATGCCTAATTGACTAATATTCCTAGGAAAATGAGATAAAACCAGTTGATAGTGTCGATAGCTTGACACTGCATTGTAAGATCTTGTAATCAATCCTTTGTACAGAAGAATGGGCATTGGCGTCGCAGGATGGAGTCTCGATTATGGAGTTGTCAATAGGTAGCTTTTGGTAGGCACTTTGATACTGTATCGTAATGATACCCCGCAATCATCTGTATACTAAAATACTGGGTCGTGGTGGGTAGGATTTCCGTTAGAAGGCTGGGTTGGCTGGGTAAATTACGGAGTAAGGTTTACACTCTCTCTTCCTTTATTCGAGATTGAAAAAATTAAAAATACATTCAAGCCTCCTTTTCCCTAAATGCATATATCTATCGACTTACCAACCCTAGAAAGCCATTTGTATTATGACGTTGAGTTGGGCTTCGCTCCGGACAATGCATGCATAGGGGCTCAGGTGGGTATCTGTGCCCAGGTGGGGTATTTGTAGATCATACTCACGTGATATTGTATTCTCATTTGGTCCGCATTAATATTTTCAAATATATCAAAAAGGATAAGAACAATTTTTGGATTCCTAGATTACTTATTGCAAGTCTAATTATTGCTTTAAATCAAACATACATCGCTTTTTAGATCGATATACAAGATCAGGATCTCGCTTGTCGAGGTCTGTTTACCTTTGCAATGTTATTTATACCACATTGCTGTGATTGCAATATTTGCGTTTGAGGCTCAGCACTATGTGTAATTCTTTATTTCAAGCGGAGGCTGAGACCATTAGGGCACTAAGCCTCGAAAGGTTACTTATTAACTGCCTGGGCAAAAGCGTTCAAAGCCGCTAACCTTGTCTGCAGCTCTTTCCAAGAAGATCCATCTTACTCTCAATTCTACCTTGGAAAAGAAGCAGCTCCAGTTATGGCACTTTCTGTGCAAGCTCTTGTACCACACTGTCCGCAACCCGCCCACATGTTATTGATTGACTCTAGGCAGCGTGACTACGATGATCACTCTGTTTGTGCTACTTTCAATCGACGCAATATAATACATAACAAGATCTACTGCGTGCCCTTCGTGAATATAGCGCCTTTACCTGATGGTATTCTCGTGCGTACACAAGATAAGGATATCATAGCTAGTTTACCATCGTTGCAAATTTTTGCAGAAGAAACATTATGGAAAGCTATAAGTCCTGAGGGTTTTATGTTGCCTGCACAGTTGCTCGAAGGCTAGGGTTATATTACCGATGAGCTGCCCTTATTGGGTGTAAATGAGTGGAAGGCCGAGTATCCTAGGAAGTTTGTTTGCTATGGATTAATGAGCAGAAAATGGGACAAATATTGTTGGATGCTATGGTGCGGATGGGCATGGTGGATGCGGAAATTGTGAAAGAGGCCACACTGAAGGGATGGGGGAGAGTATACGGTGATTTGTTTGCGAAGGAATAAATGAAGGTGATGGATCAGTTGTAATTTGAGCAGGGCTTCGTAATTACAACCGATAATAGATATCACAATGAGAATTAGTCTCTCAAGTAAGTTAAGATCTCGGAGACACAGAGAATCTTGCATCAGAAGCTTAAGCTGCTATATTTGTTCCGAAGTTTGGGGATATGGTTTCTGAGACAAGATACATTTGATACAATAGCACTATTTTGCCATGTTAAATCAAGAATGGTTTCTTTCTCAAGATTTATTTTATCTGTAAAAAAAGCAGTATCAGTGTCGAAAATATATATTATAAAGTTCTACCAAACGCAACATTCTCAATCTCGGTGCTCAATAAGCTGATTTCAGCGACCAAATGGGTCCCTAAATCATTGACCTATCCCGCGTGTCGCGGAACAAGTTTTTGCTTGTGTGGTTGGTATATATGGAATCAGGTCTGATATGGATCCAGACTTCCTGTCCGGTGTTTTAGCCTTGGCTTTCGAGAACTCGGTAAAAATAGCTATGGTGGTACGCGTTTCTTCTCCTTTAATGTTAAGATACAAAACCACTGGGTATTTATCATCTTTCAACATCCGCATCGTTACGGCTTTCTTGATACGATTTTCGCTGATTCCCTTTTTCATTGTTTGCATCATTTCCTAAAGCTGGCAATCATAGTAATGAGAAATCAGAGGGCTGTATTGAAAGCTTGAGGTCTGTGGGGACCTGTAATGATATTCTTGATCCTTCGTAGGAGTATTAGAGTGAGAAAAAATGGCAATTTGCTTGCCCGGATAGCAGCGGCTGCAGCCTGGCGAATGTAAGCATGTGGTGGCCAATAATGTTTTAGTCAAGTAATTTTCGTTGGGGATGTTATACCAGGAATGCCCGGCATGTTGCCATCGATGTAGGTGCAAACCGAGTATTTGTATACTGAAATTTCGCTCTGCCTTTTTCGAAAATAAGAATAGGAAATAATTCTAGCACTGTGTAATGGTATCGAATGCGGCCATTTTGATTGGTAACCTCGGATACAATGTAGGTTTCAGTTGACGGCATTTATGGGAATATAGACTATATTACTCTGCGTAGCATTTATCCTGTCTACATCTTATCCGCCATGTCCTTTTTTTCTTCATGTGCCCAATTCTACTCACTCACCAAGACCTTACTTTGGAGTAGATGTGCGTTGGCAGCTGAGAGTACTGTGCTATCTTTAAAGCCCAATGGAAACCTCATCCCGTTCATAATTTTTCTCTTACTACAAAGAAATTTTGCAATATCAACCGATCGAACTTACAGTGATGTTATAAATGGCGCAGAAAGGAACACTGACTTTATTTTCTATGAAACAAATTGATCTTTCTTCTCACTGGGTATTGGCTCCCGCCTCTATTGCTTGCTTTTTAGTCTTCTTATATGATTACTGGCTTGATGCATATGTTTGATAGCGGGTGATTGTGGGAAAGCAAAACACTCGGAGTATTACGCGGGAAAAGAAAAGAGATATATGAAGGAGGAAGGAGGAACTGGATGAAAGGGAAGGAAAGTAGCCGCTAGAGGTTGCCCTGCTCTACACAGCGCAAATGTAAACAAATGAATATGGGAATTCTATCTCGATATTTTACAAGATCCTTATTTGCAATGTAGATGCCCCAATTCAGTAGATCTCCCAATTCAGTAGATCTAATACACTTCAACTGAACTTCCTTGTAGGCTAAAGTCAAAGCTTTTCGATCTTTTTGGGGATATATTTCGATGCTATAGTATATATATAGTGATTTTTAGTAGTATAGAACATTGAATATGATATATATCTTCATTTATTAGAGTTCTTCATGAGCAACGCTGAGGTAAATGTCTTCACGATTCGATGTTGAGTTTGGGTAGGTTAATTCTCGGTTATATTTAAGCAGTGGGCTAAATATGGTAAGGCTTACCTCGCCATCCCAAACTTAGTGAACACTCAGGTTATTATCTGATATGAATTTAGATGACCAGAAAACAGAAACCAATATCGCGTTGCTAGCTAGGTAACTATGGTAAAAATGGCAGCAGTTTGTTAAGATTAAGCCCCATACTTCACGTGCCCTCATGTCTCCTAGAAAGCGACTCCCTTATGGTTACCCCTCCTTGCTCAATAATTCACTTAATAGGTAATCTTATATTGTTTGCTTTTTTGATTGCATTTTCAGATATGATTTTTCAACATTTAAAATCCCCTCTTTCAGTAACACTTCTTTAAAAAGATCATCATTTTACTGATCGACCTTTCGTTGAATACACATTTCTGGCCATGATGTCAGCGGCGTCGGGCAAAGAGAACGTAGCAACAGTTGCAGCTGTAGAGAAGCTCAATGATTAAGGCAATGTTTTGTATAAATCGGGGAAATTTCTTGAAGGTATGTAATTTTTATAAGTACCTTCCTATTGTAGTCTTTATGTTCTGTACTGTCATCAAACTGATCAAGACACATAGCCGTCATCAAATATCAAGAAGCCATGGCAGCTGATGATAACGCGGTCCCATGTACTCTGAAGCCTCGTCGCAATTTGACTGCTACATACTTTGAGCTCGGCAGATATACTTTATGTCGCGATATGACCAAGCAGGTCATCGAAATAATCAAAGAGACTATGCCAGAGGACAAAGTAATCCTTGCAAAACTTGCACAACGAGAACAGAGATCTACAGAACACATTCCTCAAGTTTCTGAGCAGGAAAAGCTTAAGAGGCGTCTCAAAATCTATGCTCCTTTACCACGTTACCATGCTTCCTTGTGAGCCGTTTGAGATTCTCCTTCAGTGATATTCTTTGGCTAACTACTGTTCAGGTACACTACGACGGATTATTTCACTGTCGGACACGATGTTGCCGAAAGCCTCTTCAATGTCCTTCTCCAGGATTTCCCTCGGAAAAATAATAAAACGATGTTATTTTTTCTCGGAGGCATTGGTGATTCTCGCAATTTGTATGCAACTATGATCGATCTTCATACATCAGAGAAGAAAGGAGTCGCTTCTCGCCGAAACTATCATTTCGTCGCAAATGGTCACAACAAATGTGCTCTCACCAGGAATCTTATCATTTGGAAGCTACTAGACGAACTTTCAACATTGGCACACGACTCCGATCAGGGACTGATGGCTTTAGCTACCATCTTTTTCATCTATGAGTCATACCTAATGCCCAAGTACATCCATGGAAACTTGCGCAGGATAATGGAGAACATTCTTGTCAGTTTAGAAAAGGTATGCGAATCTTTCAGATTCTAGTTGGTTATGATGGTCTTTTCTTTCGTTCCCTTTGCGAGCCTCATTTCACTCTTTCAGTCTTTCAAGCCTACTTTGACCTGCCAATTGGTTACCTTTAGAATCAACGGCTGGGACACATCTCGATCTCTTGCAGATAGCTGATAATGGTTGACCTGCATTCACTAACATTCGGTCCTAGGGCGATTCACCACTCCCATGGGTCTCACTTCATGCACACGATATTCCAAAATACATCGAAGTCCTGAAATCTTGGATCAGCGAAAACTTCCAGAATTTTACAGCCTTGGAGGTCATGCATGGCATACGAATAGCATTATCCCAACGCGCGCCTTTTCATGATCGAAATTGCAAGGAGAAGCAATTGTACACCAGATACGGTTTTCTGCAACCCCCAGGAAAGATCTTTCTTCTTTTGAGCCAAGTTTGCTGGAGCTTTTACAAACTCCATCCAAACCTAGCGTGCTTCGTGGGTATATTCAAGAAAACTGGAAATTCAATCCAACCATGATGGATCTTGATTGGTGTAAAGATTTGAAAAGAACAGGTCGCCCTAATGAATTCGATTTCGGTAACGATCCTTTCAGCGCTCTTGACCATTTCGAATCTTTTTACAAGGGACAGAAGCCCTCAAGCTTGTTTGATCACGCAGCGCCCTTATTCAAAGGTGCAGGAGATTCAATCAAAAAGATGAAGCAAAGACTTCACGTTGAAGTCCTCTGGAGATGTTATTGAAATTGCTGAATGGCTTCGTTTTAACATGTCACCTACTAGAGTTCCACGATCAGAGAAATTCCCTACAGAGTTTGACGTCATTCACCTAAGTAATATCCCGTAATTCAGCTTTAATCCTCAGATCAGCCTCGTTGTTTCTTCTCTTCCTCTATCAAACCATCACGTTCCTTGGCCCAAAATTTAGGCAAATTTGTAACATGGAAGCTGACCTCAATTTACAGTGACTATATTGGCGGCCACTTATCCACATTTCTTTATATCACGCCAATCATGAAACTCGCGCCATCCAGTATTTTGCAGTCCAATTGTTTACGCAATGCAGGAAGCTGGGACTCCATTGAGTCATTTTTAGCAGATTATCAATGTATCACAGACAAAGAAATGCTAAGACAGCTTACTGGTGTTAGTGTGATCAACGAACCTCTCAAGGACACGATTTTTCCTTTGATCGGATACAACTGGTACACGCCTGCCCTGCCAATTTTCCATGACGACTGGTCGGTCATGTTGCCTAGAAATGATTTCCAGAAGTGGTTTTACGCGCTGTTCTTCAGACTTGCCTTGCCGTACAAGGTTAACATCCTCGACGTTTCTAAAATTATTTTCTCTCCTCTCAATCTGACCATTCTTTTCCGTCTAATGGATCAATTACGCTCTCTTCATTATCCATCCCATTGGATGTCAGATTTTTTTGAATATCATCGAGAACAAAGTCGTCACTAACTGTCGTCCTCCAAGAATATCACCGAATCCCGTTTCAGCACTAAAGCAACCGCACAAGACCAGAGGCTTGTGCAAAATTCCGTTCTTCCACGAAATGGCGACCCTCACGCGATTATTCATGCCTCTTCCTTTTACTCTGACATCATCGTCTATTCCAGCCCAAAGCGATATCTTCAGGTATACATTTTCACTACTCAGCTTCGTGAGTTACCAAGAATGGCCAAATAACCTCGCCCTCGTCTTCTGGAGTCACACGCGTTTTGAAGAATTCGGTGATTTCGGATACTAATCATTTGCGACAAATGTTCGTCCTTTTTGGATCCAACCTGGGGTGACGAAATGGACAGCAAATTCAAAGGTTCCAAATTCGATACATTCAGGACTAAAGGATTAATTGTATGGATTACTGTGGATTGGGACATTGAAATACGCGAAGCAAGTGCTTGGATGCCCAGTGCTCTAGTCGACAAGATGATCAAAGAGGTAGACTGGACCTGTGGTTTGTTCAGGACTGATACATGGGAAAGATGTTGGCAGTACCCCGGTATGGTGCCGGATGCGAGGAAAGGCGAAGCGTGGAAAGATGATATCACTTCAGCTGCAGGTCGACAACTTGTGGAGAGCCAAGCAAGTGTTATATCTTGAGAGCTAGGGCTGGTGGTAATACTGCTATAGGCGAGCAGTCTTTTACGTTGGTATTTAAGCACGTAGGCAGTGGATGAGTCATCGATGCGCCGATATGTGTAATAGTAATTGTTGGATAGTTAAGAAGAATTCATAGAAAAATTTAATTCTGCATGCATCTGAAGTACCACTTACAACCCAGTAATCAGATTACTACACGGGGACAAGCTTCTCTATTTCGAACACTTCCGTTTCTTAAATTCAACAACTACTGTTTAGAATTTAGAAATGCCTGATCATATCTGCTTTAATATGTTGCATGCTCTTATGCTTCTAATATCATGGCAAGGTCGTGTATTCGGCGATTATTTTAAATGCAATGTTATAGTTGACAGCCATAAAACCAATAACAAATCACCAGTAGTAAAATTTTGGGCTGCTTCTTATTATGGGGTTTTGAAGCATTTGTCTTCTAGGACAGATACGTCCAGTAAGACCTAAATTTCGGGATTTTGTTGCATGCCACATGATCTCTCCACGATGCCTAAGAACTGAAACTATAGGACGGAAATCAAGAATTAAGACCTGCAACGTCTCTCCATGAGATAGAATCCAATCTAATTGCCAGTCGTGAGAGAAACTATAGTTTCCCAATTCCAACCTTTTCAAGTTTGGGTAGTGGACACTTTTTCAATCACATTTTGGGAAATATCCCATAATTGATCGCAGTGAATAGTCAGGAGCTCCAAATTATTAGCACAGGCTGCTAACCACGTAGAGGGCAGTTTAGCGAAGAAATTATGCATTTCGGAGAAACACTATGATCTATCCCGAATTTCATGATCGTATTCAGTAACCACTCTAAGACGTAAATTCTTGATTCGTTTTAGGACTGCAAGGGAATCTTCTGATGTGGTCAAACCCAATTCATTGACATTCTGTAAATTCTTCAGGGAAACTGTTTTAATATTGGGTGTAGGATATCGGGAGCTATTTAGAGATGCAAATAAATCTTTCAGAAAAGCAGTACGGTACTCATAGGTATCTGGTAAGTCGGTACCATCTAGTATGCTTTTGTCGTTTTTATCATCGCAATAGCGACATCAATATATCAATATGGCAGGTATGGTTATATATGTAAGATCTTGTATAGCCAGGAACTTTACACCTACAATTATAATCCTTTTATCGTGGATTCATTAGTAGAGTAAATTTTAGTAAGATTATCTGACCACTTTTGGCTCTACCTACAAGACAAGACGAGAAATTAACCATTGGAAAACAAGCAGGAGGTTCAATGCAGCATAATCAATACAAAGACAGCTCGTACTTGCGAACAAATCATGTATCTAATTATCTCATAGCATCACACTGACCTATGGATGCTTTCATTTCGAGAAAAAAAAGAATGAAATGAAAAACAAAAAAGCTAAAAACATTCCATTCAATTTAAATCCTATAATAATAATTACAGTAAGATCACGGTCCTTATTGACATTTACATTCATGAATATCGCTCCTGATTAAACTTCAATTTTCGCATGGCGTAACCAAGCGGCTAGCAATTAGTTTGCCCACCAAACAGCAAGTCCAACAAAAGTTTACATCAAATGAAGTTTTATATCGTCTAATTATAACAACAGCCTTAGCAGGAATTTTAAGGTCTATGGCAATGACAAGTCACGGAAAGAGCCATAGTATTTCGCTACGTATATGGAAATCTTGATATTTATAGGGGAAGACGTTCACACCTAAATGAAGTTTGAGGTGAGGGTGCACAGACTCCATTTTAGCGAGTCTAGGTCTACGCGATGGCACGTTCTAGTGCCCTGTCACGTTCGTATAGCATTTTAGTATGATTTGTTAAGATTATATCTATAATATCTGTATCAATTCAGCTTTATCATGTGCTAAAAGTTTTCCTTTCGGCGGTGGATCGTTAAGGACTTTTATAAAGGGACGCTCGGCTTATATATTGTATTATTCAGTATAGAGTATCTAGATAGCAACAGAAACTAAAATGATATAAGTCGAGAGAACGTGAGGTTCAGCTCCAAAATTCTGGTATCTCAAATTTGAGAGAGATTTTTGAAAGCTATAGGGGTCAATTCTAGAGAATTGACGAAAAACAAAGAGGGACCTCGGCACCTTCTACGTTGTGATCCATGTCGCCGCCTCTGGATGATTTGCGAACATGCATTGGCTTGGAATGATACGACTACTGCGCAAAATTTTGCAACATTGAAGAGAGCTGAGTCTCAAAGATTTATTTAGTCATATAATATCGCGAGTTTGCAATTTATGATCGGATCTATGCGATGGTGTGCTTGCACAGCAACTACGAAGAGTTTTATATATTGGTTGATACCAGATCGCTTGTAAGATATTGATGAATTGGATCTTACATCTAGACGGAAGATCATACATACTTCATCTTGTGAGGTTTCACCAATTTTTTACCACTAACATATATTAGAATATGAGAAAAGCTAAGTTCAAAACTAGATCATTGACTCAGGGACTGTAAAAGAAGCTAAATGTATATCCATGATAGACTTAGGATTTAGCGTGCTTACCATAGGAAGAATGGCTCCCGAAAGTGGATAGAATGCCCAGGATTGCGACTAACGGACCCTCTGGCGAGAAGTGGATGGGTAGGTGTGTTAATTTAGGGCACGTAAGACCATAGCTAGCTAAGCTGGGTCTAGCAGAGGTATCTAAAACCTTGCCAAATCTCTTCTAGGCTTCCGACGAAATATCATGATACATGGAATTACTTTTAAAATGAACTTTGAGTTTTTCAGTCCCCTGTAATTCAGGGTCTTGACTGTATGGCCTCTTTGAGATGTATAAATAAAGCTGTAAGCGAGAAAACTCTTCGGGCCAGCTCTAAATTTGGGTTTACCAGATAAAAACACATAAACTTATGAGGCTTTCATACTCCAGTACAGAACCTCGCCAAGTAATTTGGTCCAGACTTTTCGAATATCTGAGATACAATGGAAGAAAATAGTCATAGGAGGGTAAGAGTACTAGTGTCAAAGGATAAGATATTTCAGAACAGGTCGAACTAGAGTCACTTAGAACCTCTAAGCTTCAGCTAGCATAGTGCAGCTTTAAATTACCGGAGTTAGAAAGTGGCAGAATCTATAGCTGACAATATCAGATGGCATTGAAAAAAATAGTAACATATATAGATGAAAGTTTGCAAGTTTATCATTTGGAATTACTTCACAACATTAGTCTTGACCAAAATCGAAACTCCGACAATCACTCATTACACATATTAATACATTAATATTAAATGATTTGTCCCCACATACCCCCAAAGCTCAATTTAATATATCGGCGAGAGTGAATTGCATCCTTTGCTACTTCCTAATTTGGACAATATAAAATCATATTAAACAACAACAAATCAAAAGCATAAACTTAACACCAAAACCTTAATCTCAAACTGCATTTCAGGAAAACCCAGTACATTCCAACACACACAGAGATAGAGAGCAATTGCAATGCCAGACAATCAAGGAATATAATTTTATCACTGCCATGATGAATCAATCATCAGCTACCTCCAAGAACCATCCTCCAAGGAAGATTTTTGGTCAACTAATCGAGACATTTACCCTCGAATCCACCAAGCACATCCTTGCTATTTTCAACAAGTCAGGGAGTATCCGCAGAATCTCAACTCTAGAGCCTTTTACCGAAATTAATTGATCTTGAGTCCAAAGTAACCTCCCACGAACGAACCATCGTCGCAGTATTGCTACTGCAAAAGTGGCCTATCACCCGCGCGGCACTCTTGAGAGAATATGACGAGGCTGGACAAGAGGTCTTTACTTTAGGGTGTCGAACTTGCCAAATTTGTTATGAGTTTCTACCTGCAAAGATGTTCAGAAAGGGTTATGCTGGGTATGAAGTGGGGGAGTTTTCGAAACAGTGCCTTTTCCATGGCCGTCACATGGTTTGTATGACTTGTGTGACGGCTCATGTGGCGGTGCAATTTGAAAGTACTCATTGGGATAATATCAAATGTCCACTTTGTTCGGGAAAATTGAAGATGGAAACTGTGTTGACGTATTTAAGCGGGGAGATGCCTGCCAAGTAAGTTATCTTTTCGGTTGATACTGTACCCATACTTTTTGGATCCTACACAATGAGCCCAAGAACTAATAATGCAAAAGTTACAAAGAGTATTTGAGCACCTACTCCCTGCGCAATCTGCCCAGATTCTGTTGGTGTCTCTCACCTAGCTGTAGCTCTGGAAAAGTTCATCTTCCAGGCCACGAGTCTCCAAAGATGACTTGCCAAAAATGCGGATTCGATACTTGTTACTCTCATCAACTACCATGGCACGATGGAAAAACATGCGAGGAAGATGGGGGCTTGAACTCGAAGGAGGATAGGCAATCAGAGGAGTGGATTAAATCATAGACTAAGCCTTGTCTTAATTGTGGTGTTGCTACTATTAGGGCCGGGGGATGTGGTGGAATTTATTGTAAGTGTTGCTTGGAAGATTTCTAATTCGTGATATTTTCATGCAAGTTGATTTACTAACTATGTATAGGTCGCTGTGATGTATTTTGGGATTTTGAGACAGGGGATATCATCGCTTTCATGGCTTAAACAATATGCGGAGTTCGATTGAGTATGCAGCTCCACTGTGCTGCGAGTATGTTACTAATAGATGCACAGGTCAAAGGAAGCAGATGATAGACTAAAAATCCCATTGCGGATCTGGCTAACTGGTTCGGGCAGCGAATTTCGATTGGCAGCAGCGCCGGGATCCTTCCATATTCCGCAATTCTGGTATTTCCCGTATTTACTAATATCTAGAGCAGTCGCTTGGGCCCCTAAAATGTTTCCGCAAGAATTCACGGAGGGTAGAAATGGGGATGAGTGTTTAGCAATGCTTGAATTATTTTCAGTGTTCGGACACGACCAGCTACTTTACAGAATTAGATAGCAAAGGTATCCTAAAATCGAGAAATAACTACAAGGCTCACCAAGTAGATAGTCTAGTCAGCGGTTTTCAGAAAAAGCAATGATCACGCATCAGAACGTGGAAAGACTGTAACTGAAAATTTGAAGGTGCAATATAGATGAGCAAACCGATGGCTTTGACCGCGAAGGCGAGTAGCAAGCGCTTTTTTCCAGTTTTCATACACAGCTAGTAAATGAGGAGGCTTTCCACCTCCAACAATAGAACATTTAATTTGTCTAAATAGTAACACATTACTTCTGACTGCTGGCACTTAATTGGCGGAATGAATCTCAATTCAGAACTGCAGCAGTCTCCACAACTTCCATATCCATTGTAATCTGAATGCCACATTTCCAACAGTTCCTGTCGTTCCCCCAACATCACGATCACCACGACCATCTATTTTCTAACGACCTTCTCTGCTAAGAAGCCCACTTCCCTCCCTTGCACCACATCAGACAACTGATCTTTCAACGTCCTCCATTTATCCGTCAATTCCTTAGCTTTCTTTTCCACTTCTCCCATCTGATATACCTCATCTGTCACGCTATTCCTCATATCGATCAAAGTCAAAATATCGCGCTCGAGCTCGTCATCGTTCATCATTCGGCTTATCCCTGCAATAGCCATTCTATTTTTCCTCTTGGCTTGATAACTCTTCAACCATCCCACATGCCGAGTGATATTCCTGATTTCTTCTTCCCTGGAGTAGGAGGAAGACTCAAATGTGGTGGGATAGTTGGTAGGCTTGGATCTTTGATCCATGGTTGAGAGATAGTATGGTGTAAATACTCGTAGAGGTTCGAATCTGAGGGAGGGGACTTGGGATTTGAATTGTGCTGATGATTGTTGAGTGAATGATTCTTGATTTGTTTGGAAATCGGTAGAGCGTAACTCCATATATACACAGTCCTTGATCCCCATGGAATGCAGAGGATAAAACTATAACCTTTGTGGGTTTTTGTTAGCGACATGTAAATCTTACTATTTCTTGAAATCTTCTAGAATTTACGACCTGTTCGACTTTCTTTATTCGGTATCATGTGCTGGTTTCTGTCAGGGCGCCCAATAGTCCGGACTGATGTACTGGATGTGTGTTTTCGATGTTTGAAATGTTTCACTTGGATTCAACAATCCGAAGCTTTTCATTGTTTGACTGCAGTCCAACCATTGGATGCCTCTAGTCTGGCTCCGTTGAACATTGCGTTTGATTTCTGTCGCCTGTTTCCTTTTCAGAACACTTTTGCGAGAAGCTTCTCCAAGTCCTTTCTATTCTATTTTCCTCATTTTGATCTGAGACTTGGCACAATTTTGGCCAGTCATGCTCTTCAGACGACTCAACCTGGTAGCAGTGCTATCAAGCATAATTTGGGCACCTATTTTGATTATATTTGAATCAGCTAACTTATTCTTCTCATCCCAGAGGGTAAGATTAATTCATTTCTCACCATATTTCCAGCAGTGCGCACGTCAGTCTTAAAATGAGAGTTTCAACTCTGAATTTATTCTTTATGCCAAAACTATTTGAACATTGACTCATGTGGAACATAATGTTCATGAAAGGAATTAGACCACTGTCAAGGTTTCACAACTTTACAAAAGCCAGAAGTGTTAAAGCCAGATAGTGGTCCGCACTGTTGGAAGCTAGCTCTTGGAAAAGAACTTCATCTCTCATGAAGTCCTCAACGTCCATTTAAGCAAATCTTTTTCAACAAAATCTTCCTTCCTGCCAAGTAGCTCATCAACATCCCACCTAGCATCTAGAAACCTCCCATTGAGCCACTTCAAATTTTTAATGTCCTTACTCAACCATACACAGAATCCACCGCAAAGATCCACACTATCAACTAAGTCTGTACCTTTGTTAGCACTTCTGCAGCCTCAAAGAATAAATGGAAAATACTCACAAGGTAGGAAGACCTCTGGTGTATTTCCAGCAGCCATCGGTGTTGCAACCGCCCCAGGATGCACTGTAACAGCGACCAAACCCTCCTCCCCAAATTGCGAACCTACCATCTCCACAAATCTACTTTGTGCAAATTTACTCACGCAATACCCCGTATTAGCAATTGGTCCATCCGTTAAATTCGCAGCCAGTGATCCAATTTGTATGAAGCCCTTTGCTCCATTCTCAGTCTCCAACAGCAATGGTATGAAATAATGTGCGCAATTATATGTCCCAATCATATTAATGTCGAAGTTTCCCTGGAACCATGCTGGATCTCCTTCTGTAACACGCAGAGTCACGGGACCTGCATATCCGGAATTGGGAATACAGACATCGAGGCGGCCAAACATCTCCTTGGTGTATTTTGCAAGATCAGAAATATTGCTAGACGATGCGATATCACAAGAAAATATCTCAACGCGTGTTGTTGGGGAGAGAAGACGGGCTTTTTCAGCGACGCGTGTAAGTTCGGAGGTTTTGCGGGAGGCTAGAATGATACCGGATGCCCCTGCTTGTGCAAAGGAGTAGGCGATATGCTCGCCTATGCCAGAGCTAGCCCCTATTATGCAGACGACAAATGGGCTGGGAAGCTTGTTGTTGGCTGGAGTCGTGGCAGGTGCGAGGGTTTTGTGTCGGGTGGCTGTTATGGTGTTCATTGTTTCGAATGTCTATGGATTGTTTGTCAAGTTAAAACGTTTGAGTAAATATAGGATGAGGCAGATAGGTTATATTAGGTGAGCTTCCAATCTCCATATTTCCTTGCGAATAATGCCACCAATCTTTCGACTCATAATGAGCAAGTGGGATTTGAGGTTGATTGGCTGGGACGCCGTGGGCAGCAGTGGGGTTTAGGTCCCCGGTGAGTCAATGCAGCGGTGCTTTATTAGTGTGTCTAGGCCTGTCAGTACCCTGTTATTAGCAACGCTCACGGGCTGTATTCACCCGTTATGAAGATGACGGTTGACTACAATACAAAATCAAATTGAGAAGATATGCAGCCAGATCAGTCATTAAAGTCGAAACCATGTCATCAATAAGACCAAAGATGCCATTAATTATACCTTGCGACAGCGGCCATCCCGGAACGCCTACGATAGACCGGATTGTAGTGCATTCTCTCTTCATAAGTTCAAGGCCATAATCCCAAGATATTCCTCCCGGGCCGAGTAGAAGATAAAGCAGCCATATATTGGAACGTTCCCTTGTTTCCCAGTATAGCAGGACGCAATTGCTTTTACGTCTACACCGTACATATTTTCATTCTTAAAATCCTAACATATTGATATATAGTCGTGGATTAGCTGTCGTTCGAATAGCATGGCATCTCTTTATGAACACACAGAAGCTGCGAGTTGGACAACCACTTGATAACGTGAGCGAAAGATGGCATATAACTTATCTGGTCTGGAGGGGATGGGATTTCTTTTTGCAACAGAGCCAGGCTCCAGATACAGCATTCATAGTGTAAAGAAGACGTCAAGAATGCTGGATACGTAGTAATGAGAGATCTTGGGATTATGAACCACCATGTGCAATTGTTATCAGGTGCATGATGGATCCCCCAACGACCAGCAAGATATTAGCAAGTTGAGTCACGAAACTATGCTTGTATTTCGAGCCTGTAGCAACCAAATCTAAAGAAGAATAAGCACTAGCCTCTTGAGTTCTCGAGTTTTAGCCTTCTGTTCCAGATTGATACTGAGTTTGGAGAGAAGTGATGTGGTATGTATCATTTAAAACCAGACTACTGCAATCAGAATCCCCATCTTCTGCATCTCCTTTAAGTGTGACAAAAACGCCTTTTCGAGTGTAGGTCTATGAATGGCGACTGCGACTCCGAGGATGAAATGATGGTTAGCAATCAGACTATCTCAACATAAAATCACAACTTGATCCTTGCTATACATGAAGGCATATCGATGATGAAGGTCGTCACGAAGTTTGATCCAGCAAAGTAGCAAACAGCGCCAGTCACATGACACTCAAAATTCCGCTTTACGCGACTTTTTCCCCCGTCGCGGTCAACGCGTCTTCCATCTCATTCTCCATCAAGGCATCAAAAGTCCAAACTCCACACCCAAACAGCAATCATGTGTAAGACTCGCCCATAAATCTCTTCCAAACCCAAAACTCACTCGTCTGTAGCAAACAATTACACATACCAAAATAATTATTCTACCACCACGTACGGCGCACAAGGCGGGGCTGATGGCGGCGGATTTGTTCAAGGAGGATATGGTGGATCGCAGGGAGGAAGTCAAGATAGTCCTGGAGGAACAAAGGTACAAATGGCCGCTCATGAAGTTTATTTCACTGTACTGATGGGACATCTAGACATATGGCAAAGATACTTTGCGACCGGTAACCATCAAGCAAATCCTTGATGCTGAGCAGCCACATCCGGATGCAGATTTCAAAATCGATGGATCAGAAGTAACTCAGGTAGGCGCAGACTTTTTCCCTATCTTTATCTATATTTTTATACTTCACAATCGAACAAGTATACTAACTTTACAAATCACAGCTCTCATTCATCGGCCAAGTCCACTCCATCTCCACGCAAGCTACAAATAATACCTACAAAGTTGACGACGGCACCGGCCTCATTGAAGTAAAGCAATGGATCGACAATGACGCTGAGCCCGAAAACGCAAAATCTGTTCCGCAAGAAGGTCAATATATACACGTGTGGGGTCGTCTCAAATCATTCCACGATAAACGTCACGTAGGAGCTCATATTATCCGACCCGTTACCGACATGAACGAAGTTACATTCCACGGACTAGAAGCTACATTGGTACATTTACATTTCACACGGGGTCCTATTCCTACCGCAGGCGCAGGCGCGGTGAAGACAGAGAGCGGCGATGGAATGTTTGTTGATTCATACGGTGGTAACAATGTCAGCACAGCTACCGGTGGTAGAGTATTAGCCGCGCATGTAACGCCTAATTCGAGAGCGGTATTCAACTTATTACAATTGGAGCCTCAAAACAACGAGGGTCTTAATGTAAATGTAATTGCAACCAAGCTTGGCATGCCAGTCGCAGAGGTCTATAAATGTGGGGATCAGCTATTATCGGAGGGCTGCATCTACACAACGGTTGACGATGAGACATGGGCTATATTGGAGTACTAGAGGAGGGGCATATCAAAGCATAATTGGCGTTGCAGGATGGGATTGTGGCTTTTGCACAAATGTAATGGCTGCATATGATTGTGTATGAACTTAAGAGAAAATATACCAGATGAGATGAGATTGCTAGATTGCTAAAGCCAAAGACTAATTGTGAAAACGCTACATCATCCAATATTCGAGGGATGACACCCCAGATTAATGCCTCCACCTTGACCTCAAAAACCGAGATTTGTACTAAAGCACTAATTGTCGACTTCAATAAAAGCCCGAAATGTTGAGAAAATTTCAGAAAATCCAAAAACGTCAATATCATAAGAAAATCCAATACTCGAAGACATCACAAAGTGGAGGCATCAATCACTCAATCATCCTAATCTCCACATCCTCCTTTCCATTGGAGCTCTCCCCGACAAATCTCGGCTCTCTAACCATAATCTGCATCTTAACAGGCTTGCTGCCCCTCTCCATCAAAATATCCGTCTTCCACTCAAACCCCAGCTTGCGGTAATAGCTCAAATTGATCTCGGCGCTCGACTCTAGATACGTAGGACGATTTTCGCGGTCTGCTCGATCAGTCATATGCTGGATTAATTTCTTCGCGTATCCTTTTCCTCTAGCGCTGGGTTTGCTGCCGAGATAGACGAGGTAGTAAAAGTTGTTGTTGCGCTCGCCCATGACATGGTCGATGGTGTGGTGAAGGAGAGGCATGAATTCATCGTAGAAACGTTTTCGGCCTTCGGCGGAAAGTTTAAAGTAGAGTTTCCAGAGGCCGCTGCGGAAAAAGGTGAGCCAGTCGTCCATATCTTGGCCGGGGGGCATCCTGTTGATTTTGTTAGTTTGTCATTTCTAAGATTTTGAATGGTTGTTGGGCGTACCATAGAGCGACTGCATCATAGTTTGGACCGATGGTCGTCACTATACCTTTGTAGCAATGGGCAGCAGTCATATACTTGAGAATATCGCAATGAAGTTTCCATTTGTATTTCTCGGAATAAGAACTCATGTCATCAGTGTCAATGAAGTACCTTGCCACCTCGTCTGTAGCAAAAGCTTCAGCGAGACACTGAGCTGCCCCCTCATATTCAGATATACCTACTACACGGACTTCCTCCGTCGTAGCCGGAGAAAGGCTGCGTTTCTTTTCAAGAATTAGTGTTGAATTATTATTATTAATAACATTCGCCATGATTGCGGTTTATTGATAAAATCTCTTGAGACTTCGGGGTAATTCTGTAAGTATGGTATGTTAACATGACAAACTCGGAGCACCCGGGAAGATCGAAAACGAACAAGAATCCGGTTTATTAGCTGGCCTATTTAAATCGCCTGTATGGACTATCGAGAGCTGGGTTCTCGACACCGTTATGTATCGAGATGGGAAACGTAGGCAGTTGAGACTTTGGCGGAAATCAACCGACATCAATGTAGATGTATTTGAAACAAGGGGTACTCTTCAACTGGGGAGATATATGATTCTTAAAGAATCACGTTTCACCTGCTGGTAAGATAGTTGTTGGCTGTTGCTTGTGCAGTAATGGAGTCTTGAGGCGGGTAGGTATTGTCCTTGTAAGAGCAAGAGGAACTGATTGATACGAGATGAATTGAGAGGAAATTGAGATTGGGATTGTGGTTTTGTTTATCTGGCGTTAAGTAACTTATGTCAACCTGTGATTACAATCTTCTGCCAATTTTAATGAATTGGAAAGGAAGGAATCCGGGAAAAGGCGATTGGGTCGGGGTTTATGTAGTGACGACGGTAGACGTAGAACCTTATTGTACTCCTCAACGATAACCATGCCATGGTAAAACAGCTGCATAACCCCACTTGTATTGCTAGCACGAGGTAAGCCCGCAGGCTCAGGATGACCAACAAGGTTAAGTTTGGTGAGGGCCTCTAATGCCAATGTAAGCTGCCGCATAATTCTTGGAAATTCCAGAAGCCTATTGGATTGATTGCAACTTTGTGAATTGATGTCAACTTTAAAAGAACCAATACCTGAATACTTTACTCGTCAAGTTTGACAGGGGACGCCATGCGCGATCATCTGGTCCTAAAGCGTCTGTGGCTGGACCTCCTAAATCTGGTTAGATATCGGAGTGGTCTTTAAGGGTTCAGAGGTCCGGTCCACCGACTTTGATGTTAGCCTTCTCCACTTCACTAGAGGGAGATAAGATGAAAGTGTGAATAGCGAGATAAAGAGATATGAAAGATAGCATTAGATCAAGAAAATAATCATAATCAAAAGTAGTGTAAAGATAGAGAAGAAACTGGGAACAACATGCACAAAAGAGCATGTTGTGTTGCATATTGTTGAGTGTCAAAAGTCCAATTGGAAAGAAAGATGTTCGGTATTGACCCGTGTTGATCGTACTGGTTGATATTAATTATGGCGTATTAAAGTGATTCGCTTTTGTGTTGGGTATCAACTTTGGTATCGCAGCAAACCTCAATGCCAATATGCAATGTGCATTGGCGAGACTTTCAGCTTCTTAATGACTCCTCCATGATTCATTCTTCAATCCAATTCGCCCTCCCCCCTGCCCCAAATCGTCCTCACATTCTTCTAATATCTTGCTCATTCATGTATTTCTCGAGATCGGTATCCTTGTGCTCCCACCATTCAAATAGGAGAGAGTTGCAAATAAGCTTGAACCAAGGGGTAAATTTCAAAGAAGGATCGTTGAACATCGTCTTAAGTCCATCGGCAGTAACGTAGCGAGTATCGCGGACTTCGTTCATGTTTGGCTCGAGGTCGACATCTGCAGTAATGAAGAGAATATAATCAACTGTGAAAATTGGCAAATGTTAGTAATATTCCCATCAAAGGTTCACAGTAATTGATGGCCATACTTTCATGCTCCCCCCATTTTCCGTCGCTGGGTGCCTTGTAGTGGATTCTTGTCAAAAATTTAAAGTTCTCGATAGGCACTTGCGCAGCCTTGATACCGAGTTCGTGGTCAAGCTTTCTTTGTGCTGCTCTCTTCACTCCCATGACAGCTTCAGCCAATTCAGATCCTCCTTCGCCCGGTATGCCGAGAGGATGGGAGCAGCAGGTGTTGGTCCACATATCAGGGAAGGTGATCTTTTCAGTTGCACGTTGCTGGAGGAGTAGTTCATTCTTGGAGTTGAAAAGAAAGACAGAGAATGCGCGGTGAAGGAGACCTTTGTCAATGTTCGTCATGAGATGACCTGGAATAATCAGTAAATGTAAAAGCGACGAATAATTATATTCTCTTACATATCTTTTTGCTAAAGTTTCCAATAGGCTTGTCATTCTCGTCTAGAACAATACAGACCTCATCCATCAATCTGATCTGCTCTTCATCGTGTCCGTCAAGTTCTGCAGAGCTGGTATCGATATCGGGGAAGAGTCGAAGAATACTTTGAGCGGTAATAGGCTCAGCTTGGGTGATTGTAGTTGTAGTAGACATCGTAAAAGAGAGAAGAGGGGTGATAGTCTTGTCTTAAAAGGTTGAATTTGCTCAGAAATGGCTCAAAATGATAAGACAAAATGCCTCAAATAATGAGATTGCGGATGCTAGTCCCGCGTGAATTGGCAATTAAGGTTAATAACAAATTGGCGGGGAAAATTAGTGTTGATGGGGTTCTAGCTATTTCAAATTGCCACCTCAGGCATCTTAGAGGGGCAGAAAAAAAAGTTTGGTTCCATTCATTGCCTAGTACTCAAGTGTGAATTTTATTTTTGGTTAGGTCCAAGAACTTAACTCATAGATTATACTATACACAATCTTTTTATTTCTTTTATTTTTTCCTCACAAATCATACAACTCTGCCCCTATTCAAGCAACCTTCAACATGGGCAAAGCTTCTAGGAATAAGACGAAGCATCGCGCTGATCCTACCGCAAAAACTGTTAAGCCACCCACTGACCCAGAGCTTGCAGCAATTCGAGTTAACAAAATTCTGCCAATTCTCCAAGATTTACAAAGTGCAGACCAGTCAAAGAGATCAACTGCTGCAACTGCCATTGCGAACCTCGTTGACGATACAAAATGTCGAAAGTTATTCTTGAGAGAGCAAATTGTTCGTATTCTACTCGAACAAACCCTTACAGACTCAAGCATGGAAACTAGAATCGCAGGATGGGGAATAATGAGAAATTTGGCATTGGAAGAGGAAGCGGACTTTTGCGTTCATTTGTTCAGGCAGGATATATTGACCGCAATTGAAGGGGCTGTGAAATCGGTAAGGAGCTATAGTTACCATACTTTCATTAATTGTTCTAACAAAAGTAGATCATTGAAACTATCGATTCAAAAGACATTCCGTTATCGAAACTCCCAAAACCTCAGCAAGATCTCGTTTGGAATCTTACAAGTTCTGTAATAACACTTTTGACCTCTCTATCTGAGGCAGATATCGAAATTGTCGAAGCTATTTCTAAAATATCTACAATTGTTAACTTTCTCTTCGGATTATTGTCTCTCGATACTACCCCGTTGGAAACTCACAACGAAGCATTATCATGTTTGGCGGTTTTAACGGAAGACAACAAAACCTTGGTCGAATTTATCACGGAGCAAAATGATTGGTTTAAGCTACTTATGCGACTGAAGAACTCTGGTGGATTCAGGGGTGTTGCTACTTGTGGAGTGCTTCACAATATTTTTACAGCCATGAACTGGGCTGATGACAATACTCCCATGGATGGTGCCTCAGATGCTATTCTTCTTCCTACCTTGATTGAGTCGATGCAACAAGCACAAGAGACAAATAGCACCAACGGCACAAACGGTCACACGACACATTCTAGTCCAGATCGAGTGTTGCAAATGGCCTTGGAGATTACCGCATCTATCGCAACTAGCCTTCAAGAAGCCCTTGAGCTCGGCAATAGAAAGGAGGAGGTCTTTGAAGGATTTGGAGATGATGAGGAAGTGGCTGAGGATCAGATGGTTGACGGCGATGCAGATCTGTCTGAAGGCGACTTGAGTGACGGGGAGAACGAAATGACACAAGAAGATATCGAGGCCGACATGGATATGGTTCTAGGAGATGATTCGGAAGAAGAGGAGACATCTAATGATCAGGACACACTCCATCAGCTCATCCAAATCGCTTGTCCTGTCGTTATAGCACTTGCACAGCCATCCGAGGACTCAAAAATGGAGGATGATGTACTACAAACCCCTGCCTTGGCAGCTCTGAACAATATTGCATGGACCGTCTCATCAATTGACTTTTCCAAAAGTCATCTCGGCAATCTGCAAAAGGCATGGGCTAGTCTTGCCCAACGTATCTGGGATGAAGTGGTCTGTCGTGTACTTGCTTCCAATACGGCGAACATTGAATTGGCTGCTTCTACTACAAGCATTGCCTGGGCTGTTTGTAAGAGTGTTCAAGGTCGTGTTCAAATACGAGCGGATGAGCACAGAAAGTTTATGGCTCTCTACCATGCTTCAAAAGGCTTTGAAACTCCAACCGATTCCAAGACTGGCAAGAAAGATGCAACGGATCTTGACGACTCAGCTTTCCAGTCTTTAGGTGTCAAATGTATTGGTGTACTAGGTAGTCTCGCCCTTGAGCCTGCGCCTACCGAACTTAATCGAGAAATTGGTGTCTTCATTGTCACTCTTCTTGCTGGTGTTCCCGAAACGCCTGCGGCGCACGCAGTAGAAGCACTTAACGAAATCTTTGACATTTATGCCGATAAAAGTTATTCATTTGACCAGTCCGTTTTCTGGGGAAATGGTTTTGACAAACATTTAGAGGAAACTTTACCTAAATGTAAGAAGATGGCTAAAACGATCGACAAGAGAAAGTCTCCAGAGCTACGTTCGAGAGTTGATGAAGCAGTATTGAATTTAGCGAGATTCTTGAAGTACAAGAGGACCGAAAAATCTAGCTAGCAATAGGAGTCACGATATAAGAGTCAGGATATTCTGTTATTGACACACAGGCTTCGTTTTCATAAGTAAGATAGATTAATTCGAGAATACCACAAGTAACCATTGTTCAACTTCTTCAAATTTATTCGTTTCCATGAGATCAGGGTCTAGTATACAAGAAAGTACGATTTTGCTCGTTTCTTCGACCAGGGAAATCTGGTTTGAATTTAGTTTAGATTTTGACGTCAATAGTTCATTAGTGAGTCATCTGCATATGAAAAAGCCAGAACTGAGGCACATTAATGAAGAAATGAATTAGGCACAGGGCTTTCTCAATCAACATCTTGTGGGCGGGCTGTGCAGTAATACACCAAAATCCTTCCATTTCCGTTCCCTTCACCTGACCTGCCATCTCAGCATTCTGACAACTTCGCATTGTACCATCATGTCTAAGGAAATCTCTAGCCATGACCGGATGGGAGTTTCTTTGTCAACTCACATCTCAACAATACTAATTAATTATCGAAATAGGAATATACTCATTACATGGGATCTTGAAGATGCGCCTCATTCAGCGGCTCAGCAAATCCCATCTCACCCCTGTCAGAATGGGGGCCAAAAGTTGAAGAATACACAACAACACCATAATCACCCACAATCTCCCACAATCTCCACCAAGCCACTGTCAGCCTCGCGATGGGCAGAAGCTTGAAGCCCTAGTGTGATGCTTGGCTTGAATGACCAGCCACATCTAGTCCTCTGTAGGAAATCCTCACCACTCCATCGTTCTACGTAGGATCTCCTAACTTCCCGGCCCGGGTGGCAAATACTGTCATTATTGAAGATGAATATGTGATGAACTTTCTTTGTGATGGAATGAGAAAGCTACGGCTAGAAGTCATATCGAGCCCGAGCAAGCCTGACGCTGTCCCTGTCCGGCTGGACTGGACACAATATGACGGCACAAGATCTAACATGTATATGGGGAATACGTTCCGAAATATCGGTAAACAGGGGCGTTGCATTGTTGGTAGTAGGGCGATGCTGTGTATTGAGCATTTTTCAATCGGTTTTCTCCTGAATATGGAAAAATGTTGGGTAAAGAATTATGCCCTATATGTAAATATGAATGAGTTGCTAGCCTAAGTATAAGTAAGATTGTTGCCTCCCCTTTTGTGATCTTTATTTTCTTGTCTTGTGTTTCGGTAGCTGAGCATTTGGCCTACTTGAATACGTATATACATACATGCGTTTACGAAGCGGATCATATTTGCGAGGTAGCGACTCCAGCGAGCGAGAAGGTCGGAGTCAGCCTGCTGGTCGTGCAAGTCAAAATATGGAAGCACACAATTTCACTGATTTTGGCTCGAATAGCGCTGATTTTGGTTCATCCAGTCGGAGGTTAGTTGCGTACTTACTTTTTGTGATTTGGTTAGCTGGAATGGTGAGCTAATTAATGCGTTTTGAAGTAGTGAATCTCCACCTCGATCTCAAAATCGAATTTCTCAGACTTCTATCGGAGAGACTGCGCTGCTTGTTGTTCCATCTAGGCGATATAACGGGTCTCAAGAAACACACTACTCAATAAGAGGACCATCGTCTCACATTCACAGACCTTCCTCAGCACCGCAATCATCTTCTTATCAAGCTTCCTACTCTGAATCCTCATTTCCTGTTTCATATCCTATTACATCCTCTCAACAGCCTTATACGACTACATCACAGCCTGAATCTACATACCCCTCCTATATAGAACCCTATGCGGCTACATTCCAGGCGGAATCTATCGACTCGCAAACCTCTATCTCTTACCTTGACCCACCACCACCAGCCGTCCCTACACCCCCGCCGCCTCCATCACATTATACTCCCTACAGTCCTCCTCAACGTGATCACCAAACTCTCCCACCCTACCACGCAACACAATACCAACGATTTCCTCTGTCTGCCTCTCTTTCCCATGTCATCACTCCAACCAACTTACCATCCCTCTCCATTCCCATCTCTCAAAACCAAATCCAACCTCATCATTACCATCACCACCATCGCCATCACCAACAACAACAACCAGAAGAGCCAGGCCCCTGGTCCCCCCTTTCCCCCCATGAATCCCGCAAACGCCGCGCTTCAGATACTTTAAGTAGTGCCGCGTTGGGATTAAACAATACGGGTTTGAATTGGGGATATAAGGATAAGATGGGAGAGGAGCTCGATTGTCTAGAGAAGGAGAGTAGGAAGAAAAGGAGAAGAGGTGAAAGGGGCTGGGATACTAGGATGAGAAATGAGGGAGGAAGAGGTGAAGAGGATGAGGAGGATGAGGATGGTGGTGAACGGTCGTCGGGCAGAGGAAGAGGGAGAGGGAGAGGGAGCGGATATGGATCTTCACGATAAGTATGATTTTCAAGGGTTGACAGGAAGAGATTGATTCGGTTAACTACAATCTTTTCCATTTAAACCTCACGTACAGATCCAAGCACACAGCTAGGGGATAATGGGACCAAATCGCGATATTCTACCGACGAGGACTGAGGATTGAGACTTCAGTATGGGCTCCGGTGGATTTTCTACTTTCCTTTCAGACACGAAATTTCCTCTTCCTTTTCTCCCAATTTCTAGTCCAAACCTCTCAAGACAGCCGGCGTTTGTAACTTATTCATTATTTCTTCGTTTCTTTTCCCTTTTCCTTTCTCTTTTCTCTTTCCTTTTTTCTTGCTTAGATAGAGGATCAACAGGCCTCTCTTACTAAAACAAAAAACTCGAAGGAAGCAGCCGCGAAATTTCTATAAATATTTTCTTACGGGGTTAGGTGTATGTTGTGCTGTGTTGTGTTGTGCTGCGTGGTGCAAAAGTCAACGTTATTGTTATTTTTATTTCGTATAGTTTCTGGGGTTATTTATTTATTTACGAACTTGTTTTGTTAGAACTTTGAGTTTGCAGGATAGATATACGTAGTACAGTTATTTATACTTCATAACAAATGAAAAAAATTGAAAGCAAAATGGAATGGAAGTTCATACATATATATTTCCGTGAATTAGACGATAAACAGAATGCTCTTTATAGGTTAAACTAGATGAGTTATAGTCTCTTAAGATCTTCATCGCCGGATGGGATGAAAAGCGAAGATCTAATATTAATGCTCAAGTCGAATTTGTATCTTACTATCAGAACGACATTGAACCATATGCATCAATATCATATTGTAAGAAATGCCGAACTAACAACTAGCTGAGTTTAATTCATCCTAGGAACTACTCCATGTATGACGAAATTCTACGAACCGCTCGCTTATTGTAGTACAAGTTTTTCATACGGCTACCCGCTAGGTTGCATAGCGCCCTTGATAAGGATGCAAATCCTTCTGCAATAACTTGACGCCCGAGTAACCAAATAATCATCTCACATTCATGCACATATATATCTATAGTCCGAGAGCCTCATCAAGCGCTACAACAGGACGGGGAATACCCATCTCATATTTCTCTACACAATACAGGGCGGACGCCATATTACTAATATTTGCCTTTCTTTGAAGGTCTGGCATTCTTTGCCTTTCTCCTCTCCTGTAACTTCCTATCCTTTCGGATATCTTCCGTACTTTTAATTTCCGATTTTCCACTTCCATCCTTGAACGAACCAACTCTGTTTTCCTTTGCTTCAGCAACCCTCTTCTTCCTCACATGGTAATCATCCCGATATTTATCAGCTTCCTTTGGCGCCCTCTCTTGCTTATGCTTATATCGTGTTCCGAAACCTCGTCCTACCCCACCAGCACTTGCAGGGCCCTCACGTTCTGCTTCACCAGTTCGTGGCATGCGATCGACCTTGTGTGCTTTGCGCCATCTGTCAAATCGACCACTTTGGAAACTTGCTGCAATCTTTTGACCACTCTCTCCACGGATGTATTTGATTCCTTTAGATCCGTCCTCGTCATTGGCTCGAGCAACATATTTGCTATTCTTTTTATCCCATCTCATGCCTTTTGCCTTGGACGGCTCGGCAAAGGATTTCGCCCCGTCATCATTAGTAAGATCCATGGTTACACCTCTGGCTGCCTCAACGAAATTCGAATTTTGAGATGCTGTGTTATATGAACCAGAATGAACACCGTATCCACGTTCTTCTGCTGTGTTGATAGTTTTTGGTGTGTATGACATGAAGTTTTCGGAGTCTTTCCAGGATAGTGTCCGGCCTTTGCCTTTTTGCGCTGCTTTCGAGAAGGTAACTTCAAGCTCACCGTCGGATGCTTCGGCCATATCGTCATCTCCTCCAGTGACTGTGACCTCGAGATCGTCATTATCATCATTTTCCTCCGCTGGAGAATCAAAGTTATCTTCTTCTGCTGCTGCTGCTGCTGCGGCGGCCTTTTCGTCTTCCTCCTTCTGTCTTCGTGGAATGATCTTTTCCCTTCGGTGTCGCATAATTTCTGCAGCCTCACTGTGAGCAGCTTTCCCCTTTTGTCCAATCTCAAAGACGGTCTCATTGGGCCGGAAACCACTAATTTTTGCTAGCATCTCTAATCGAGCTTGTTCCGCACCATTTGTAACGTCCTTGAAAAGTGGATGTAGTTCCATCCATCCTTTTGATGCTACGACTTCTTTGGCTCTCTTCGCACTCTCGCTGGATGCCGAGTTACGGGTTTTGACATACAGTTTTTCTCCTTTGCCAGCTACGTTTCGAAGGGCAGTAAGGTCATCGTCGTCATATAAAAGCTTCGTAATCCATTCTGATTTGCTTTCTACCTCATTCCTTTGTAAAGCTCCAACAATTACATCTTCAGCATAGTTCGGCGAGTCACCACAATCGCGTCCGAGAAGTAATCTCCTTCCAAGGAATAGTTGTAGGTCAAGAAGATATGGCGCATCAGTATCTCTAACCAAACTGTAACTCCAGCCCCGTTGACCAGCTCTTGCGGTACGACCAACTCGATGAACAAAAACTTTGGGTTGCGGTGGGAAGTCGTAATTAATGACATTTGCTAATACAGGAATATCAATACCTCTAGCAGCGACATCGGTAACTACTAATATATTTGATTTCCCAGTCCGGAAATCTTCAACTTGGATATTTCTAGCGGTTTGATCAAGCGAACCATAAGCATGAGAAACAGCAAATCCAGACATACGTAGTAGAGAAGCGAGATAATCGACATGATGTTTAGTAGCTGCGAATATGATAGTCGAATGCTCTGTGGGCTTTAGTTTCTTAGTTGGGCCATCAGGACCTCTCTTGCGCTTTTTGCTAAAGTTGTCTGTTGCATTCAGTGCATTTTCTGGTAAGCCAGTAGGCATTTTGACCAAATCTTGAAGGATATGCAATAAAGCACCTTCTTTTTCGGCACCTTTGACACTGAAAAATGCGCTCTGGAGATCGGGAGAAACTTTGCTTTCTGCGTCAAGACGAACCAAACTTGGCTCTTGAAGACCAGCTCTAGCGAACTCTACCAAGGACTTTGGTAAAGTTGCCGAGAATAACAAAGTCTGTCTCGAAATTGGCAATGCGTGAAGAATCTCGCCAAGTTGAGCAGCAAATCCCATCTCGAATAGACGATCGGCTTCATCAAAGACAACGTATTTCATCGATGATAAGTCTAAAGACATTTCAACCTTCAAATGTAAAAATCGACCAGGTGTAGCAATAACAATATCAGGATTGGCGGCCATAAATCCGAATTGTTCTTCCAGACTATCACCTCCAACAAGTAGAACACATTTAAGGTCAGTTCCTCGCCCGAATTCCTTAACGACTTTCAATGTTTGTAATGCCAATTCTCGAGACGGCGACATAATCAAAGCTCTTGCACCAACACGTACACTATGAGCTCTCAATTTTTCAATCATTGGAATGACGAAAGCAGCAGTTTTTCCAGAACCAGTTCTAGCCATACCAACAACATCTTGATTATCGAGGACTAAAGGTATCGTTTTTCGCTGAATTGGTGTAGGTACATTAAATCCTTTTCTACTAATTGCCTTTAACAAATGAGAGTTCAATCCTAGACTAAGGATTAGCAAAGTTGCGCAGAAAACCAACAGGAAAGAATTTCATACCCATTGCTTGAAATCCACCACCTTTCTTGACACTCTGCCCTTTTAAATTTGACGCTTTTCGGTTCGCAGCTGCTTGCTGTGCCGATATGAAAGCTCCATCTCCATCTCCATCACTCTCAAGCCCCAAGTCCAGTATCCCATTAGCATCCAAAGGTTCTACATTTTTAGTAGTTGTGTTTCCGAAATCGTCGTCGTTCCCATCTATATCGTCATTGAAGAGAGATTTTGTGATATCAAAATCGTTCTCTGAAAGCGCGGGGGATGCTGCACGACGAGGCATTTTGATTGTCGTAATTTTCCACGGCACGCGCAAATTAGCAGCATTCAAAGCATTGAAGATATCCAAAATCTTATCAGTTCAACTTTTTTTCTGATATGGCTCGTGCATCAACTCACCGCCTTCGTTAGCGCAAAACCTTAAATTCTGAAGGCAGATTAGAAAAATATATGTGAAATATTTTGCGACATTGAGCGATCAATCGACATTGTACGGATTTGAAAATATGGCACCACCATCTGTTGGACGCAAGTCTAAGAATATAAGCAAAGGCAAAGTTGATGCGCGTACTCTTAAAAGAAAAAGGGTTGAAGAAGATCTGGAAAAACTTCAAAAATCGGTTGATGAGCTTGTAGGTGCAGTTATACCTCTTGTCAACATTCGCTCACTCTCTTTAGGATGCGAAAGCAGAAATAAAAAACTTCTCCGAACTCCCCCTATCTGGACCGACCTCATCCGGACTTGAAGCGTCTCACTTTAAGACTCTGACCGATGTTCAATCAAAAGCTGTACCTCTTGCGCTGAAAGGAAAAGATATTCTAGGTGCAGCGAAGACTGGTAGCGGAAAGACTCTTGCATTTTTAGTCCCAGTTTTGGAGAATCTTTATAGACAGAAATGGACAGAATTGGATGGCCTCGGTGCTCTCATCATATCGCCAACTCGAGAATTGGCAATACAAATCTTCGAGGTTTTACGGAAAATCGGCCGATACCATACCTTCTCAGCAGGACTAATCATCGGAGGTCGAAGTTTACAAGAGGAAAGGGAACGCTTAGGGAGGATGAATATACTTGTCTGTACACCTGGGCGCATGTTACAGCATATGGATCAAACGGCAGCATTCGATGTGGATAACCTACAAATGCTAGTCCTAGATGAAGCGGATAGAATTATGGACATGGGATTTCAAACATCCGTCGATGCGATACTGGAACATTTACCAAAACAAAGACAGACGATGCTTTTCAGTGCTACTCAAACGAAAAAGGTATCAGACCTAGCAAGATTGAGTTTGAAGGAACCCGAATATGTTGCAGTTCACGAAGCTGCATCCTCTGCTACCCCCACAACCTTACAACAACACTACTGCGTGGTGCCTCTGCCTGAAAAGCTAAACACTCTTTTTGGCTTCATTAGAGCTAATCTGAAAGCTAAAATAATAGTATTTATGTCTTCAGGCAAGCAAGTGCGTTTTGTCTACGAGAGTTTGAGACACTTACAACCTGGTATTCCATTGCTTCATTTACACGGTAGGCAAAAGCAAACCGCGAGGCTTGATATAACCTCGAAATTCTCATCATCCAAGAACTCTTGTATATTTGCTACCGATGTTGTTGCAAGAGGTCTTGACTTTCCTGCAGTTGATTGGGTTATTCAATTAGATTGCCCTGAGGATGCTGATACCTATATTCACAGGGTCGGGCGGACTGCACGTTATGGGAAAGTAGGCCGGGCAGTTTTATTCCTGGACCCTTCAGAAGAAGAAGGCATGTTGAAACGACTGGAACATAAAAAAGTACCGATACAGAAGATCAATATCCGACCTAATAAGACCCAAGATATCAAAAACCAACTACAAAACATGTGTTTTCAAGATCCTGAGTTGAAATACCTAGGTCAGAAGGCGTTTGTTAGTTATGCCAAATCTGTTTTCTTACAAAAGGACAAGGAGATATTCAATATCAACGACATCGATTTGGAAGGATATGCTTCGAGTATAGGTCTTCCCGGTGCGCCAAAAATCAAATTTCAGAAAGGAAATGATGCGAAGAACGTCAAAAACGCCCCAAGGGCTGCTATTGAGTCTAGTGATGAAGATAGTGAAACCGAGAAGAAACCCAAGAAGAAGGATGAAGTACGAACTAAATACGATAGAATGTTTGAGCGCCGTAACCAAGATGTTTTGTCTGGTCATTACTCAAAGATGATCGCAGATGATACTCCTATGAAGGATGTGGATGGTACAGCGGATGCCGACGAGGACAACGATTTCTTGTCAGTCAAGAGAGTACTACCTGTGGATAATGACGATACATCAGACGATGAAGATGACGACGACGATGACGACGACGATGACGACGATGTTGCCGCAACTGGGCCATTAGGAAAGGTTATTGAGGGTATCTCCAAGGATCCTATTGTGATAGACTCGAAACGAAAAGAGAAACTCCTGAAATCCAAGAAAAAGTTACTGAAGCTTAAAGACAGAGGAACTAAACTGGTGTTTGACGAGGAAGGCAATCCTCATCAAGTGTATGAATTACAGGACGAAGAGGATTTCCGAGCCAAGGGCACAGCCGAGGAACAACGAGCCAAATTCTTGGAAGAAGAGGCCGAAAGAGTTCGTGAAGCAGACCTTCTTGATAAACAAACTGCAAAGGATAAGAAACGAGAAAAGCGTGAAAAACGTAAAGCAAGAGAAGCAGCATTGGATGATGATGATGAGGAGGCACTTGAATTGGTTGATGCTGGGGATGATGAAGATCCTATGGCTCTTCTTAAATCATTACCTCTTCCGGAAGACGAGGAGGACGAGGATAGTACAGCGAGACCTGCGAAGAGACCTAAGAAATGGTTCGAGGATGATTCAGATGATGAGAGGAAGGTTGCCAAGAGAAAGGGTCGTGTTATTGAAGCGGCGGATGAGCCTGAGACATTGGAAGATCTTGAGGCTTTGGCTGCCGGTCTTCTTAATTGATTTTGGCATTGGGATAAACATAAAATGTAATAGATAGCATTGATAATCGGATCAAAATGGAGACTTTATATACCCCTTTATTTAAGTTTTTTTCATTCCACTCGAATATTTATATAAATCCATTGAATACCTTGCAAATTATGAAGCATGACCCCTAATTGTGCAATTGAACCTAAAACTACCCCTCCAACCTAACCCCCACATTCCAGTCCCGTTCATAGTCGCTTAGAAAGCACAACTACGCTCAATGATTGGTCAATAGGTCCATTGGTCCATCACTCATCAAAGCTTACCTCATGTCTTCAACTAGAGCCCGACTTTCTATGGGGACAAGCTCGGAGGTAGTCCGAGTAATCAGACGGCACGGCTAACCCACCTTTACACATGTTCATGTACAAAACTTCCACTTCTCTTCTTACTTTGCTTTGCTTATTTTTCTTGCAGATATATGGATATTAGCAGTTTAATTTGAAATGTTACTGATACGAAAGAATATGCAAGAAAGAGATGATAGTCACATTGAGAAGCAATGGCAAGCAGCTTGCGCTCAGAGAGGTCTGGGATTTGCGGACCCGGATACGGATGCGAATTTGATGATTGAGAATGGGGATGGGAATAGGGATGCGGATTTGAATGTGGATGTCGATATCGATGGGTTGAAGAATTTACAAGAAAGATGTGATGAGCTGGCGGGCAAAGTAAATGGTTTTCTGAAAGAGGAATTTGGGGATGAGGAGGAGGTATTGAGGGGGGTACAGAAACAGACGAGGATTGCGCTAGGGGTTATTGAGGAGTGTTTGCAGAGATATAGGTATGTTTATGCGACGAGAGGGTGTGCGATTTCGTGCGATGAGTTTGTGGAATGATTGGGGATTGTGTACTATATTGGAGATATGCTAACATTGGATACAAACAGTTTAGAGGAAATATCGTTCTCATACAATGGAGGAAAAGACTGTCTAGTCCTCCTAATCCTTCTACTCACCGCACTTTCCAACCACCAATCCACCACCTCCTCCCCATCTAATTCCTTGACCTCCAAAACGCTCCCGAAACCACTTCCCAACAAACTCCCTTCCGTCTATATCCTCTCACCGCATCCCTTCCCCGAAGTCGACACCTTTGTCGCCACTTCCTCCTCCCACTATCATCTCAAACTCTCCCGCTATGCATCACCCATGAAAGAAGCATTCACCCAATATCTACAAGATCATACACATGTAAAGGCGATTTTGGTAGGGACTAGAAGGACGGATCCGCATGGTGCTGATTTGACGCATTTTGATATGACGGACGGGGGATGGCCGAGATTTATGAGGGTTCATCCGGTGATTGATTGGCATTATAGGGAGATTTGGGGGGTGAGTTTTATTTTCTCGCAATTAGATTTGTGTTGTAGGAGTTGGGGTGCCTCTCACGATTTTGGGAGTTATGATATCATGGACAAAGCTAACGATATATTACCTTAAATAGTTCATCCGCCACCTTCAAATCCCCTATTGTCCACTCTACGATCAAGGATATACATCGTTAGGTGGCACAACAGATACACATCCGAATCCGGTATTAGTAGCCGATACTGGGAAAGGAGGAGAGGAAAAGAAATTTAGACCCGCGTATGAATTAGTTGAGGATGAGGAGGAGAGATTAGGAAGGGATTATTGAGTTTGTCGGAATGTAATAGATGGTTTGGTATTGGGTTGAATTGAAGGTTGGAGACGGGGAGTTGGGTATGTTCGGCGAATGGGAAGAGGAAGGCTGCGGGAGTAAGGAGAAGGAGCAAGTGATATAGTAAATATGAAAGAAAGAATACGGTGCGAAAGATGACGGATGATGCATGATGGGCTATGGAAAATGGAGAATAGATGCACATGCACATGCACGATACCACTAGACAGGAGATCAATCCATCCAGAAGATTACTGTACAGAATACTATATTTTGGATACTATAGTAGAGTATAGTTAGTAGTACAGTAAAGTAGAGAAAGTATAGAGAGCAGGATTTCACACACACGTACATATATATCTGTAAAATTACATATATTTTATTTTCATTCGATTATGTTAAAAATCCATACTATTGTTTCCGGTAATTTTTTCAAGAAAATGGAAAGTATATGCGTTTACTTGTATGATCGCAGTTGATTTATATAGGCAGGCTTATATACATACACTTGAGTGGGATTGGGGGATATATAAGATTACATTCGATATGCATTCGGGTTTATTCTAATTAACTGTACTATTGATACTATAGCACATTACACATATCACAGATCACATATGTAAATAATGAAAAAGATCAGAGACCAAGGGAAAATAATTCAAAAAATCCAAATTCATTTTTCATACGCCCGCCCGAGTGGTACTCAACACCAGGTATCCGATCACGCCACGCCAGTCCAGTCCAGTCCAATCCATTGCGTTGCCGTACAATCCAGCTTCATTCATATAACAAGTGATCTTCAGTAAGTACAACCACCCACTTGACCCAATCCATTGCCCATTTCCCATTTCCCATTCCCAATACTCCATACCAAATAAAAACCCCACCAAGTAACCCGGAACGAAACCCAACAGTTCCAAAAAGGGAAAACACCATTGATTTACTTATACACCTCAAGTCTTTGAAGAATCAAGAGTATAAAAGGTTTCTTCATCAGGTCGTACATCTCCATGTAATCTAACCCGATAAATACATGTATAAGGCACTGCGCCCCTTCCATGATTTCCTTTACTTCTAACCAAAAACTTGTTGGTAGCTGAGGTATCATTCTTGAGATTATTTTCCGGTTCCGATATGAATTCCTTGAGCTCAATTTGTAAGGGGAAAGCTTGTTGAGTGTGACCATAAGCGTCGTATGACCATGCGCCCACTTGTACCCAGCCAGATTCGAGATCACGGTAATTAGCTTCGGGGAAGATTTGATCGGACATAGATTTAACCTTGAGATACGTTGGTTTGTGAGGAATGTAGACCAGTAATTCCATTTGTCTGGGTGCTGAGAGAGGCGAGAGACCAGAATTGACGTAGCCGGATTGAGGATAATGTTCAACAACGACTTGGTCAGGCCAGATATAGTTGGCCGTAATGACACCAAGTGTAGGACCATTGCCATTTTGTTGTGCTGAGCACCAACAATCGCCAATGTCTTCCCATGAGTTGAGAGCTGCATCAGCGGGATTGGGGAGAGGGATTGGGTGGTTAGCGACGAGAGCGATACTCCTGCGGATGAAGCCAAAGTCCATATGTGGGAAACGATAAGATGGTGAGGTGAGACGGGGAATAACTGCAGAATGGGAACGTTTGGCAAAGTGATCCATGCGTTGAAGGGATTGAACGGTTTTCTTGTTGACATTCGCTTTTGTGATAGCTTCAACCTGCGCAATGACGACCTCGTTCGCGAGTTGTTTCACTCGCTCCGCAGTAAGCGCTTGTTTTCCAAGGCTTGCCACCTTGTCTTCTAAGGCTTTGGTGACTTTTTCGAGTTCTGATTTGACTTCTTGCGCCTCATCTCTGTAACTCTGTTTGATTAATTCGACAACATTCTCTCTTGTGGCGATCTTGCCATCTTTGATAAGTTGTTGCAATCGAGTTTGATGGAGAACATCAAACTCAGAGCCAGCCCAACTTTGAATCTTGGCTCTGTTGCTCTCAAGATATCGATCAAATTGTTTGGAATTGAACACTTCATTGTCGTGACTATCGGATTTAGTTGAAGTATCAGAAGGACGCCCAGTAGTCATAATGACAGGGGGTGGAATAAGGGACGGATCAGCCCGAATCCTTTCTCGCATGGCTTGCCAAAGACTTGCTGGGAGAGCTGGTTTGCCGTTGTAGTCCTTGTCAAGAGCAATGAAATCGGGAAGAATTTTCTGAATTTCTGCAAGAGCATTTTTGTCGATAGAAGAACGATGTTTGAGGAACACGATGTCAGATTCGGCAATATCCAACCGACGGTAAACATCTTTAAGATCTTCCGGGGCGAAGATCCGAGACGGATGTCTAATTTGCGATGGGATAAATTGTTTGATGTTTGCCGAGACGTCCGCGCCATACCAATGTTTGCTAGGACCTCCACTATTTAGATAGGCCATCCATGAGATGAATATAATAAAGCCAAGGAGCAGTAACGGGAATAAAGATTTTGTTACGTCGCCAAAAAGGCGGAAGAAGGCTTTTCCCAACTTTTTGAAGCTATAAAAATTACCATGTCAGCTCCATTGCCCGAATCACAGTATCAAATTTACTCACAAGCTAAGTGGTGATCTTAGAACCTGTCTGAAGTCGAAACTAGTTTCATCACCAAGATCCAAAAAATTCCAACCTTGAGCACCACCACGCATGTATTGTTGCTCCTCAGCAATGCCTCGTAACGCAGTGCAGCAGTTTAGCTCGCCTTCGTCGTAAGAAGGCCCCGATACACGAAATTCGTCTTGTTGGTAAGAACCCGACATAATGCTAGCATTGTCATACAATTGACTTTCATTTTGAAAATTCCGATCAAAAGCATGAGGAACTCGTCGCTTGGTCGGCCCAGACCGCGAACGCATGGTGGGGATATGAGCGGGAGCGCCAGACTTTGGTTGAGCAGTAGGAGCATCAACTTACAAAGTTAGCGAAAATTCATAGAAGCAAAAGTCGAATTGAAGAAAAAAACTTACTATCGGGAACTGGTGCTTGGGGAGAAACCGGTCTAGGTCTGGCTCCTCTGTTCAAAGGTTCTGGCTCTAGGAGACCCTCGATGACGGAAGAGATATCATTGGCCAAAGGTGCACCCCTTGGGGCATAGTTTGGAAGGGCAAGTGTATTTGTACCGTATGCAGTACTAGTAGAAGCTGCCATAGGAGGAAGACCATTGGCACGTTCAGAGCCAGCTACTGAACCACCTGATTTTCTAGGACGGCCTCTACCTGGTGTTCGGGCCGCTGGAATATCTTCAGGACCGACGGCATGGGTTCCGCCAACACTGCTAGCAGCGCGACTGCCAGCTCGTGTGGTCCTTCTTGTAGACATATTCTTAATTTTCTTGTTAAATTTGCTATCTTAGCAGCTGTATTGTGAGGAGTTGAGAGCTTCGACAGACTCGAAATTAGAGATGGGTACCTGCAGATGTACGAATTAGTATGAAATGTTAGTATTTCGAGAGATGCAGCCGAATAGGACTGCATAAATCCGAGCAATGAAGCTACTGCAGATTGAAAGAATGAGAACAATAGCAGAATCGTACCGTTGAAGTTGTTGTAAATCGTAGTACCAACTTTCATACAATCTCGTCTTGCGGATGTCAAAAGCAGATGGAGCGAGAAGCCGGAAGCAAGATGATATATGGAGAAGTCCTACAAGCAGTACCGCTTCCTGGGTGTGAAAAACCGTAGCTCTTTTGAAGCTATCTGGATGATTTTGACAGTAAGAACAGGAATCCAAATTCACTTTTCAAGCAAAACGACACGCCAATTTTTTTGGGTCTACGCGTCTCAATAAGAAGCGAGATCAAAACTGTATATCGTGAAGCATTTGAATTGTATGTGCGACATTTATTATGGTTGATTGTACTCTCTGGCGCGCGTTGATATATTGAGGTTCACGATATCGCGGAACACATTGAACGACACAATAGCTTCAAAGGCCATTTAAGTTAAGGATGCAAACAGAGTTTCTCGCTAGGAAAGTTGAATAAGATCTTATCGAGTACAAAGTAATGATGGATTCGGTCGAATGGAATATTAAAATACAAAGGAAGATTTCTTTGATTTTTGATAAGAAGCTGCTTTTCTTTTCTTCATTTCTAGCTTTGATTTCTTTGAATGTTGGAGAAGTTCTATGAAGGATGGTACAGAGCTTGGGAAACAAAGCACCAGAACCTTAGAAGCAATCAACCAGCCCAAACCTGACTTCGGATGATTTGACCGCATATTTTTCTAATTAGCTAGGATTAATTCGTTGTCGGCTTTATCAATATGAAGAAGTACCGACATATGCTCGAGCGGTGAAGAGCATCAGCCACAGTCCATTCACGACCTTCATGTTGCAGATGCAATTGCAAGGGCTGTACTCCATGCACGGGACGGAATAACAATCATGCTGGTGGTGTTTCGCACCGCTAGGCCACTGCCGTGGAGGCTTTTTCGCTTCGCTCTGGTAGAAGAGAAATTAGAGAATCAATCATATGTACCGTCAGCCACTTCTACACAGATATATTGCATGTGATTTGTGTCACTAGCCACAAGGACTCACATAAGACTGATGATAAGGCCTAATCAAAATGAAATGATGATTGCCTTCACCTTTTGAAGAGAATCAGAAAAAGATCGCCGGGCTCATCTCTCCATTGTTCCACCTTTACTCCGTACAATTTGACAGAGATCAAAGTCTAAAACATACCAACGACGTCAGCTAATTCTGAATCATTAGTTTCCCAACTTTAGATATATGATGTTTTTCCTTACCCTTTTCCATAAATAGACGTGAATCTTACATGGAGTCGGTCAATGGCTTCTAGATCCGATGTCTTTTTGAAGTCGTTACTCTACTCTCATTCTACCTTACCTACTAGCTATCACAAGTACACTTCGTATAATAACAAGTACACTTCGTATTTGCAGTTAAGCGCCGCCGGGAAAACCATTCCCCCGACTTTCCATTAGCTGGCTGTCCAAGATGACCAAATTGATATTGTTTTCGTAAAAGTCTTCTTAATGCGACGTATCTCATTCGAGCGGATATAGATGTAAAGATTTTTCTGGTGGCATGAGTCTTAATCAGAACTATAAACCGTACTCCACTAGGTAATATCTGGTGATCATACTCCGTACCTTCCACTCACTCTGTTATGGCTCTGCGCAACCTTACAATTAAATTGGAAAGGAAAAGGCTGGCTGGTTACTCAATACCTAGTACCTACTCAAGAATATATTATCATCAATGTAATCTACCCCTTCTACCCATCAGTAGGTACGTACCTACATGCCTTTCCGCAAATTAAATATGAATATCATTGCTTGGGTGACTGGCTGCTCAATATATCATAATTTATTAGCAACTTAGATTTTATGAGGTAATCCTCACCCGCCCCTGTACATCCATTCCATCTCGACCAGTTGAACCCAGCCATTCATTGTTGGTCCAGTTTCGAATCCAATAATACAATGATACACAAACCTTGAACTTGCCCCACCCACTGATCTGCAGGCCCCCCGATGACCGATAATCCAACATTGATTTATTATTCCATTCTTCCGCTGTTTGGAAACTTTCTCTCCATCTCAATCAAAATAATTCAAATCAATCAGCAATCATGTCAGTTGGAACAGTCTTGATCACCGGGTGAGTTTATTTCTTTCCTTTGCACTGCGACATCTCAGAAGTAAAGTTGTCAACGGTCGAGTTATGAGTTAGTCTTCACATCTTATCTGTTGGAGAAACTGGGGAAATCTTGAGATTTAACCCCGCCATCAATTAAATCATTCAACCGTCAACGCTGAACTATTTACTGATGACTTTTTTCATAGAGGTACTGGATACATCGGTTCATTCACAACTTTGGCCTTACTTGAACATGGCTATAAAGTTGTGATTGTTGATAGTTTATACAATTCTTCAGAGGCCGCCTTGGATCGTATAGAATTATTATGCGGCAAGCGTCCAGATTTCTACCAAGTCGATATCACAGACGAGAGAGAGTTAGAAAAAGTCTTTGCTGCTCATCCTAAGATTGACAGTGTTATTCACTTCGCTGCTTTGAAGGTGGGAAATTTCTATCTTATGATCGACTTCCATCAGCTAACTAACACTTTGTGCAACAGGCAGTTGGAGAGTCTTCCGAAATCCCGCTCGAATACTATCGCGTCAATGTTGGTGGAACAATCACTCTTTTACGATGCATGACCAGATTCAATGTCCCCAATATTGTCTTCTCTTCATCTGCCACCGTTTACGGTGATGCGACTCGGGTTCCAAATATGATTCCTATCCCAGAACATTGCCCAATCGGAGCTACAAACCCATACGGACGTACCAAGAGCATGATTGAAGATGTCATCATTGATCATATCAATGCGCAAAGAAATAATTTGAAGAAGAAGGGAGAGAAATATGAGCAATGGAATGGTGCTTTACTGAGATATTTCAACCCAGCTGGAGCTCACCCAAGTGGTATTATGGGTGAAGATCCTCTGGGTGTTCCATTCAACCTCTTGCCATTGTTGGGTCAGGTTGCGACTGGAAAACGAGAGAAATTGCTCGTGTATGGTGAAGGTAAGGAATTCTCCAATCTACTCAGTCCCACACGATAATTCTCCACCTCCCACTCTCCATTTCCCCAACCTCGGTTCGGCCGTCTCCAGATCGAGAAGAAGCTAACAAAATTTTCTCATCAGACTATTCTTCTCGCGACGGTACAGCTATTCGCGATTACATCCATGTGGTCGACTTGGCAAAGGGTCATCTCGCCGCTCTAAATCATCTCCGCAATCAACAACCTGGTGTTCGTGCATGGAATCTGGGATCTGGTCGTGGATCCACCGTCTTCGAAATGATCAAGGCATTTAGTGATGTTGTAGGACGGAAGCTTCCATATGAAGTAGTTGACCGCCGAGCCGGTGATGTTCTGGATTTAACTGCCAACCCTACTCGCGCAAATGAAGAATTGAACTGGAAAACCGAATTAACACTCGAGGATGCTTGTAAGGATTTGTGGAAATGGGTTAGTAATAATCCGCAAGGATATCGTCAAGATCCTCCCGAGCAATTATTAAAGGAACTCAAGGAGAGTTTGAAGAAGAATACTTAATGTAAGGCGGGGAGGTTGTTAAAAGACTATTGCGATTTGGGAGACTGGCTGGAGAAGAGCTTTCACGATTCATTTTGAGCATTTGCATGAGGTTACATTAGTTATAGATATCACATAAGTTCATTCACGACCAGTTAGAGAATAAAATAAATCTGTTTTCATACAATTTATTTGTAATTATAGTGGCAAAGAGTTTAGTATACGCTTAGATAAAACCCCTGAACACAAACTAGAACATAAAGCGCCGGGTGCTAAATCTTTGGATCGTTCGGATAAGACAGAACGAAGAGTCTAAGCAGTCTAAGCTCCCCCAGCGTGCTAAGACTAAGACCAAGGAAGGATAATCGAGGGAGTGGTTAGGAGCTCACCGGGAGCTTGTTAAGGGAAAAGTTTAATATAGTTAGGTACCTAGTAGCTTACTCTGAATCGGATTGTTTGGATAGATAGGTTAAATAGGTATTGTCGATTAGTTTCCTGCTTGGTAAGGAATTCGTCATATTACGACAACTTTTTGATTATCTAAAACACCCCGCTCCACCCCTGCGACATGAAATTGTGAAATTGGATATGGAAAATAACCCCGCACTTGCGTGATATCAATCAAATAGTTTTGTAAGCAACGCAACGCCCTGAGAGATACATAAGATGATGGTATTCTAGAAAGTGCTATACGTACTTTTCTGTTCTTTGCTTTTGTGTGATTTCTGATTCTTAATTCTTCTGAATGAATTGAGATATTCAAACAATTACACATGTCAACTTCTATATTTTTTCTTGAATTAAAATTAAGGTTACCTCTACGCAGAACCTTCACAACTTGTAATCTTCGAAATCTAAGCCTTTCAGGAAGAATTTCCTCACGTACATCAATTCCTCAATATAACGCAATAAGCACCTCACGGTTTCAAAAATCTCGCATTCGTTCGGTGTTTACCTCGTCGTGGATTCTTTGTAATAAATCGAGTATTCAAACACGCAATATGTCTTCTTCAGCTTCCCCAATCCCGCAGACTATGAAAGGTGTTTTGATTGAGAAGACCGGTGGGGTGGAGGTCTTGGATTTTAAGACGGATTTACAGGTTCCGGTGCCGAAGGAGGGAGAGCTTTTGGTGAAGAATGAGTTTGTGGGGATTAATTATATTGATACGTAGGTTTTGGTTTCTTATTTTGGGAGGAAGGGGATGTTTGGGTTGTGTGATGGAATATGAGTATTGGATTTATTGATGTTGAAGTTGAGATGTTTTGGATCAATATGTCTTATTTCTCATCCCATTCCCTCAACCTTTAGGTTATTCACAATCCTCATCTAACATCCTCCCCCTTCAGCTATTTCCGCACTGGTCTCTACCAGTCCCCCAAGCCTGAAATCCTCGGCCGCGAAGCCGAAGGTACCATTGTCTCCCTAGGTCCCTCCACAACCACCAACCTCAAACCCAACGACCGAGTAGTTTACATGGGAACCTCAACCTATGCAGAATACACCGTGGTCCCCGCATCCAAAGTACACATTGTCCCGTCTGAACTCTCTCCCGGCATAGCAGCCGCCGCCTTTCTCCAAGGTCTCACAGCTCTAACCCTCATTCGCGAAGCTTACCATGTTCAACGCAATGATTGGATTTTGGTTCATGCAGCTGCTGGTGGTGTGGGTTTATGGTTATGTCAATTGTTGAAGGTGGTAGGGGCGAGAGTTATTGCAACGGCTAGTTCGAAAGAGAAATTGGAGTTGGCGAAGGAAAATGGGGCCGTGGTGGGCATTAATAATAAGACAGAGGATATTGTGAAAAGGGTTCTTGAGATTACAGGGGGTGAGGGAGTTCAAGCGGTTTTTGATAGTGTGGGGAAGGACACTTTTGAGGGAGATTTGGAGGTTACTGCTAGAAAGGGAACGGTGGTTAGTTTTGGTAATGCGGTGAGTTTTTTGTTTCTTTTCTGTGCTTCCCTATTCATCTTTCCCATCACATGTTCTTTGCCCCATTAAAATACTCACTAACGCCCTCCTAGTCCGGCGCAGTCCCCCCATTCCCAATCTCCAAACTGTCAGCAAAAAATCTCAAGGTTCTCCGTCCAACACTCTTCAACTACATAGCCACTCGTGAAGAATTCGAACGATACTCTGCTGAGTTATTTGATTTTATTATTAAGGATAAGTTGAATGTGAGGATTCATGAAATTTATCCGTTGGAGGAGGTGAGAAGAGCACATACGGATATTGAGGGAAGGGGGACGACGGGGAAATTGTTGTTGAAGGTTTAGGGTTTTGAGTAGAGTAGGGTGGAGGGGAGGTGTTAGTCGGCGTTAGAGAAAGGAGAAAGAAGGGGGAAGGAATGAGGGAGAAGGGGTATTACTGGCTAGGAGGAATAGATATTATAAAATGATATTTATATTCTTCTTTTCTTTATGCTTCATATATATATTAGGAAGAAATCTACATCTTCTATTTCATTTTATATCGTGGTATCATTTTGTTATCATCCATCCATCCATCCGTCCATCGAATCTCATCTAACAAAGAGACTGATAGAGAAACCTATGCAAATGCAAGTAAAAGAATCTATATACAATAAATAGCAAATCCATCCTCATCATGAATGCTATGCTTATGTCCATCCCAAACACCAATAAAGAGAAATCATTCCATCCATCCATCCATTCATCATTCCCAAGTTCATTAAAGTGAGAGAAAACAATCAAATAGTTTCCTTCTGCTCAACACTCATCCCCTTACCCCGATCATAATGAACATTCTCCACCACACCCCCCAAAGCACCGCCCTCAAACCCCACAGAAACTACATTCTTAACCCTCAAAACACACCTCCCATGTCTCACCCAATGAACCGTCACATAACCCAACACATACACAAACCCGACCAGGGGAACCACATACGAGATCCTCGTACCCGCCGAATCAGCAATCGCTCCTTGAATCGGAGGAAATACCGCTCCGCCCGATACACCCATGACGAGAATCCCCGCTCCACGCCGCGTATGACGACCTAGATTCGCAGTGCCCAGTGTGAAGAGCGTGGGATACATAGGAGCTTCGAAGAAAAAGAGAAGAATAAGTATTACCACTGCGCCTTTTCCATGCCATGCTGATACAACGGCTGTAAAAGCTATAGCGCAAATAGCATAAATCATCATGAGGAAATCAGCTTGGAAAACTGTCGCGAGAGCGGTAGCGATGAATCTTCCAACCGTAAAGGTAATTAAGGCGTAGGAAAGCATATTGGATGCTTGAGAGGAGGAATATGTCGCGTTTTCCGTAGCGTAATTGATAAAAAATGAAGCAACGGTTACTTGAGCACCAACGTAGCAAAATTGTGCAATAAATGCGAATATCATGTTATATTGCTTATAAATCGGTCCTTGACCGATTTCATTCCCGAATTCATCCAAAGCGAAATTCTCGGTTTTAACAGTACTCGATTCGAGCATTTCCTCCGAAACTTCAGGGAGTTTAGCAACGAGGAAGAGCACCCCGATGGCGGCTCCAGCACATGCGACGGCGAGATACACAAATTGTACATTAGTTAGATTGTGGGCATTTTCACCGGTGAAGAAATATTTTCCTGCGATCAAGGGGCCGATGAATGAGGCGACGCCGTTCCAGGATTGACAGAATTGGAGACGCGCGGATGCCGATGCTGGGTCCCCGATTACGACGGCGTAGGAATTAGCGGCTGTTTCGAGCGTGGCGAGTCCGCATGCGATCACTAGTGTACAGGCACAAAATCCGCCAAATGAAGCGATGCGGTTTTGGTATGTGGAGAAATGGGCGGTTGGCCTTGGGGTGCGTGTGTTAGTTACTAGGTATCATGTTTGTATTATGGAATTGTAAGATAAGTATATATGTATACCAACGTACCAGAACATAATAGCACCAAGTGAATAAAGCGAAAGACCCATCAAGATAGTAATCTTATAACCCTTGCGCTTCATGACTTCCGCAGCAATAGGCGAGAAGAGAAGATATCCGCCTCCGAAATAGACGACTTGTAAACCGGTAGATTGGAGTTTGGTTATGTCGAGGACGGTTTGGAAGTGTTTGTTTAAGACGTCCAGGAGACCGTAGGAGAAGCCCCAGAGGAAGAAGAGGGATATTACGAGGGAGAGGGGGAGGATGAGCGCGCTGCCGCGGAGGAATCCGCTGCTGAGGGGGGTGGTGGTTAGGGGGATTCCGCCGGCCATTTTGGGGTTGGGATTGGGTGGATGGGATGGGTTGTTTGTTGAGAGGGGGGAGGAGAGGAGGGGAGAGGAAAGAAGAGGAAAGAAGAGGAGAGAAGAGGAGAGAAAAGGAGAGAAGAGGAGAGAAGAGAATCGAAAATCAGAAGTCAACCTTCTATATAAAAAAAAGAGAGAGAAAGAGAGCACCAAATTCTTATTTTAATATAAAAAACCAAACAAGAAGAAGAAGATGTCGTTACTAATAACGAAGTTACATTTATTAAAATCTGAGTAGGTAGGTAACGCCCAACTTTATAAGATTTCCTTTCCCCATGATGATGAAAGTTACCCCAAACCCCAAACCCCAGTCTCCATTTCTCCATATTTTTTAATTTTACCCCGGACCCATACTAATTCTAGGTAGGTACTTCGTAAATGGATGGTCAATTCTTCCGTGATTCATCATTTGTTATAGAGATTAGATTAGTGCTTTGGACTACTTTAGACTAGATATTTAATAACCTTGACTTTGAGTGATTGCATACCGGTTTAGTCGAATAATAAATGGACAAGGTTGTAAGTATTTTTCATATCGTTGAATTCTAAAGTTGATTAAACCTCATTGTGTAGTGTTGAACGGGTCTCAGATCAGTTGGAGACAAGACATGAAATTGATTGGTTATTCATATTCTCATTCTTATATTCATTTTCATATTTTCTTCTAAATAAAAGAAACGATTTCACAAATTTAAAACACTCCGGGAACACAACCAGAGGTGGAAAGTTAATCTACTGAAGAAAACATGAAAATCAAAAAGATCTGAAAAAAGCTAATTAAGAGGATTAATATATCTGCAGATACCTCGTAAGCTTTATGCAAATCTCATGTAAAGCTTATGCAAAGCTTAACCATTTTAGCATGATTGGATTGCTTTGATTGATTTATCCGGAGTGATCTTTAAATGGTTAAAGTAGGTAGGTATGTAGGTACTTTTCGACAGAGTTTGTTGAGTTATTATCTTCATGGTCACGGCCCTCTTGAGTATCTATATTTATCATGGGGCTATCATGGATCTTAGGTATCTGAGTGTTGGTCTAAGATGGATGAATAGATGAATGGATGAGCGGATTCACAACCTCAAATTCTTCATGCAAAATGGAAAATATCCAGAAATCATTTATTTAGTCATCTTAATCTAAAAATGAATTGATGAAATCTTGATCAAGTGACCTTCGATTCGCACTATGGATATTATATCCACTATCTCACATATGCATCATTCTTCCTTTCCATAAGAGGTTTGTATCCGTGAGAGACAAGAGGGAGGGGCAAATTCTACCCTTGCACACAGACAGACAAACTTAGCGGGGAAGACAGGGGATTGATTTGGTGCGGGGAGGTTGTGTGATCTGGTTAGAGTACCTAATTAACCAATGATACCTACCCGAGTAATTGAAATACGGTATCAAAAGATGTGATGATGATAGGACTTTGAAGATAACGTACACAGTATGCACTTTATTCTTCTCGATTGTTAATAATCATTATTGGATCTTGCTGAACCGAGTGCTGAACCGTTTGAATGCTCATGTACACAATTTCTTCATGACGATAACATCCATACAGCAAGCCAATTCCCTCAAATATCGATAATTGAAATCCACCAGACGGACATGCCGAAAAGAATACTTGTGCAGCCAGAAGGTACAGAACTCCTTTCTAAACGAACCAGAATTTGCAAAAAAAAAACTTTAATTCGATTAATAAAATTTATTACTGTGACGGAAAAGTCGTAAACGGAGTCAATTCAATCACTTAGAATCTAAAACTAAAGAACTAAGAAGATTCTAAGTAAGAAGGTCTTTATATACAGGGCTAGTGCACGTGAGCCACTAGTGGGTAACAACCGTCACGTAACAATTACTTTCATTCATTTCATTTTATTTTTAAAGATTTTCAAAAAAAGTTTAAAAAATATAAGTAAAATGCTTATTTAAATCTATATTTATATAATCTAATTCATCATTTTATTATATTAAATATAGATATATAAGATCTATATTTTTTTCAATCAAAAAAGTTTTATTTAAAAAGGGATTCTATACTTTTCAATTGCACGAGTAGATAGGAGTAGTAATTAAATGTTCCTCATTCCTCGTTCCTCGAAACCCTTTTCCATTTCTTCGTCAAAAATCTAGAAAACGCCCACGAAAACATGCCGTAAATCCCCCAACTTTCTAGTCTGCTTCTAGTACAATTCTAGAGCTATTTCCAACACCATACCAATATTACTCTAGCGTTAATCCAACACAACATCAAAGTATCATTCAACGCTAAACATGGCACCTCATCGGCAAAAAGCTTTGAATCTTTTGTTTTAGTCTTCTCTTCACCAGGTTCACATTATCTAAGAACAAGCTTTATCCAAGATTAAAACAAGCTCTCGTCGCTTATTGTTATTTTATTGTCCAAAAAGCTTCTAGAAGCGTAGTTAAACTTTAAAAGGCTTGATTGATGTGCTGAAACTTTTGTTTTTGTTAGAAGGTGTATGAGAATGTGGCTTGAAAATTCTGTTGAGGGCAAATGCCAAATACTATTGGGGAAGATGTGGGAATGTAAGCGATGAACCGCTTTGAGGCTCGATCTTATAAGGTACTGTACTGTTTATGTGCCGTGTGCCATGATTGGTGGTTGTGGCTTGCTTCGACTGGGTTGAACTTTTCATTGGAATCACATCTGGTTACCTACCTTGCCTATACTACATCTTATCAAATTCATCAATGCCGGTGATATACCAGCAAGGATACAAGCGCGTTCCTCGTCTGTCGTACCATAGTTTGGGCACACTCAACTTTCAAGTATCCATTACATAGAAACCTGGAGTCAAATCTAGCCTCTTCTCCATCAACATCACGATCCACTATCCCCTCCACATCTTCACAATCGCACCTCTTTCAGCTTCATCCCTCTTTCATGCCAGATGGTGTAATAAGTATACTCCACGAATCCACATCATGCCTGATACTTGCTCAGTACTCACGGTACCTCGCTCCAAAGTTGGTCAACCATTTGACCATTATGTACATCTGTGCTGAAGAGCGGGAGCCCCAGGATCCATAATAGGTCCGATTCTCCAGACTCGGCGTGTTTAGTTTTAGGGAAATACCCATAAAGTATCAGATTATCGAGTGGATATGTCCTAATACATGGAGAGGCCGCTTCTGGCCTGGTGTGCGAGTCTGGAGGAGTGCTCCGAGTTCGCTCCATTCCGCTGTGTGGTTCTGTTTTGAGCACGTGTGTGACTTGATGGAGACTTCATCTTATTTTGAAAGATGAGGGATTTGGTATCATACATACCTTTATGTACGCGCATATATTGCCTAACACTCATCATCTTCCAAATTGAGTACAAAGGCCTTGTGAAAATTTCATTCAATACTTTTGTCAGGGAAACAAGTCAAGTGTCATTTCCGCCTTGTAAGTCTTACGAAAACATTTTAAAGTAATAATGATAGCATCATTATACTTATTTTAAAATCAACACGCTACTGAGAATCTTTCCTAGTTTCTACGTTCTAATAAGGTTATCTAAACTTCAACCTCGATGAAGAAATGAAACATTCTAGCAAGACTCATTATACATGAAATTTAATTATATTGTGCCCGGCTTATTATCCGGTTGAATGGACATTCTCAGTTCTACAAATCTTAAGTGATGTTTTACAGTCAGACTGCACCATATTTATCAAATCTCATTGATTATAGGGGTACCTCGAACGCAAATTATTCATTATTGTCAATTTTAAGGACCAGAGAACTTTCATCATTTATATATTTGTGTTTGTTCGTCACTCAGACTATAAATCGGTAATATAAATCCATCAACCGTGTATTTTAGACTCTTAAGTTAGGTTTTTGACTTAAAGTTCCATTTCCCTATTTACACTTCTTCGAATCATCATAATTGCAGCAAGTTAATTTTTTGAGCAAAATACAGACGACTATTCAGAACCGAAGTACCTCCTTCAACCTTCTCTTTCCATATAAGATTTACTAGAAAGGTAGAAGGATATAAGTAGTCCAATTTCATTTCGAGATTGTCATTTACCAACAGCTTCGTAGTTACATATAGAGCACTTGAGCTTCCAATTAATGGTTTGTCGCAAGCAAAGAAAATCTTGTGAACTGAAAACTTCGTGAGAAATTTTCATCTGGACGATATTCTACTGAGTTCTTCCGTACAATCTTTTCACCTATATATTCGTTTTATCCATATATTTGTTTCACATATCCTTTGCTTGCTGTTTTGATTATTCAAGGTAGAAATTGAAGAAAAATATCACTTCACTTCACTTCGCTTCACCCTCATCTATTCGTACCATCCATCAATATTCACGGTATAACTGATAGTTTCGAGCTGACGACAGAATGAACATATATCATATCATTTTTACTCGTCAACAACTTCATACCCAACCTCATTCTCCCTATCACCACTCAAGGACTCGGTACACTAATCTTGGCCTCTGCCAAAAGCTCTTTATAAAACTCCGGAGTATCCCTGATCATCTCGCTCAAAAATTTCGCATGATCCTCATCATCACCCTCCTCCCATTCCTCCAGTTTTATTCCAAATTTCAACTTTCTATCCTTCTCAACCCACATCAACGCAGCCTCTCTGGCTTGTTCCTGCATCCTTAACATTTCTTCTTGCTCCATTTTCTCATTCTCCTTTTCAGATTCCCCACTCACTAAATGCTCAACCCTTCCTTCGGGAAATTTATACTTCAAAATCCTTCTCCCCGATAAAGCCCATTCAGGCAATGTTCTAAACATAAGCGGTTTACGCATCCGATAAGAATTTTCAAGTTGTTTACAAAAAGGTCCCGAACTAGGTCTTTTATCCCTTTCGATCCTCAACGCTGCTTTCACCGCTTTATTCAACGTCGAACTATACATTCCCTCTAATTCACCCACTCTTTCCGGATTCAGTCTCTGTCTCTCTTCTCTTTTCATCCGTTCATCTCTAAGTTCCCCTTCTTTCGTTCCATCATCTCTCACTCCCTCTTCTTTATGCTGACACATCTTCGCTTGAGTTCCTAACATATAAATCATAGCCCCTATACACCACACATCAGTTTTTCCATCATAAACATCAGACTCAGGTGGATCGCTCCACACGAAATCCAATCTCTCCCCACCCATAACCAAGTGACCTCCCTTTGGCACAAAACTTGCACCCCCAAAATCCCCCACCTTAGCATCCGGATACGTTCTCCTCCTCTGTTTCACATCCTTCGTATTCCACTTCAAAAAAATATTCCCAGGTGCCAAATCCATCGTCATAACCATAGCTCTCCTACGATGTTCCTCCCTGTCCATATAATCCGGATGTTCATTATGAAGAAAAGCAATCGCACCCATCGACTGCGTAAAAATATGCCAAATAAATAATTCCGGAGGATGTTTCCTACGAGGCACATCCTCAATTCTCTCCCACCTCGATCGACTCAAGACAGTCCACCGATTAAAGATTTCCGCCTCTCGATTCTCCTCAATAATCCGCGCGCGTTTCCTGTACCCATCCCCATAACCATCAATGATTTCCTGCAACGTCCCCCCTTCACAATACTCGTAATAACTCGCCAGAATCACAGGCCTCTGCTCACTAGGATCACCGATCTCAGAGGTAAAATCGAGAAAAGCTTCCAGTGCGCAGATGTTCGGATGTCCGCTCTTGATGTATTGTAAATAACACCGGTTTTCGCGATACCGTTTGGAAATTAGATTGCGGATAGAAACGTCTTGGATAGAGTGGATACTTGATTCTGAGGAGGGTGTTAGGGATGGTGTGGAAGTTTTTGCTTCGTCCCTTGTGTGTGGTGTAGAGGGTGTGTTGGTTCGCTTTTGTCGTGAGTCCCGCTGCTCGGCGGTTTCGGATTGGATTTTTAAGGCGTAGTGGTTTTGGGTTTTGAGGTTTAGTACGCGGTCTAGAGGGGGAGTGGGGGAGTTAGCTGTTTGTTCTTTGGTTTCTTTTATTTTTATTTTTTTTCTTTTCTTGCGCTGTAGCGCGTGGGAGGTCTGGCGTATGGAGTTGCGAGGATTGTTTGTTCATAATTATATCTTCCATCTCCCACTCCCCTCCTCCTTCTCCCCCTTCCTCAAAACCCCCTCATCAAATCCCCTCCCCTTCCCCCCTCCTCCCAAAAATCTCCCCAAAAAAGCTTGAAAAAACAAACACACAAAAATAAATAAAAATAAAAAATAAAAAATACATACAAACACTCCCAAACCCACCAGCCCCCAAAATCCCCTCAAAAACCAAATCTTTTAATTCTAATTCTCCAAACTCCGTCGCATCTGGCCGCCATTTATTATGACGTATGGTTTTTGGGTTTTTGGTAAGTGATCGGTGGTAGTTTACTAGACGTGCTTCGGCTTCGTGGAGGTCCCAGGAAGTGAGGGCCATTTTTTTTTTGAGGTGGAGGGGGAGGGTGTTTGGGTTTGGTTTGGTTTGGGGGTGGATGGGATGAGGTTGAGGGGTGAGGGGTGGGTGGTTGGAAATTTGTAATTGGCGGGGGTGGAGATTTGGAAAAGCTGAAGATTTGGAAGATTAAAGATCTCGGATTGCTGGGAGGAGCGAGATATGAGAATAAAGATGCAGGATAGTGAAGCTAGAGGAAACTAAAGAAGCATGCATGAGAGAATTTGGAGAGAGGTGGAAGAGTCAAAGACTACAAATGTATAAGTGCTGCCAAAGAGTTATAAAATATATATATCGCAGTCAAATATCAAATATCAAATATCAAATATCAAATATCAAATATCAAATATCAAATATCAAATATCAAATATCAAATATCAAATATCAAATATATATTTATTTCTCGTATTATCCCCAATATTAAAAAACTGCAATTGCAATTGCAGTTGTAGTAAATAAATCAATGTCTTCCTTTCCCCTGCTGGAATCATAAATTGTTAGAAATGTAATAATATAATATAAAATTTATAGAATATCAAAAGCGCAATCAGTATTCCTTCATTTGCTCTAGTCTACTTCTACTACTTCTTCTTCTTCTTCTTCTTCTTCTTTTTCTTCTTCTTCTTCTTCTTCTTCTTCTTCTTCTTCTTCTCTTTCTTCCCTCCCAAACCACAACCAGAATCCCAATCATCTACTAGGTAGTCATCCTTAAAAGAAAAATTCCCAAATCTATAAAGGTTTAATACACCTCTTAGCCCTCCTCATCCGCGAAAAATCCTGAAAGAAATGAAGTTATCTTCGAAATGATTTCTTGCTTTTCTTCTTTGTTGAGTTTTTTTTATTTTCCGAAGGTAGAATTCCTAATGCAACTGTGTAGTATTATATTAGATAAAGAAATAAAGGGAGCGCGATTGTGGGGTTTGATTTGTTTGTTTTTGGGATTGGGGTTGTAGTTTGTGTGGGAGTGTGGGAGTGTATAAATGTGAGAGTGTATGAATGTGGGAGTGTATGAATGTGGGAGTGTATGAATGTGGGAGTGTATGAGTATTATAAGTTATCTAGAGAGTAATTGGAATTAAGATTAGGATTTAAACCTAAAGGTGTTTCATCTCTAATCTTATATTTATTTTATCTTTTTTCGTATTGAGAGGAGGGATTGAAAAGAATTGTGAAGATGAGTGAGTGATTGAGTGTTGTGCAGATTAGTTATATAGAAAGTGGGATATTTTATAGAATTTTTGTATTAATTGAGGGTGGGTGTGGTTAATTATGAAGAATTTGAGAGGGTTTGTGGTTTCTGTAGTGGGAATTGAGGATTGAGGATTGAGGGATGGGATATAATTTGGTGTGATGGTGGATTTATAGAGTCTGTGAGTTGTGATTTTTGTGTGAATCGATAGATGGGTGGATTTTATGGACTTTATGATGTGGTTTGACTGGTTTAGTATTGTGTATATATATATGAATCTGGAGATACTAGTTACTAGCTAGTGTGAAAAATGAAATCAGAGGAGGGAAGTTCAACGATTATAAAGATACTACACTGTATTTCCTATTCGCAAGACTTCTAGTCAATCACTTGAATTTAAGTCTACTCCTCTTCTCAAACTCTATTAGGGATTTAATCATAAGAGGAGATATATATTATTTCCATAGATTTTTGTATTCTTCAAAAGTTAATTATATTATATAATTGATTTTCGTGATTTTGAATTAGGAACTTGTAGCTGTTTTAAATAGGGGAGGAGAACTCCTCGCTTAACCCTCCTAGACCATCTTTCAATTCTCACAGATTATTTATGATTATTGAAAACCAAATCTCTCAAAATTGGAATGTGTCGAATTTATGACGTGTGAGTTCTATCATCATCATCATCATCAGTAGTTGGTTATTCGGAACGTTGAATTACAATTGCTTCTGTGTAGGTCCATAAGAAAGTTTTTTGCTTCTAGTTCAATTTGTGTATAAATGCTGAAAAGTGTAACGGATGTTATATAAAGTGTAAGTTCATGGCGTATATAGCACACTATTATCTCCTTCGGAGACACTTGTTCTATTAGTCCACCAAGGCTAAAAGGGCTAATCCTAAGAAAGGGGGTCTAAAAGCATTGGGGTTTGTAAGTTACATAGCATGAACGGCATCAAATATAATATTGGATAATTTGCTCAGTTGTCCACCCCCAGAAAAAAACATTGTTGCTGTGGCATTAGCCGATTTCCATCGAGAACGCGAAGGAAATTGCTTGCAAGAAGACGTCGCTGGACTAGAGACACTGTCTCAATTTGCACTATGCCACAAACTACTGATGAAAACAAGAATGGTTCTTGGATATATGTAAAATATTATGTTTTACATTCGTGTTTTGTTTCATAGTTTTCCCGGATCATTCAAAGCTATAGAAAAAAATTTAGATTTGGAGAGTAATATTTTCATTGTAGCCGGAGAATCGCTTGCAACAAAATAACTTCCCAGCTTGGCTCTGTCTGAATTTATACCCCAGCTTTTACAGCTTCAAGAATATTATATTCTAACTCTGTGTCATATCTGTACACTTGAGTGAGCTGAAGTCCTACCTCTTCCAGTAACTTCCGCCAATGTGATAGTGTACGCTCAGCCGAGTTGAGAAAAGCCATCATTGTAAAATCCAACTGCATTTAAAATAGAGATGCACCTGTGTTCGGAATGACCATTTCGTCGATCAACAAAATAGACGTCAGAGAAATAGCGTCGCGAATATGTTGTAGAATTTGCTTGGCTTCCTTGTCTGGAAAATCATGGAAACATTGGCGGATATAATATATGTTTGCACCTAAGGGGACTCAGTAGACGTTTCAAGGGATATTTTGCTTTCAAGAACACTAACCTTGAATTTGTTGCTTTTCAAAAAAGCTCTGAGCCATCATCTAGATATCGTCGTGTTTTGGGGCTGTAGCCAATGTTCCCGGAAGGTCTTGGTTGATCACACGGCCAGAAAAGTCATACTCGGCGATTGCCTTGCGAAAGGCATCACACTGATAACCGTGTTCACCACCAATGTCCACAAAGAGAGGTTTTTCCTTATCCGCTTCCCTCAGCTTTTCGGCCAGAGGGATTACAGATGTCCATGGAACGGGGCTCTTGGATGCAGTAAGAGACGGATAAAAGTATCGCATAGTGTCCGGGAACTGTTGAATATAGGGAAAAAAGTGTTCCTTGGTATCAAAAGCTCGGTGGAAGGCAGTTTCAAGGGGATTTTCAGGATTCTTATATCCATTCTCCTTTAAGAAGTCTGGTAACTCCTGTAATGCTTTGTTGAGGGTGTTAAAACCAAACATGATATTTCCTTTACCTGCAGGAGAAGCCAGTAGATGAGTGGTTTTATTGGCGGCAAAGATTGATTCTCCTACTTGTGCAATATTATAGGTCGAAGCAAGATGTTTTAAGATACGATCTGACAGGAGTTAGCTTTAACAATCCTGAGTTGATATTTTTGCGAACCAATCAGTGTAAGATCTCCACCGTATTTTTTTGGATATGTCTTCTATATTCAAAGGACCGTTGCTTTCTGCAAGAATAGTGAAGAGATCAAGGTCAGTGGCAATCCTGGCCATTACATGCTCAGTATACATATAGCCATGATGCTGTAAAATTTGTCTTGGGGTAGCGACTGAACGTGAGAGGGCACGAAGTTGTTCACTCAGTTGAAAGCGGGTTGACAGGTCTGCTGTTCTTGCAGCTTCCCGTGAGCTGCGAGAGCAGAGATTCGATAGTAGACATGTTGAATGGATGTAAGATGATTAATCTCAAAGAGTGGGGAAGACAATTGTGACCTTGATGAGCTTGGTGCTTAATTAAAATAGCAAAATATAGTCTTAGGAGCGCAGTGAATAAAATTATTAGAGAGCGAAGGTGTTGAAATTGTTCAATTCTGAATGACCTCTGATACAGCTATAGAAGACATCATATAAATAAAACTTAAGGGATAATATTAGTCCAACGAAACAGGAATTGATGACATCCCATTTCCCAAAGATTGCAGGCGGGGCTCGATGACTTCGGATAAGCGGTTACTGCTGAAGCTTAATACAATGGGGCAGCATCGATCACTATTTCCGTAGAATATGTAACCTTACAAATGTACATGTATGTTATATTGTATTGTTGGGTGTCAATATTAGTTGGTGTTTTATTTATATGTCCAATAGAAACAAGCAACTTTCGCAGGCGATCTAGTCTCATTAGGCAACTATAGCCGAACCGTTCCGATTATGCGAAGCAACCGAGGCCTCTTTTACTACTACTTTTAAATATACAAAGTATAATTATATAAAGTATAATAACAAATTTTTTTTTATAATATGTAATAATCTAGCTCTTTTGATCATTAGAATTTTTGATAGGTTCTTTAAGGGATTATAATTTATATAATCAAATAAAAGAAAAAAAACTCTTTTTATGTTAAAAGGTGTGACGCCTCACACCTCCGGGTCACGTGGCATGCCCCGTTTGTATTTAATCATAGGAAAACTCTCTACTCTTGTTTTCCTTCTTCTTTTCTCCTTAGCTTAGTATTTTCTAATACAAGATACTTTACCCAGTATTCTTGAGTGTGACAAAAGGAATAGAAGTTACCGGTACTAATCACGTGTCGTGATTAGTAATACGGTTACCTAAACAGGCTAGATTAGATGAACCATAAGCAGGCATATTGGTCCCCTCCGAGGATACCAAGAGGAGATCTTAATATGCCTACAGACGTAGTAATATAGTCAATATAGAGGCCTCTTCCACCCAATCTTTTAATATTTTATATATTTTTAATTAAACTTAAAAAGATTACATATCCACTGTGAAGTGCAACAGATCGACTGTGTAACGGAAAAGTCGTAAACGGAGTCAATTCAATCACTTAGAATCTAAAACTAAAGAACTAAGAAGATTCTAAGTAAGAAGGTCTTTATATACAGGGCTAGTGCACGTGAGCCACTAGTGGGATAACAACCGTCACGTAACAGACTGGTGCACCCTCTCTAGATATCCAGCTGATGATATTTTTATTTTGAAATGTAAGCCCGCGCCTCTGTTACCCAGGAAAAAAGGTCACGGGCTTACTACTTCGTCCTTCTTGATCATTTATGTTTGGCAAAGAAAAAGTCTAAGATAATTCACACAGTGCAGCGATCTTGAAGCTACAATTAGATTATACTAGATTTTAATATACCCATTTGTTCTCGCCGGTAAGGGTGCTTTCGGAGCATATCATGATGAGTGCAACTGCTCAAACATCTCAGACACTCAGAACGGTTCCTAATACTTGACGGTGGCAAAATAACTACTCGCTTCTCCTACTTGGTAAACCATCCATCTTCAGTCACAAAATTCAAACAGCACTCTATGACATCTAAGACTAGTCCTACAAGCAATACCCAAAATCTATTCCAAACATTATAGTTCTCGCTAACTCTATTAAACCATGCAAGCATATACAAATCCCAGCATGACATCACAAATCCAATCATCTCATTCGAACACCCATTCTGTACTCCATCATTCGATTACAAAATCTTACACTACTCTACTAGAAAGAAGGTCCTCGAGCTATCAAACAAAGAACATCTCAAAATCTAATATCGTTATTTTATTAAGATAGAACTCGGTTGCCAAGTTCAAATTTTCCAAACTTTGAGATTGCTAGTGCAAATTTTGAATGAAGGTCGTCTGGTCTTGGGTACGTACCGTGCTCTTTTGATTTAGCTTTCATCGCAATGGTTGGGATTTGTTGGGATTTTGCATATCTGTAACAACTTACATCGCCGACTTTCTAACCAAGATAAAACTATTTACCCCGGTGGCATGCATCTATATTTCTCCAGTAATGAGAGCAGTAAATCCCATTATATTATTTCCTGTGATTGATACTCATCGCTCTAAGCAGATTCTTCTTGACTTCAAGAATAATTATGGGTAAATAGAAATGGGAGGAAATTCCTTACAAGTGCAAACTCTTACGCAAAAGAACACAAGGATGTAAATATCTATATGTATGTAATGCTTAGCTATATATGTACTGTGTAGCTCTCTAGGGTATAGCGTGTAAATCCCTTATAAACAAAATATGCCCACAAACAAAACTCCTCCGTCCTATGGAAATATCCACCCACGGTTCGAAAATATCAGATCGTATCATACCATTTCCCTACCCATATAACTTATCCTCTGCTCATCATAATCCATCCGAATATCCGTCCTCCTCACAATCCTCCCATCCGGCCTCGAAACCAACTCGAAACCCTCGTTTTCTTTTTCCCGTCTGCCTTCATTCGCACCTCCATCTACGTTCTCATTTTCCCCATTATCTTCGTCTGCTCCTCGCCAAATTCCCTCTTCGTTTTTCCCGCTCCAACTCTGCTCTACTTCTAAGTCCGAACATCGTACGTTATCCCGTGGACTTTCTAATGCATCAGATTGGGGACTTCCATTCGGCTTATTTGACCCGGATGGATGTTTCTTATATCCTCGCCAAGAGCCTGACCGTGGTCCCCCGGGTGCAGGATCTGAACTGCGGTCGTTAGAGAAACCGAGGATGTGCCATCTGCACAGAAGCGGTCGGAGTGTAGAGATTGACGCAGCAATTATGGCTAGGCCGATTTCGATGGCGGAACAAACAATAACAGGAGTTATATAGTCTTTACAACGAAAAGGAGAGGTTAGTTAAGAAGCAAAAATGAGGCGTATTATTGAAGCGAGGGACTTCCAGAAGAATTGACTTACACAATGAATCTCTGACATTTACAAGAGCTACCAAGTACTTAAAACGAACAATCGTAGCAGAACTTGCACTATTTAGGGGAATTCCCCGTGTCAGCTCCCAATACTTGAGAACGCCACATTGGTTGCTTACATGATTCCCAAACCTAGAATAATCACAATCGACACTTTCAACTGAGAACTCATCTTGAGACCCCACAGCATTGGTATTGGCAAGAGAGCAAAAAGCCAATCGAAGAAAATCGTCTGGGCGGAAATAGCATATGCGAAATTTGTAATGACGTGAGCCTCCAAGCATTTCCCTTTAGTCAATGGATCCCATGCCGCTCTCAATGGTCTGCACTGTAGACATCCAATAATGAAAGTTACGATGGTCCATGTCCATATTATAGCAAGACTGGCCCAGATAAGATATTTGTAGAAGGGCCTGAAAGAGGTAATGCGGAAGAGGAGGAGTCCGACGCTGGTTTTAATTATGGCTGTGCAAAGAATGTAAACAAGTTCAAGGATAATTGTGTACTGAATTTCGTTAATGACTTTCCATTCAATGTAAATCAAGATGGAACGGAGTTGATAATATATACCTTTACACCATTGACTAATCCATTAAAATCAAGTTCATTGCTATGCAACCCGGCTCCAGAATGAACACTTAGATATACAAAAAGTGCTGTGATAGTATACCCAACCTTCAAATTCCATTAGCAAGGACTTACTTGAGATTAAGCTCTCATCAGTATTTCCAAATACACTCACCAAAGCAATAATCACACAGTAATCATCGGCCCCAAAAGTCCTCGATACAAATAGCCTCGTATAACATCTCAATCCAACGCCCAACCATGTAAGAACCAAACCTACAGTCATCACGGCGACAATCTGAATCTGGCGGTCCTTCATGATTTGCCTCGTCGTAATCGGTGGTGTATATAATGTTCAAGAAATCAATAATCATGGAGTGTAGACACAGAAGTCTATTTAATGTATATGGTCTACCAAATGCCTGCATTCGACCACAACAGTTCCGCTTGTTTCTGGGGAAAATCGTCAATCGAAACTTCAAATGGATTATTACCGGATTGGATAATCTGAAGCTAGTAGCTTTGGTATTTGACGATACTTTCATGGTTGAACCTGCTACATTTCACGTTTCCATGAGAGGTAGGGCTGCGGAATGAACAATGCTTGCTATGGTTCACGGAGTAGCGAAACTAATATATTGGATTTGGAGTTAAGGGCTGGGATCATGCTAAGTAAAGTCTTGGTTTTGTTTCCTAAGGTCTGCAGTGTGGTCTATTCATCTACCAATATCATCAACTTTGGCTCCCGGTCCTACTGACTTCTTGATACTAGTGTTTTCTAGCCAACGCCAATACAGGCACATCCGTTGAACCTTTATATCTATAATGTAAGTATTGCTTAGGTCTATGATTTAGAATGAACGGAGACGTATTCAAGTTGCTTCTTGTAGAGTTTCTTTCGCTGGCAGGCTGCACATGACGTTTTGTAGCTTTGCACAGATCAATGTTTGGTCTGGTTTTCAATTTTTGATAAATCCACAAAGATACATGGCGATGTAACGACGTTGAGTCATGGCAATCACAAAAGACTGTGCTGATCATGGACCGTGCCGTAACAGATGACGATCTGTTCTTGGGAAATAAGAAATACAATAGAAACTAGTTATAAGCAACCCAAAATTCGACCAATCGAATCCCTTATAAAGAGGAGTCCCGGATATCCAATCCCGTAAAAGCTGAAAATTATTATATAAAATTAATGTGGTTGAAACTTTGTCCCTTATAAAGAGTACTAACATAGGTCCACCTAGCCTTCGGCAAAAAATCAGTTCAAAATGTGTCAAAGCTTCAATACAATAAATGCCTATGCATTCTGTTTCCGCGGAATAACGACTCTGTTTGATATATGTATATATGTATTACGATGAATAAATTATCTCATCGATACCTCAACTGTTCGACTCCAGGAGTTACAATTTTAACCAAGATTCTCCCGCCAGATGTCAGGTCAGAGCGTCGCGGGTCAATAGGTATTGACACATTTTATTCTAATTGCGGTTGGGTATGGAGGGACGTAATGGAGAGAGAGGGTATGCATTCCCGAGGGAATAGACCTATTTAGATCTAGTCCTAGGCACATGAAGTAAAAATATCCCAGGAAACAGGAGACGAACGCCATATACAGGATTTTTACTTTTGATCTTCCTGTGCATGGCATTAGCGGATCGACGGATCGGCTACCAGGTGAAATGAAACTTAAATGAGATGTTCTTTTTTTCCGTCCTTTTTCTATTCGCCTCCCCTCTATTATTTCCTCGCTAAAATTACCAAATGTATAAAAACTCCGACACCAAGAACAGATCGCCCACATCTAATCTCGAACGTCAATGATAAATTCAAGATATATTTCCTCAGGATTGAAGATTACTTCGCGGTAGAAGATTACAAACTTTCCAAATTGAGGAAAAATTAAAAATTTAAGGGATGAAAAAGAAGTATTCATAAGAGGGAGCTAGATCCTTAGCTATAACTATCAATCAACAATATCCGACTCGTACTCTAGCAACCCCATCTCTACGGAAAACACAACCAATAACCCCACTTACCCAAAGAACCACACATCCACTAGAAACTAGACTCCGGGTTCTAGACACCAAACAGCAGAATCCCAAATCTACATAACATCAAAGCTTCCAAGCCTCAAAACATCAAAATCCCACTCTAGAATCTAGATAAATTAAAAATCCGAACCTCGATACTCCACACACGAACTGCCGTCTCATGAGCCAATTTCCAATATCCAATTTCTAAAAGAAATCCATCCATCCACATCCACATCCGCATGACCATCCACATGGCCATGCATAGGAAGATTTTCCCTACCCCGGTACCGGTATTGATTAATAACTAATGACATATCACATGAATGATCTGAGCTGCGGGAATTATTTCCGCGAACGCCAGGTCACTTGCAATTGCTAGATGCTCTAGTAGTAAGTAGTAGGGTAGTGGTGATTAATATTTGAGTAAGGAAAACCATCTCACAACTACCACCACGATTCCCGCTTATATAAATCCGCACATTCACCATCCACCCATCGTACTCGACTCGACTTGCCTCGTCATATGGAGCCCCGGCGCCGGCCAACCAATCATCTATGTCATGACAATGAAATTCCGAGATTCAGTCCATAGACTCATAATCTACTAAAATAAACAAACAAGATAAGATTTAAATTATATAATCTCATTCTCTTAAACTCGAAACCTTATACCTACCTTCCTTTTACAGCAGCAATAACGATTCAGTAAAGTACCAGCACCAACCATGAAATTATCAACAAAGCTCCTCAAGTCCCCCTTCAGCACTTCACCACCTTTACTCCCCACAAAAAATAAATTTACTAAATATTTCTTTCTATTAATACTATTTACTAATGTATGATATGATTGAATTAAATCAACCAAAGATCTTTCTATTGATACTATGTAGCCAAGCCATCTCAGCACCAAGCTAGATGTTGTCCTTTCGACATACCGGATAACCCATTTTTATATTCCCGAAATGCACAGCCTTTTAAGTAGCACTTCCCGCAACAATTATCCAGCCCGACGAAAATGTATCCAGCAAATAAGCAAACCATCCAATGGGATGAATGTTCAGGTATCTCGAATGATAAAATATAACTTTCCTCACGTCCCAGATCCACCAGTGTACTCACTTTAGCAACCAAGCAAACGCCACAAGCCAGCCACTCCGAAACCATGCGTAGATAGTTGAACCTGCTTATTCCCATTCGCCCTCATTATCATTACGCTCAACGGAAGCTCCTTTCCCGGTACTAGAACTCGCCCCCTTTGGTCTACCTCTTCCCCTAGGAATAGAACTGGACCTAGCTCTCTTCTTTCGACCCCCTGCAGCTCCATTGGTACTCGCCTTCCTCTTGCGCCCTCTCCCGCTGCCACCCGGTGGACCAGGTGTACTATCTTCATCATCACTTGGTGTACTCATTCTCCCTCTCTCGTCAACCTCGTCATTTTCTGTCGAGACCTTGAAGTCGTGATCTACATTAAGTAATTCCACAAACGCTCGACACTGCTCTTCCATTTTGTCCTCGGAATCATAGCTAGTCATCCTACCACAAATATCCGCCCAAAACTTGTCCCCAGTAACGCTTGTGACTTTAATCGGAGCTCGACTGAGATCTTTATTTGCACCTTTAACTTTGCCATCTCTGTTCATCAATCCAAATTGTCGACGAAGAAATGTTCGAGCCTCCCATAGATTTGTAAGCATGATTGAAATTGCAGTGAGTTGTTGTAGTCGCGTCAAATCTCGCTTTGGTACTTCAGGACGAAGATGACCATTTGTGTCGGCTTCATTCACTGGTTGGTCGAGGCTGATGTGAAGGACCTCTGTTTCAATTGCATGAGCAATACCAGTTCCCGTAGCTGACACCAATTTCTCCATTGAATTAATGGTTGACAATAATTCGTCCACAGTTTGGTATTCAAAGAAGGCTAGGTTTTCAATGATGAATTGTGCAAAATCCAGATGATGTGGTAAATCTTCAATAGTGTCGAGCTTTGCAGGGTCAAAATTGATTCGAGAGCATAAGCTATCAAACAACTTCTTTCGGTTCTTGACCTTACTGATCTTCATAACTTCAATCATCATCCAGAGTTTTGAAGTAAAGGGATTGAGTGTGGCGCCATGAGTGTCCTTGACTACATCTCTCTGATATGCATATGCAGCTAGGACAGCCCGCATATATTCCTTTTCAAGAATGGTTTCATGCTTCTCATGGAGAGCCTTGTGCTCCCGGAATGCGATGTCGGCAATCTTGCTGGTAGGTGAAGTTTCAAGAGCGATGAGAGTACAAGCAGTCTCCTTGGGATGGACAAGGCCTTGCCTGTTGATGCTGGCCACAACTTCTGCCGCAAGAAGTGCTTCTTTATCTTGGCCACCGAGCGCAATACGAGCAATATCCTTCAAGAATCTCTGCGCAATGTCTAATGCAACGCCATCACCTTGACTGCCACCCATAACACCCAATTTTGCCTTGGAATCAGTACCAGTGCCAACAGCGCCATCGACGCTTTCCTCTGATCGCTTCTCCTCAATTGAGAGATATTCTTTAAAAGCCCTCATAACTATTGACTCGAGCTCCAAATCCTGGTCGCTGAATACTTGGATAAATGTGGTGTAAACGTTGGCCGCAGAAAAGTTCTTTGGCCAAGATTGACAAACCATACCCATTGCATCAAGTGCATGCTTTCGAACTTCCATGGGTTGAGAGGGTGTAGCAAAGGGAGCAAACGTATCGATCATCAGTTTCGAAACAGATGTACCTTTCATACTTGGGAATTCCTTTTCCTTAAAGACCTGGTGTTGAGGATCAAGATCGCAGTGCTTACCACACATTCCACAAATAAGTAGAAGCTTCGTTAACTTCTTGACAAAATCAGCTCGCTTCGGATCGTTCAAGTCAATGGTTTTCATTTTCTGAATACCAGCCAAACTAGATAACACAACTCTTGTTAAATTGTGATAATCGTCAAGGACGCTGCTGATAATCCACAAACAAGCAACTATATCGTCCAAGATAGATTTAGGGCTCCGTGTCATAGTTGGCAAAAGATCCTTTCTAATCGCGGTGAGAAAACCGTGTTGAACTTTGGGTAAGCTAGGAAGAACATAGCGAAATATGACAACAACTGAACGATAAATAGCAGCCTCATCACCACTGCCGACATTTGATACATATGGTTGCAATAGTTGAATCTGTTCGGCGGTAAATAGATTAGGGTTGGATTTGGCAAATATGGTGAGTACTTCCAAGGCATCCCGAGCAGTTGGTGCTTCAGAATCCTCAGAAGCTGGATTGTCAATAATTGTTTCGAACATTGCCGCAACAAGCGCTCTACAAACCTTAAAATTTGCATCAGGGTATTTTGACTTTGGTGAGAGTAGATTCTGGAGGACTTTGTCAAGAACCGTAGACGTCCCATTTTGTCGCTGAGCCGTCTTGATTATTAAAGTAACATGGTCTGAAATAGCAAGTTTTGCTTGGACTGATGTATCTTCGGATCCAGTTACTTTGTAGAAAGGCAACATCCACACTTCTTCGATTGTCGACCGGGCCAATTCCTGAACACCATCATCAAGATCGGTGACTCTGTATAAAATGGCATCAGCGATAGAAGCCTTGACATCCTTGTTCGTATTGTTCAGGTAGATGTCTTTCAAGAGTTTCATAGCTCGCTTTCGAACACCGACTCCACTATCATTAACTCGTTGAAGGATACTAGGCGTCATCTCCACCTCGAGAGCTGGGACTAATGATATGCACTTTCCAATTAGGCCTAATGCCGAATCCCTTACACCCACAGAAGGATCGTTTGAACACCGTAAAATCATTTGCTTAGCGGCAGGCTCTCGGTCGAGAATAGTTGGATCTGTTTCCAGAACCTGATTGACACTTTTCAGACTCTTACTTCTGACAGTAGCCTGTTCACTGAACATAGAGCGAAGCAATATATCGAGCACACGGCTGAAAGACTTGCAAAAGTTCGAGTGTAATAATGTCAGAGAGTAGGCCAGGCGGGCGTGATTAGGATCAACTGAGCCGTAGCCATGCTCTGTGGAAAACCATCTCTTATCGGTGATCATCATCCTCAATCGGTATGCCACTTTACCGTAGTTCTCCTCGATGCGCTCGTGATCAGGATCATCTTCGGAAATATTGTCATATTCAGTTATCAATTGTGAGGCCCATTCAACGATTAAGAGAGAAACACTGCTTGTTAGTTGGGGATCAGAAAAGGAACGGTCTTCCATGAAGTCTAGGCACATTAAGTAAGGTCCACCCCATGTCAAGATCTCGTGAATGTTTGCTTCGTGTCTGAGCGTTTCCTCAGCCATCCTTGAGAGAGCCTGTCCCATACGACCATCTCGATTTTCGAGTGAAGCGGCGGTCTTTCGAACATAAGAGTGTAGTTCAGATATTGCTGCGCCCATTGACCCCAGTAGATCAAGAGCCATGTTCTTGGCAGGAGCAGGCGTTTTGTCTGCTTCGGCGAGTTGTACCATCTTGAACAGAAAGAGGCGTAAAAGTAGTTCGGCGGCAGGCCAATCCGTAGAATTTAGACACGTAATAAAGTCTTCAACAAACAGATCAAGAAGATTTCGATATGGGGTATCGCCATTTTTCGTGGATTTGATCGCTCTACTAACAATGAAATTAACCACGTATCCAGTGTTTTGTGTCGCACTTTCTAGTAATGGAGCTTCGCAGTCCTTAAGTTCTTGAATTGCTGTGACATTCTGTTCAATTGCTCGTTTTTCCGTGTCATATCGACGACGATTATCGGCATCATTGGTTCCATCCTCTTGGACCTCGTCATCCCCGGTGAGAGCGTCGTGGGCCTTACGCCTTCGCTTTTCTTTTGCATCATCCGACTTGCTGGCGCTTGTCTGAATCAGTTTCATAATTAGTGCCGAGACAAGTTGGATGCTCCCGCCATCCGCTAATTTGAATTGACGAGCGCTTTGTTTAGAGACAGGGAGCTTCTCTAGGGATGTCAAAATCTCATTGAAAATCTCAGCTCTTTCCTTCGGATTGTTATTGAAGACTTGGGCAAGCACATCCATTGCTACTACACGTAGATTGTCAAATTTTGAGATGCCAAGTATGGAGTCCTTCTCGGCGTGAGCATTCTCGACAAATATCAACTTAGTAGCTGCAAATTCAAGACTGTTGATCACCGTTTCCGACAGGTCAATATTGGCCACGAGAACTGCCATGAGTGATAAAAGGCGTCTACATTGGGCAAGTAGATTAAGAATAACTTTTTTCTGAGCGGATAGTAACTTGAACAATGTTGAAGTGGATCCCGTACTGCGCAGTTCCACAACCGGAATAATGAAAGTCTCCATAATATTTTTGAAGGCGTTCAAGGCTGATTGAATGAGATCCTCCGAGTACAATTGCTTTTCATCACGCCCACCAGTCATAACTCTGAGTGAGGTGCGAGCAGATTTGAGCCCCAGTTCTGCATTCGCAATTTGTAAAAATAGCGTTTCCACATCCGACTCTCCCATTTCCTCGTCAATCTTCAAATCAAGTGTCTCGGCCTCTTTCAAAGCAGCCTCAGAGAGTTTTTGAATTCGAATCAAATCCTCCAAGGGTACCTGTTTGAATCTACCAACCTCAATAATCCTATTCAGCAGGGGCTCAAGACGCATTTGAGGATTAGCCGCAAGGCTAATACCTTCATTCGTCGAAATAAAGAAATGGTTAGAAACATCAATATCCGGCTGAAATTGATTTTCGGCCTCAAAAACATCTTGAAGATATTCTCGTAGATTTCGCGCAGCAATTTCTGCCTTCTCTCTTTGGTCGATCACCCCAGATACATTTTCTTCGTATTCATTGGAGCCCACCCGTCTTCTTTTTCTCGCAGGACTGCCAGGTGAGTCTGGAAGAGCCTCCACAACCTTGTACTCCTCTGGTCGTGATTGGGATTGTGGTATTATGACGGATATGATTGGTTGTGGCGAAGATGATGGAATATTTTGGTTTTGCTGGCCATCTTGATCAGCGGCCGGTGCGATTCCTGGAGGTGGAGGAATCGGTAGTTGGGTATGCGATGTTTGAGGACTGATTTTTGTGACATGTGAAGTTGCAGGAATTGGGCTTTGTTTATGAACAAACGTAGCTGCATTTGGTAAAGGAACTTCGACTGCGATTTGCGACTTTGGTCTAGGTGTGACATTCGCATACTCGACAACAGGCTTCGTAGTAATAGCTTCAGGAAATATGGTAGCATTTGCGTTCGCATTATGGGCCTGCAGGTTCGCATTCACAAAGCTACTACTTGGACTCCTCGATTTCGTCTGAGACTTAGCTCTCTGCTTCTGAATTTTGTGCCTCATAGCTGGCACTTCTGAACGTTCCGCGGTTCTATACTCCACCTTTGTTGAGTCATATAACATCTGCGCAAACGGTGAAAGATTTGGTTTCAGATGGGTAGAATCGGGAACTGATGCAATCTTTGGTCCGATCTTGAAGTTGCTTTTTTGTATGTTAGTCAGATCAAACTGTTTGCAGGACTCTAACCTTACTATTCTGTATGATCTTTTGGATGAAGCAACTTTTCGAGTTCTTTTAAAGTTCTTTGTAGGCGCTGAGAGGTCTGATATGGGTTTGTTGCGTCGGCATTCAGACTTTCCAGACTCTGTCTGCCCTGTTGAGTTTCTGCTGCATTTGGAAATAATGAAGAGGAAGAACCAAGTCCTATTGTAGGTAGGGGGATAATATCTGCAAATTGAGTGTTATTAATAAAATTGATAATGGTGTTTGAGGATATCTTTCGAAGGTGAAAGGAAAGGTGAGGTTACCAGAATTGAACGGCACAACAGAGGAAAAAGGTGAATAGGGAAGAGCTTCGTCGACAGTGAATGGGCGTGGTCTCATGTTACGAGATTCTCTTGAAGAAGACGCGCCATTTGTTCCATTATGGCCATTGTAATAGCCATACCCATTACTACTTGAATCCATGGTGAGGGTATTCGGTATGCCGTGTGGTCGCAAGGCCGAAAGCTCGCTCGTAAAGGTAGGTATAGATGAGGGAAAAAAAAGTCACAATAAAATTATTTTACATGATCAATTTGTTGTACAATCCCAAGTTGTTATTCGCAATGTATAGCTGTCTTCGTGAAAACACGATAAAGTTGTCGACAGAACAACCTTTCAACTTCACCATTAGTTAGTAGCCGTCTGTAGGTAGGTATGCAGCCTTGCGCTATCTTTGGATTGGATGGCTCTGGATGGGTCTTTGACTAGCGCAACTTCTTTTGGCTTCGGCCTTGCATGAATGCAGAAATAAGGTAAGGTTAGTTTATTTTCTAAGAACATCATATTCAAAGTGAGCTTCAAAATGTCATCGAGATCCTCTTATATTTTTCACAGATTATGGTAATGTTTGTTCTTTTTGGAGAGTTCTACTCGCAACAAGAATATCAGTTTGATACATGATTGTATGATTGTTGTGAAGTAACTAACCTAAAAGGTTATCTATCCTAAGGTTACCAGGTATTATATTCCCTTCGCATTTTGTTTCATTCGTATTATTAGAGTGAATATCCCCGATCAAAGTTTACCTCTAGATACCCCCTCGGAATACAATCCAGACAAGGACAAAAGAATCATTCTTTCTCTCGATTTTGCGACCAAAGGATCAAGCAATGAGTAAAACGCCATACCCAGAATGCCGCACAAAGGTATGGTAACAAGTAATCCGGCGATTTTGGATACGACTGTCTCTTCAATACTGACAAATCTCATAATGAACGTACTTGACGATTCACGAATTATATCATGTGCAGATTGGACTTCATATCCAGTGTTTGATAGGAAATTTTGTATATGTTAATGGCCCAAGCACTTTGGCACCAGCCATCATTTGAATTAAATACAGGCGACGAATTTCTGAGAATATAAACAACTAGGCCGCAGCAACAGCCTCCTTCTCTGGGATGAACGCATACTCAGTCTCCCCATTCTTCTCAAACTCCGCCATATCCAACGCAACGATAACACTATCCCTCACAACCTTGTCCTTATCTTCTAAGAACTTCTTTAGTGTGTCTTCAACACCTTCCTCGTCACCTAAGCTCCCCAAAGCCTCGGCCGCCTCATGTCTAACCATGCTAGCCTCCTCCAAATTACTGAGAGATCCAACAAGAGCAGGGATGGATGCTGGGTGAGATAATTGCCCAAAAACGAAGGCAATTTCGTGTCTGAAAAGTGCGGATGGATCATGGAGACCTTTTGCGAGGGCAAGAACAGCGGGAACGGCGGTGGGAAGATCAGGAGGTGATGCAAGATCTCGAAGAGCAAACATGGCTCTGTACCGTTTAAATAAAGAGGTTTTGGTATCTAACAATGTTTCCTCAAGTTTCTCGATTGACAATGACCCTGAGTTTCCTTCTGCGGTTGGTGGAGCTGGGTCAATTGATGCGAAATCCCTATAATTACAAGAATTGTTAGTATTGCGATACAAAATATATCTCAGGAAATCAGTGAAAACGGTCTGTTGCATGGGAAGCAAGAGCGCATTTCCCATTCGCTCTGTGCAAATACTCATTCTTCAGAATAAATGAAAATTCAACTCACGATTGTCGTAGCTTCTCTGCCTTGCCCGCATCTGAATGCTCCCACTCGATTCTCTCCACACTCAACTCACATGTCTGGCTCACTTCAACCGGCTCAGTAGTATCATCCCGTCTCTCCTTAAGCAACTGCAAAGAATCCTTATCACCCAACGCACCCAATGCCTCCGCGGCCTCATGTCTAACCATACCATTCTCCTCGCGATTCTCTAATACTGCTCTCAAATATTTTGAACACTCAAGATTCCTTGTCTGACCCAAGCAATAGGCAAGTTCATGTTTCAAAAGTGCGGAAGGAGAAGTAAATGCAGCGGCGATGGCTTCAATAGCGGCAATATTAGAGGATGAAGATGGGATAGAGGCGAGATGTTTGAGTGAGAAAAGGGCGCGGATACGGAAATCGAGTGGAGTGCTTTCTGAGCAGAGGGTTTTTCGCAAAGTGAGAACGGTGGCGTCTGGCGTCTCTTCTGGAGCAGGGGATGTCGCTGATGGGGCCATATCGTTAAATTTCGTTGTATATGATTGTCAAATAGTGTGGTAGAAATGCTGTAGTTTTTGGGAAAAAGAAATAGACAAACAATACGGGAGAAATAAATTTAAAGCTTCCGGCCCTATTGAATCAAAAGTTCGGCACCCTTAAACCGCCCGCACTAAACTAATCGATAAAAAAAATGCGGCCGATGCGCGGGGTTCAGCTTAGATTACGTAATATGACACATGCATCAGAGATCTATGCGTGTAAAAGTGGGGAGGCTAGTATTTCTTAGAGAATTAAAAGCAAATTTAGTAGGTGCGTGGGGCACCTCGAAAACGAAGTGGAAAACTTCGAAAACTCCAAAAAAACGTGGTTGGAATTCAGAATCGAACTGAATTGGCAAACAACCTTCAGATAAGAAGGTCGTAATAGGAATCGAACCAATATCTCCGGAATCAGAATCCGACGTGCTGACCATTACACCATACAACCATTGTTGGGATCTTGTTATTAATCACTCCCCGAATCTTAGTATATAAAATTTACTAATTCCTGTTACTCAAGGGCCCAACTTCAAGCCCATCTCCAAGGCCAAATTCTTTAATCATTTTCTAATAGAAATCATAATTTATTTATAATGATTAAAATGATTAAAAATATTAATCAATGAAATTCAAAGCGACTATCACATCCATCAACCTCCCAAATCACCACGAACTTTTTAGGAATCGAAATAGGAAGCTCTTCCTCGTACGGTTTCAATAGATACCAAGTGACTCAATAAGTAGCCTTCTCATCACTAAATATGATATCCCCATCTTTACCAAATACCAACAAGTATTAACCCACAAACCATATTTCCACCAATATCTAAAACTAGGCATATTTAATAAATAATGAACAATAGCTCATATCCCCCTTCCATAGCAAGAATCTCCCTAGTTGTTACGTCCAAAACGATTAGTATGTCACATGACCATAAAACATGTGATGGAACGGTGAGGAACGAACGTTCCTAGGAACAACCAGGAACGCTCGTTCCCAGGAACGACGATTCCTAGTTAACCATAGGCACGAAGGACTATATAATCAAGATGGATTTCTTTTGTATAGAGCTTCGTGCTCAAGATCAATCATTTAGTATACTCTACTATTAGTTACGAATTGCATATCATTATTGTCATTACTTCAAGTCCCTGCTTGACGCCTAGTTATAAACCTACTTCGAGAGCCTAGAGCACTTCCACGTGATCTAGACGGCAAACCTCGTAACACTAGTCCCGTGGTTGCGACCAGCTCGCATGAAATATCGGAGACAACAAATCCAAGGTATTTGCGCCGAAAGAATCAAGATCTTTATCAGAATCGAGATTTTTGAACATAAGATTATCCTTTCGTTAAAAGAATAATAACCCTAAATATATCCTTATATGGATTCTAGGTTGAAATTCTCCAATCACAATGATTGAACCTCTGCGTAGAAGAATCTAACGCTATTGGTATCTGGAATCAACAATATAATTAATGCAAGAACACGACGGAGTAACTAAGTAAATCCATATCTTCAACTTTGTATATCGTACTGTTGGCATACAGAAGAGAAACCAACAATCCGCAATATATTCGCGTTACCACGACGCCGAAGCACGTGTTGACCTCCTGGGATCTTGGCAGCATATGCATATATAGTGCATATGCATATAAGGAGCAAACAAAACTCAACTTTTAATTCATTCTTTCCTTTTTGGTATACTGTTTGTTTGCTTTCAATATTTTGATTTCAAAACACTTTAATTCCGAAGGCCGAATACCCAACCTATTCCTTCATTTTTTTGAATATATGCTCGCAGCTTAACTGCTTAGCTAGAGAATCAATCAATTCAATCTGATACTCTTTCTGGTCTTAAGAAACCCAACAGCACGCGAATGCAATGAGTGACACTGTAGATGTATAAGTACTCACTGCATACAGACTTCGACACAGTGAATGCGCTAAATCGTAAACACATCCGCTGTTATCACTTAAATAAATGGATGTGTCATAAGGTTAAAAGCATTATAACCATCTTCCAGAGAATTTTCATAGTTCTAAAGAAATAATACAAGTCATGTGTCATATTCATAGCGATAACATGATAAAACTCAAAAAGCTTCCTTCTCTCTTAGATTCCAAACATCCATCAATAGGAGCCCGTCGTACCATTGTTAAATGTGCCATTGCTTAATGTGCCATTCACATGACCATTAACAATACTGTTCACCTTTCCGTTGGTAAGAGCAACGTGATTACCATTCGTCTTTGCCTTTACATGACCATTAGTGCCGTTTAGCTGACTAGCCTTCTTCGCAGCCATCTCAATCACTCTTTCTTCCTCCTTCTTCGCGTTTTCGGTATAACCCGTGTCAGAAGCGTCGACAAATGCCTCTAAACCTTCTCCATTTCTTGGGTACCCTTTCATCAGCTCCTTGTGGCGATGTAAAGCCTCATTCATTTCCTCAGCAGAGACATCATTGAGGAAACTACAAGACCCAAGTGGATTTGGGACTGCAGCTCTCAATTTGCCGTCTCGTGTTTTGAGAATGGCGGCAGTAGCCTTTTGAAGAAGCTCTTCATCAAACTGATGATGATCCATTGAAAGACCTGCGCGTGAAAACAAGTTCAAGATACGGCGATGCTCTTCATCACTTAAGAGCTTTCTTTGATTAGCAAGTGTTGCTGAGTATGCCATATCAATAGAGATTGCATGGCCATGTCGGAGCGGTGTATCAGGAACGAGTTCATGCAGTGGTGACCATCTAACGACGTTAGCAACAATTTGATCTATACCAGCAGGATCACTCACGTGTGTCCATAGGCGATGACACGATCCAAACCAATCTCGTGGAGGTTCGGTGTTTCCAACTTTAACATTTCATAAATACCCTCTCTGTTAATCTTGTCTGCTGCTTCAATCAATTCCTTTGAAGATCCATCGGCTCGGCCAAAAGAATTGTTGATGAGCTGTTCACAGTACTTGTCCAGCAAATCAAAAGTGGGGAGGTGAGAGCATGATGATATCTTAATCAATTCCGCAAAGCCGTTGCGGATCTGGGCCGTGGGCAATGTTCGCAAGAATGTGAAATCAAGGAAAGTGTGAATTGGAGCATGGTAGGCACCTAGTCTGTTCTTGTAGTTGCCATAGTTCACTGCAACCTTAATTGATACAGACGCATCAATCAATCCAATGACAGTGGTTGGAACACGAATGAAATTGGTGTTTCGCCTATATGCTGCGCATGCAAACCTGTGAAACAATTAGTTATCGGGCTTTAGTCACATGATTTCGAAAAGATTGAATTGCAATCGCATGCGACTTACCCAGCAACATCGGTGACAAGGCCTCCCCCAACAACAAGGACTGGCTCCTAAAGTTATGTTAGAACAGAAATTGATAAATTATTAATTGTCGGTCAGAGTACAAACTTTGCGATAGATTCCAAATTCGGTCATGGAATCCACAATACTCAAAAACGTAGGGATGGTTTTTGCCTTTTCTCCGATCTTTGTCTTATGTAAGACCAGTTTGATGTTATAATGATCGAAATACTTTTCCATTTGCTTTCCATATACATTATAGATGTTCAAATCTGTGACAGCTAAACATCTTCCCCAGTGGGTATAGCAGTCCGCAAGGTTTGGATTATCGACATTGAATACACCATCAATAAAAGTGAAGTCATATTCAATTTTCTCATAACCTTCAACATGGAATCCGGCATGACCGGAACTTGTTGTGGTTTCCGAAACGGTCGCTTTGAGGTCGGACATATTTAAAAGATCTTAAATGAAATGTGCTGTGGGAAGTCTTGTTGCGGATGCTTAAACAGATCTCGGGAGAGGGGGCTTTTTAAACAACACAAGGCAGAGATAGGACGAAGTCACCGTCACTAAGACTTTACTATGAGATTTGCTAATATTGCGCCATCATACACCATCATACCCCAAGGCCATACTATGTCTCATTAGTACACCGCAGATTTATCAAACATACACCGATGCCTTTCGAGTAACATAGCGATATTGGTCAAATGCGAGCAGTTGACGTACGGAAATTGTTCAGTCGAACATGCAAGGTGACAATAGCCAGTCCACAAAATAAATCTATGACATTATCACCCCACGCTAACCAAGAGCGGTTCAGCCACCGCAACGTTTCCAGACTACCTCGAGATCAATTCCGGGGCCAGGAACAAGCTAATACAAAGAATATGAATTACCGGGCGAAACCGACCCTATACAGTGTGCAGTAACGAAAATGCACTAAGCAAGCGCGAAGAGAATGCAAAGACCAGGAAAACGGCCCGCCCCTGGCATGCAATACCATAGCATGAGCGAATTCCATGACCCCAAGATCAGCTGGTTCCAGATCTCGGGTAGATTGAGTCGATGGTTCGCCTTACACTATCTGGAAAGCTTTTCTGTCGGAAATCTTGACACTTGGTATAGTAGTACGGCATCCGCATCTACCCGTTCGTACTACCACAGGTTGGAGGCGTGCCTTTGCTTATCATTTTCATTGGGAACTATCTGCTATCTTGTAGATTGCTACAACTTGTAGGTGACATTTCCGTAATTCTGTCCTATTTTGTACGTTTTTGAAAAGTACCGGTATTGTTCATAGATTTGGTAAACAAAGTTCCCCACATGCCTTTTCAAGCTAAAACCATAGTCAAATCAGCCTTAGTGCGCCTTAGTGCATCGATGTAATTGATATATGCATGTGGAAAGATGGTTTGATAATCGACTAGAATTCAACACCGAATACGACATGTCAAAAAATCAATGACACCAACATCTGTTCAAATATGCGAAAATCAAGATCCGAACACGGCAGCAATGCCTAGAAAGCTAGGCCACAAATTCTCGGAAGATTACATGCAGTGAAACATCTTGTCTTCACTATGCCACTTCCGGATATTTGCGGTTAGAATCGTTGTTCCGCGAACAGGCCCAATAGCAAGTATTGCATTGCTCTCTGCGACTTTTGCAAAGACAACAACATGGCTCAATTCGACAAGGCAAAATGTTATGCTTCGCAGGAAGAGATATTCGTGGGTTTCCTGGTTAAGACCAAGTATACTTCACTGCTAATGTAATGTTTCATGTAGTTCGACGATGGGCGAGAGGAAGAACTTGTTGACTTTATACAAAATCATCCTGATCGATCCGAAATTCAAGGTTCGCCAGCAAACGTATTGCAAGCTATTGATGATTACGGGCGAACGAAAAGATACCTCATGAACGTGGGGGAGAACAAAGGAGCAATTGTTACCAATATAATCAGAGAAAAGAAACCTGAAATAATGGTCGAGCTAGGAGGATATTGCGGATATTCCACGATACTTTTCGCATCCGCAGTACGAGCTGCGGGAGGGAAGAAGTATTACTCGTTAGAGAGAAGTCCAAAGTTCGCGAAAATTATCAGTGCGCTGGTGAGTTTTGCTGGTCTTGAAGGATTTGTTGAGGTGGTCGTTGGTCCTAGCAACGAGGGAATACAAAAACTACATTCCCGTGGATTGAAGACCATTGATATGATGTTTCTAGATCATTATAAGCCAGCGTACACGACTGACCTGAAGTTGTGTGAACAATTGGGTTTGATCAAGGAAGGAACCGTTCTCGCTGCCGATAATGTTATTAGTCCAGGAAACCCTCCATACTTAGAATATGTACGAAGCACTGTGGAGAAAAAGGTAGAAAATCTAAAGCAGGAGGGGAAGTTAGATACTGATGGATTTGCGAAACGATCCGCAACTCAATATGGTGGAGTTGAGGCGTTGGACACCGAAATCAAAGGCAATCCCAACCTCATATATGAGAGCCAACTGATCAACAGCTTCGAGCCTACTGGAGAACCAGTAAGTTACATGACTCTCGTGAAATGGATTTTCTAACCATATTGCGGTAGGATGGAGTAGAGATAACGCGATGTATGGGGAAAGTCGAAGGAGCTTGAACTCTGTCGCGGATTTGGAGGTGGGATTGGCGTCTTGATCGGTTTCCGGTTAAGAGCCAAGACAAGAGTCTTCACTGCGGATCTTCTCATTGCCGTATCTAAATATACGAATGAGACGAAAATTACCACTATGCCAAGCGTGGCTCTTGTTGTTGCTACCACTCGGTGACTTCTCGACAACTCAAGCAATAATGAAACGATTTCCATTTGTAGCTGTATAACTATGACACAGATGATAAGAATGCTAATGCCACTGAATTTTGTGATGGCTCACGATGAACGTGGCGCAAAAGGCCGCATTGCATGAGTAAGTGATATCGTACAGAAAAAACTGGACGTGAAGCTGATGATGTAGAAATAATTTAGGTACAAAGTTCCTTCCAAATCACACAGGCGCCTAAAGTTATTGAGGCAAGCCTAGCTTCCGAAGATTATCCCTCGTAAGGCCGACTCCCGAGATATCTCGAACAGCGCCAGAGGATCACGTGCACCAACACATCTCAAAACCTTCATGATTTATCTCATTCTCAGACCCTTGTGGAGTATAACAGATTTATAATGTTTTATAGTAAATTTATAATTTTGTAAGAAAATTATTAATAATTTTATACTAAAATGACTTATATTTTTATCAAAGTAAGATAAAATATTAAATTTTATGAGGATTTGAGAGCTTTTGATTGCTTTTTTGATAAGGAATTATTTGTAACGATACTGTACTGGAGGCAGCGGCTGCCTGAGGTTCGTCAGTTGGTAGTTATGGGTTCAGGCTTTATCACTGGTATTCACTTGGAAGTGAAGTCGTTACTAGATCAAGTAGAATGTAGGTAACTAATTGATAACTAAGTTGAGCACGAAGCTCCTATACTTTGAAACTACTCTGACTATATACCTATGGAAAAGGGAGCCCCTAGGAGCTCTGAAGGCTCTTATGGCTCCTGGAGCTCTAGGAGCTTTACAAGCTCCCAGGGCTCTATCACGTGATCCTTCTTTGCCTCAGGACAACAATCCTGGGACGATTCGTCTCCTAGGATAATTTAACTCCTAGGATAATTGTCCTGGGACAATTATCATCCTGGGACGTTTTATCCTAGGACACATACTATCCTAGCTCACCCTGATCCCCCAGGACACTTGTCCATCAAGGTGGGAATATTTCCCACCATAGTGGGATTCCTCAGCTCGATGGGAATCCTTGATCACGTATTTTCGATCAGATTCGATGTCTGTGCTTGCTTAAGGTGGGGAGACCACATGAGTCAATTGCCATACAGTTTGTATGTGAATCTCCTTGCTTTTCCAAATGGTCCGAGCTCGTATGGACAGATCAGCTGTTACTTCGTAACACTTATTAACTGATTTTATAGATTTTAGATAAGCGAAGAAGGGTCTGAGGATGAGATAATTCATGATCAAAAACCTTCAATTTATAAAATATCGAGTCCTTGTTATAGGATACCTAGTACTTAACTATTTATCTATGTACCAGTTAGATAAGGAAACCCCCTAAAAAAAACCCCCAATATGTTTATCGCATCCCCTTATCACCTACTCCGTGTTCTTTTCTGCCCCGCAAAATTGCTCGCTTATTTTCAAAAACACCTAAACACAACCAAAAGCGAAGAGAGAAACGCAACTTCAGAACACTTCAATTGCTTGGGATGCCCCATACATGTTGCAAAAATAGAGCTTTGAAAGCCCCAAAGAGAAGATTAATGTGACCAGACTGGGGCACGATCCCAGGACCTTGTCCGTGTTAAGGACACGTGATAACCAACTACACCATCCGGCCGATTAATATATATGTGAAAGTTTCTTATTTGATATTATATTCAAGTTAAATTTTGGCTCGCTCTGCCGCCTTTTCCGTAATCGTAAATTGGGGGCTTCGGGAAATCCTCGGTAACAAGAGTTATATCTTACTGTTATTAAAGTTATTGCATTTCATTTTATCTCTTAAACGATTAAGGTTGAGGTTGAAACCAAAAGCATGTAAGTGACCAGTCTCTTTCTCAGTAAGAACGACAATCCTTATGTGGAAAAGCTGTATATTTTTTTCTGTTAAGCTACTTCAGTGAAGGATTTCCAAGTAAATCAAGGAATGTCCAATAGTTATAGCTAGTAGTCTAGATGTAAACAAAACAGTCCAATGTTCAAAATAAACTCAGCATCTCAAATGATTTGGATATCTTATATTCTTTGAATGTTTTCAACAATCCTAATGTTCAAAATGAACTTGTAAGTCTAGTACTGTTGACCTCCTGGGATCTTGGCAGCATATGCATATATATTGCATGATGCATATAAGGAGCAAACAAAACTCAACTTTTAATTCATTCTTTCCTTTTTGGTATACTGTTTGTTTGCTTTCAATATTTTGATTTCAAAGCACTTTATGTTACGAGGTTTGCCGTCTAGATCACGTGGAAGTGCTCTAGGCTCTCGAGGTGGTTTATAACTAGGCGTCAAGCAGGGACTTAAAGTAATGACAATAATGCAATTCGTAACTAATAGTAGAGTATACTAAATGATTGATCTTGAGCACGAAGCTCTATACAAAGGAAATCCATCTTGATTATATAGACCTTCATGCTTCGTAGCTCGAAGGGAGCGAGGGGATCGAGCTTCGATCCTTTCGCTCTCCTCGATCGAAGGGCTCGAGAGGCCAAGCCTTCGAGCTCTTCGAGTCCTTGCATCACGTGTTATTACTAATCCTGTGACCTAATTGTTACCTGTCGTAACAGAAAGTTATATAAATCGATTTTCGTCATTTTTGGTGAGGAAAGTGGCCCATATTAGGGGGTGGCCCAGAAGTAGGGTACTAGACTTACTTTGAATCATTTAAGATGTCCTAATATATTATCATTCAAACAACATTCCAAAGAGCTACTGCACGGTTAAAACAATTTCAATACTCAAAAGGCTTTGATTGTTGGATACGATAGTCAACGCATCTTCTTACAGAAAGCGCTGGGAGAGCTAGGAGCTGGAGAAAAGAAATTGTTGGTCCAATGTTGGTCAGCATCGAATTGAAAAGCGAGATGAAGTATCGATATATATGGGACTTGTTCATGCAGTGAATGATATAGACACGTATCAGAATATTCGAATTAAGTCACAGGTATCTTAGTCTAGAGGAATATTTTATTATTATATCTGTATTAGGATAAACAGCGTCAAGCGTCAAAGTCCATCGTTTAAGCCGAGCGTCAACGTTTAACCCATCGTTCAAGTTCATCGCTGTTAAAGTTCACCGCTAAAGTTGATAGTTGACTCTTTGATACCATATTTGAGCAAAATCATCAACGAGATATTAGCTCTCCACGGCTGGTATATAGCATGGTTTAGGGCTGAAAGGGCGACCAACGGGGGGATGGTTGTTCTTGACGGAGCAGGACGTGTTTACCTAGAGTCTCACGTCAACATAAACGACATCGTTGAAACGTAACCATCAGCAATATTATCCCCGGATGGTTGTTTTCAATTCAGCTCTATTTTATTGAATTGGTGTTTTGGAATCTCATGATGTATTAGACCAAATGGTGGGTATTGATGCTCCTCACGGCATTCCTGCTTGAAACCACTCCTGTATATTCCTTTCAGTAGACTTTGGCCATGCTTGTCGATGTCCCTTACTCAATCTTCATCGTTAAATCTTTCTGAGAACATTAAGTCCACTTGGAAAGCTAGGCATTTAAGGGACATTGAGTTCATTTGGATAATTGGTTGCTTTGATAACATTAATCTTACTAAAAGTTATGAGTATATCTGGAAGGTCCAATTTGTGAAACTTTCTGTTGGGTTTCTTAAGACCAGAAAGAGTATCAGATTGAATTGATTGATTCTCTAGCTAAGCAGTTAAGCTGCGAGCATATATTCAAAAAAATGAAGGAATAGGTTGGGTATTCGGCCTTCGGAATTAAAGTGCTTTGAAATCAAAATATTGAAAGCAAACAAACAGTATACCAAAAAGGAAAGAATGAATTAAAAGTTGAGTTTTGTTTGCTCCTTATATGCATATGTACTATATATGCATATGCTGCCAAGATCCCAGGAGGTCAACACTTTCTGTCTAGCCTATGAGCAAACTGTTGCATCGAATCGCAGGAATCCTGCACAGCGAGCTTGCTAAAATAGAGGACTTGGGATCTCCATGGTCCCCTCGATCTCACGAATAATAGCATAATACTAAAACTGCTACCGAAGTGTTACGTGTATGCCCACGAACGAGATAAACTTATCCAGACCAAGGCAGTCTCACTAATTTACTTTACCCCAAAATCTCCGCAACAGAAGTCCAGACATTTTCTAAATTGCGGGCATGCCGTCCGGAGATATTTGTGAAGAATGGGGCTAGAAATTGTGATTCACGATGGATTCTAAGACCTCTTTTGCTCTTGCAGATATTCAAGTGTCAACTGATTTCCGCAACGACCGGCCCAGCATCGCCGACGCAGACTGACGTGACTAGACCTTCAGCTCTCGATCCTGAACGGCATAACGAATTGCAAAGAACATGATAAAGATAGGCAAGACTTATGTTCGCAAAGGTATTGGTAACTGTATTGTGATCTGCAAAATCGTAGCTACCATGGATGACTTGTAGAATGAGTTCCGCTTCTTCCGTAAAGGAATCATAAAACGAAGTGCATTTATATTTTCAGTAATTACTCATTGTAAGAAATTGTTGGCCATATGATGTTATATTTCGCACGAAATAATGACCTCTCAGTTGGACTGCATGGTTTGTTCTCGTCATCCGTCTGTACCCCATTTAGACCGCCCACCAACTCAATCTTCTGGAATTAAACTGAATGTACGGAGGAACCCACAAAGTTTAAGGAATAGGGTCCTTCCTGTTGGCGGGGTAGAACACTGAGGATTTTTTTAATCGACCCGCACTTAATTACTCGAAGTTGCGGAGTTGGGTCCATACTTGAGAATTCTCTGATGTTGATATTATGCCTCAGGCCACAAAGCCACCTTAGGGTAACCCGAGATGAAACCAATATTGCAACGAACAGCAATTGAAGCAAAGAAAAGTACTAATTTCCTATATTATTGGACAGCTAAAAAGAAGTGGGCTCAACATTGTAGCATAATGTGAATTTTTTGACATGAGGCTGATTGCTCCGTTATCTCCTTATTTTGAAGTTTCAATTGAGTTTCGATTAGTTAAGTTGGCGGGCGTCATAGTGCGGGAACAGCCGAGGCAGATGACAAAAGTAGATATATACGTTCATAGGGCTGCATCACAACAACAGTTCATGAGCCCACTTGGCGCAGTGGTACCGCGTAGCACTCGTATCGTCGAATTCGGAAATGCTAAGATCACTGGTTCGATTCCAGTAGTGGGCAACTAACATTTTTGCGGCTTTCTTTTGGAGTTGAGCACCATTAAGCTTATTCAACAAGGAAACAACATAATAGCTACTACCTAGTACGAATTAACTAAACCTGTTTTAAATTGTTAACGTGGTTTATCAGTAACCGGAACATATCAGTAACCGGATGTAACGATGCTGTATTGGAGGCAGCGGCTGCCTAAGGTTTCGTCTGGTTGGTTGTTATGGGTTAAGGCTTTATCACTGGTCTTCACTTGGAAGTGAAGTCGTTACTAGATCAATGTTACGAGGTTTGCCGTCTAGATCACGTGGAAGTGCTCTAGGCTCTCGAGGTGGTTTATAACTAGGCGTCAAGCAGGGACTTAAAGTAATGACAATAATGCAATTCGTAACTAATAGTAGAGTATACTAAAATGATTGATCTTGAGCATGAAGCTGTATGCAAAGGAAATCTATCTTGATTATATAGTCCTTTATGCTTCTATGATCACGTGTCTTGGTAGTTGTGTAGCCCGTCGTAACAATCAAGTAGAATGTAGGTAAACTAATTGATAATTAAATTGAGCACGAAGCTCTTAAATTATGAAACTACTTTAATTATATATTTATTATTTTTCTAAATATTAGTTATATTAATTGATTAATATAATTAATATTCTTATCTGTGACGCCTCACACCTCCGGGTCACGTGGCATGCCCCGTTTGTATTTAATCACAGGAAAACTCGTTACTTTTGTTTTCCTTTTTTTTTTCTTCTTAGTTTAGTATTTTTGTCACGATTCACCATTAGGATTGATGGTGTTACGATGGTAGCAAACTGATTAATTAGGAGAGCTTAGGCCGTGTGCAAACACGATCAGATTTCATCGAATTAGTAACGTGGTTTATCAGGACCCTGTACATATCAGGACCCTGTACACTTTTACCTCAATTATCACCTTTCAACTTCAACACGCGATTTATCAATATTTAATTATGCAAACTACTTCAAAAGAAGCTCGAATCAATTTAGCTATTGAGGCTATTCGTACATCTCAAAATTTGAGTATTCGGAAAGCTGCAAAACTCTATAATATACCTCATACTACCCTTACCTCTAGAATGAATAGAATTCTGCCTCTTATTGAACGTCGACCAGCAAATCATAAAATAACAGAATTGGAGGAGAAATCGCTTCTTCAATATATATTGGATATGGATAAAAGAGGGTTTAATCCTCGAATAAGTGATGTGGAAGATATGGCGAATTATATACTCGAAACGTAGGGTGCGAAGAAGGTTGGAAAGCTTTGGGCTCATCGTTTTGTGAAACGACATACAGAATTAAAGATGCGTTTTAATCGCATTTATGACTTTCAAAGAGCTCTCTGTGAAGATTCAGAGCTTATTGAAAGATGGTTTCGATTGGTATCGAATATGCGGGCCAAATATGGTATTCTGGATTGCGATTTCTACAACTTCGATGAGACAGGCTTTATGATGGGACAAATATCATTACATATAGTAGTTACTAAAGCTGATCGATGTGGAAAAAGCAAAGCTATACAATCAGGCAATCGAGAATGGGCTACAGCGATTATTTGTGTTGATAGAGAAGGTCATAATATATCTCCGTTTTTGATAGTAAAAGGCGAATACCATCTTTCAAATTGGTATACCGAAGGTGATTTACCATACGATTGGCTTATTAAACCTACTATCAATGGATGGACAGATAACGAGACAGGTCTTGAATGGATTAAGCACTTCAACAAACATACTGAAAGTAGGAAAGTGGGTAGATATCGAATGTTAGTGCTTGATGGGCATGAAAGTCATAAATCGCCAGCATTTCAGGAATACTGCAAGGAACACGATATTATATTACTTAGTTTACCACCTCATTCTTCACATTTAATTCAACCACTCGATATCGATTGTTTTGGTCCTTTAAAGTATTCATATAGTCGACAAATCGAGAACTTTATCAAGGCGCATATCACTCATATTACCAAAACCGAGTTCTTTCAAGCCTTCAAAGCTGCATATATCGAAGCAATATCTATATCAAATAGTAAAGCTGGGTTCCGCGGAGCTGGGCTAATCCCATTTAATCCGGAAATTATACTTTCAAAGCTAGATATTCGAATAAGAACTCCATCAAATAGATCAATATCAGCCGATCTTGATATATAGCAATCTCAAACACCTCACAATCCAACTGAAGCTCTTTCTCAATCCATTTTAGTGAAAAGTTGTATTGCTCAACATCAAGGGAGCTCACCTACTCCAATATTTAAAACAATTGCAGCTTTAGCTAAAGATACAGAGCTCTTAATTCATACGAATACGCTTTTAGCTGCTGAGGTTCATAATCTCCGCAAAGCAAATGAAGTACTTAGTAAACGCTGGAGAGCTAGAAAAGCTTTAATACGAAAAGGAGGAGTACTTTCAGTAGAAGATGGGCATGATATATTAGAACAAGAGAATGTAGAAGATCAGATACGATGCGATGAATTTACAAATGGTGATTCTTCAGCAAGGAGGCAAGCTACTATACGACGATGTAGCAAATGTGGTAGTGCTTCACATAATGCACGAACTTGTCAATTAGATCCAGCATTAGTTGATCTTTGAATTGTATGTAATTTAATTCTAATTTATAGTATTGTTGTAATTTTATTTCAATGGAATGTGGGCAATTGAGGTAAAAGTGTACAGGGTCCTGATATGTACAGGGTCCTGATAAACCACGTTATGTGATCTTGGTCACCTGAAGATCGTATGCGCACGCACCATCAGAAATCGCGTGATAAGGAGTCTTGAGGAGCCAGAAAGCTTCTAGGGGCCCCCTTTATTGTTCAGTATATAGTCAGAGTAGTTTCATAGTTTAGGAGCTTCGTGCTCAACTTAGTTATCAATTAGTTTACCTACATTCTACTTGATCTAGTAACGACTTCACTTCCAAGTGAAGACTAGTGATAAAGCCTTAACCCACAACTACCAACCAGACGAAACCTCAGGCAGCCGCTGCCTCCAGTACAGTATCGTTACATTAAGATGCCTACACGCGTAGTAATATAGTCAATATAGAGGCCTCTTCCACCCAATATTTTAATATTTATATTATCAAAACCGAGTTCTTTCAAACCTTCAAAACTATATATATCGAAATAATATCTATATCAAATAATAAAGCTAGGTTCCGCGGAGTTAGGCTAATCTCATTTAATCCGGAAATTGTACTTTCAAAGCTAGATATTCGAAGAAGAACTCTATCAAATAGATCAATATCAGCCAATCTTAATATATAACAATCTCAAATACCTTATAATTCAACTGAAACTCTTTTTCAATTCATTTTAATGAAAAGTCATATTACTCGATATCAAAGGAGCTCATATACTCCAATATTTGAAACAATTACAGCTTTAGCTAAGGGTACAAAGCTCTTAGCTTATACAAATACACTTTTAACTGTTAAGGTTCATAATCTCCATAAAGTAAATAAAGCATTTAACAAATATCAAAAAGTTAGAAAAGCTTTAATATGAAAAGAAGAAATATGTTCAATAGAAGATAAGTATAGTATATTAGAACAAGAGAATGTAGAAGATCAGATACGATGCGACAAATATATAAATGATGGTTCTTTAGCAAGAAGGCAAGCTATTATACAACGATATAGTAAATGCGGTAGTACTTTACATAATATACGAACTTGTCAATTCGATCCAACATTAATTGATCTTTAGATTGTATATAATTCAATCCTAATTTATGGTGTTGTTGTAATTTTATTTTAATGGAATGTGGGTAATTGAGGTAAAAGTGTTCCGGTTACTGATAAACCACGTTATAGCATACTTTATTTTAAGAGTCGAATCTCTCAATTTTGCCGCTAAACCAGCTTTCGGCAGGATTTTTACTGGAGCGACTCTTACCAGTACCAGCAGAATATGAGTTGGCACCTCACGTCTTCAAGTATTTCTCTGACTCTTCGGAGACTCTCGGCCTAGAATGGCGGAAACAACTCTAAAAGAAGTTCTGATATCGATCTTTCCAACATCCTTAATATGCCTCGTCGTTCATAGCCACAGTCGACGGGATTAGATAATGGGAAAAGGCAACCATCGAGGCGTAAGTGTCCCTCCAACAGCGCGACCCAATGCTTCTCGGCTATAACTCCCAGTTGGGTGACTTTAAATGGATATTGGCAGCAGCAGAGCCAAGAAGAAGAGGGAAGCCAGCCTGGAATCAAGGAATCTCAGTCGGCGGAGAATGAAAGAGCTAAAGCAAATCAGAAGGAGGATCTCTGTTCAAGCTCGCCCAATGTCCATTTCGAGTCGGTTTGCGAGTATTGAGCTCTTCAAAGCTATACTTAACTGGGAAAATGTCTACTTGAGAAATTCCTCAAGAAATTAGAATTATATCAAAGATCACACTTGGATTTTGATATTACCCAAGTTCCGCGCCAAGACACACGATAAGGACAGTGAAGCTGGTGTTATGGGCTATAATTACAAACCAAATTTCAGTTTTGCCCTTGAAAATCCTAAACTCAAGTTACATTTTCCTCCCGCCCCATTTCTCTGCCGGTTGTTTCACCCAACTTTACCCTACATTCCACACAACCGAGCGGAGACCAAGCCCATGATCTCATACTCAGTAGCTCTCCGAGCTGACAACCATACTGCTAACAAAGAATCAGTCGCAATACCACTCAGACCAGGCAAACCACGCCTATCCACGACACTTGCGGAACTGGAAGCAGAATGGGAAGAGGTGCCAGTAAACGCAGGAAGAATGTACGCCGAGACCAAAGCAAAAATGATGGCGTTCTTAATGAGGGCGAAGTCGGGAGCCGGAGGGAAGGTTCAACCCAAAGAGAGGGTGGGTGCTTGGAACGTAAGAAGATGAAGGCGGCTTAAAGGAGATTGAGAAACCGTCTTCGAAAAGGGCCAAAATTAAGGAAGTCAAAGAATAAACCAAGCATCTAACAAAATCAGCAGAACCAGCAAAACCAGCAAAAATTGCACTCAAAACAACTGAGCCGACTGGCCGAAGAATCGAGCTCGGATGGAGGAGACAACCTGGTAGACATCGTGAAGCCATCGGATGCGTTTAAGGCAAAACCGGCAGAGACAACTGCCGGAGGAGCTTCAACCGCAAAAACCGAGCTCACAGGCAGCAAGAAGAGGTGGCAAGAAGCCGAGAGATTAGGCTTGAGCAGACTAAACCGGCCGCAATGTGAGCTCGCCCGAACCCAGGATTATCGGAATGAGAAATTACAGGAAGCCAGGAGATTTCAAAGAACGACGTTTACGTGAAGAGGTCAGTTGACAACCCAGCCTGGTCGAAAAGACTCCTGATATAAGATTAATGCCATCTACAATCTATTCAACCCTTTTTTGATACCTTGGATGTATAACAACACAAAATGTTTTCTAAACCGATTTAGTTATAAACGAATAGTAACACTTTAGCTCCTTTTAGGAACAAAAATATATATCTCACAAAGACGTTGGCCGATATGTATTAAGACGGCTAGATCTTGCAAGAATGTGAGAATGTTGATTGGCACCACAGGGAACCGAGCAAGGAATTGATAATTTATGGACGAGGAACAGAATGATCCGGCCAAGGGAACACACAACCGGGATCAAGAAGCACTGGAGGCCATAACCTTGGTGAATGAATGGGACCGAGCACTTACAAGAACTGACGGAGGGACAGGACGGATGGCTAGGATTCTCAGTATACTTAGCGCATCCAGCACAAGATCCTCATGCATTTTTAATGTACAGCGGATTCTGAAAGGGGTTCAACCGACGGATCAGATAACCAGCGGAGGGATGGCGTTCAAACGACACATCAGAGAGCCGAGGGAGGGTAGTCTTAGGATAACCGGTAGTTGTCCTGTGACCGGGGAATCTTGTGGAGGTAAGAAATGACCACCTTTGATCACATAATTTTTCATCGGATAAGGCTATAAAGAGTTCTCCAGGTAGCTAGTTTTAAAATATCATTCATTTTCCATTTAGTGCTAGAATTCTCACCCTCGCAGTAGTGAGGTTCATATTAGTGTTTCAGACCGGTGCCAGAATAACCTTTGCGTCCAAGCAGTCTTGTTGGTCCGTGCATTTGTTCAATGTAGTCTTTCTTACATAATTAATTATATTAATGATGTCAAATAATGCGAACTTCATTCCATCTCTATCGTTGTCTTCTCTGGGAAACCTCTTTCTCTGTATTGCTGCATCGCACTGCTATCATCAACCGTTCGCCTGCATATCCTTATGTAAAGGTCAACCCGAGTTCCTACCTTTCTCACTACACTCCGCGCGCTGCTCCACACTTCCACGACTTTACTTTTCTACCCGCATGGCTGTCCGCTTCTGATAAAGGTGGGAAGTGCACATAGCAATGCCTCTCCCACCAAGGCTTTTCCACGGCGATGTGGAATTGGGGAAACGAGATGATGATCATAAGCCTGGCTCGAATGTGCCACTAGGATTGGCTTGGAAACATCGAAAGCCACATGTTCAACGTCGATCGATTAAGAAGATTATATTATGTTTATTGGTTGGAATCGGGATCTATTACTTCTATAAGAATATGCCGACAGATCTTCAAAATCCGCGACAGAGACCTCATTATACTCAGACTGGAGCGGCACCTGCAAAAGCTGGCCCGAAAGCTCCCTCTTCCCAACCGAATCCAAATCATGTCTCGAAAACAAAAGATGGTGAATCTGCCGAGATAACTGGGCATGACTACAATGGTCCCATTAGATTCTATCAATTGGCTACAACTTTACATGCGATGTCGAGGGTCAAAGGTTCTGATCCTGTAAACAATAATGTGGTATGTCCTTGGCCGGAACCCAACGTCATTGTTTCACTACTAACGGTTTCTTAGTTATTCGCAGCTTCGAGTTTGAAAAGCGCTTCAACTTTATTACCTATTGCATGCGAAATGGCTTTGAGAGAAAGAAATTATGTACATTTTGCGTTCATGGGAAGGGATGATATTCCTATGGACATATTGAAGTCCGTTAATGGTATTAATAAGGATTGCCAGATTTTCTTTCATGGTATGAAATCATCTAAATGGTTTGTTGCATGTTTCTGACATGATTAGATGCACGACCCGACTATTCTTTACAGAGCTCAGATTTTCGAATGGAAGTTAGTTGTTCTGCTGGTCTTAAGCATATCAACTCCTTTGTCCACCCACAAGCTGTTATTGTCGATGCATCTGGGGATGAGAATGATTACTTGATCTCGGCGTTTAAGACCCGAGCCAATGCACTAGACATAACCCTGATTGAACTCCCTGCGAATGTTGAACAAAATCTTATGTGGATTGTTCAATTGGATAGTGCCTCATTGAGTGGTAAGTGCATCTCTGAAGGAAAGCATGTGTCCATTTGGCTAATGATCATAGCTTGGACCAAAATCAGTATCGATGTAATCGTTCACGCGCAGCCAGAAAGATCTGGATCCTTAATTAGGTTACTCACATCTCTCAAGAATGCCGATTATTTTTCCAGCAATGTACCACGATTAACGATAGAATTACCGCACGATGTGGAGGAACCTACCAAGCGATTTCTTTCAAAATTCAAGTGGCCACCAAGCCGTAGTCAAGGCGAGAGTAGTCTCCTGACACTTCGTCATCGAATTCCACAACACGGACTTACTGCAGAGGAAAATTCGATTAAATTCATGGAATCATTCTGGCCTGCAGATCCTATGTTCGCCCATGTCCTTGTTCTCTCTCCCCAAGCCGAACTTTCGCCTCTCTATTTCCATTACCTCAAATTCGCGCTATTAGAGTACAGGTACTCTTATAATAGAGCGGTGGCTCAAAAGGATTTGCTTGGGATAAGTCTTGATCTTCCAATCACTTATCTCAATGATTCAACGGAATTTACTCCACCCAAATCAACAAGTACAAAACCTAGTCCATTTTTATGGCAAGCTCCAAATAGTAACTCTGCTCTTTATTTTGGAGACAAATGGATGGAACTTCATGATTTCACAGCCAGAACGATGTTTTCCCAACATAGCTCACATCCACCAACTTCTTTGGGTAATAACTACGTCAGTAAAACATATCCATCATGGTTAGAGTATGTCCTCAAATTAGCGAGCACACGCGGCTACTGGACTCTTTATCCCCATTTTGAGAGCTGGGATGCTCTATCTACAATCCATACAGATCTTTATACACCGCCAGAAGAGTACATGAACAATCCGGATGAGGCAATGGATTTCACAGCAAACTCAGCTGAACATCTATCTTTAAAACATAAAGACAAGCCATTGATAAAAGGTTCCCTACAAACGCTTCTATCGGATTTACCTGTCGAACTTTCCGAGATGCAAATGATTGGCTGGGATGGCGAGGATATTGACAACGAAGTGCTACAATTACGAGCCAAGGAATACAGTCGAATTTTCCGGCAAGAAATCGGAGGATGTGCCACTGGAGTTGCAGGAAAGAAAAGAGTTCATATGCTGGCAGAGGACTTATTTTGTTCAGGGGATGAGCCATTGGAGTCTTTGGAATCTGTTGCGCCAATACCACTTAAGGCAACTTCCGCCTTGGAGTTAAAGGACACTACCGGTACTAGCAAGACAGCCACAAAAGTCGATGGTGTGGTTAGTAATGTAGATAAGTCTTCTACTTAGTGTAGGTAAAGCCTGCTTTATGTCATTTCCATGGTGGGAATATCCCGATGTGTACAAAACGAACTTTCACACGATTTTAAGGAGAACCAATGATAGAGAAGTTCTTTTCTTCTCTACGGTGATCGGTGTTTATGAGGCTCTTTCATGCGCACGCTTGGATTACTATTGGTCGTTGCAAGTACGGAAGATTGTCCGAAATGCCAAGCACAAAGAACATATGATATGATTCTCGAAGCTACCCAGGCACCAATGTCGGTTTACTCCTAATTCCTTTGATTTCTCCTTCGATATTTTGGAGCTTTTGAAAGAAGAAATGATCCGATTACTAACGAGGAGAGTTTCCTATCATAAAGGAATAATGTTACATCTCTGACTTCATTGGTAGTGATCTCGTGGTAAATTCAATTCTTTGTTGAATAATCCTTGGAACATGGAGAAATCTAAATTTAAGCTCGAGACAAGACGATTGACCATAAGCTTTCCTGGGGATCTCTTAGTTCTACTCACTCGTTGCCCTATCTATCTAGTAGATATGGCAGTACGAGGCTCCTCTCATTTTGACGAGTTCGATTCGCTAGGACTTCGGATGGGATTACTAGGCTCTTCCTTTATTGAAGATTCTCATATGCTTCTTGTTTGAGGGAGTATCAGTGTACTCTCCATTTGACAGCAGCATCCGTTTCATTTCATTGATAGATCGAATTTATATATAGTCGCTCACTCTAGTCACCTCACCTGAACCAGCAAACGTATCAGATAAACAACTTATAGAAGTAAGATATCATTAAAGTCTCATCATAAAGAATGGTAGAGCAAGTACGTCGTGGAACTACATCGCCATGTCGTGGCAGGTTCTTTGGCAGATCTCTTGGTTTGATAACAGATCTCCCACCACCTCACCAACAGCCTTGCTACCCTCACTATATTCAAAATCCTCCAAACTTGCTCAATCCTGCCTACCCCGTATCTGTCTCCACTCTACCACAGTACAACCAGATTAATTCTCTTTCCGCCCTCCCCTTGACTCAGAACCACCTCTTTGCAGCTCCACAGCCTCAACCACTTCAAAACCAACTCCTCAATCCAGAACACCATTATTTACTTCTATCTCTTTCGAGGGAAAACTTGAAAGCACTTTCTCTTCGACAAAAAATCGCGGCAACGGAAGCGAGCCTTTCTTCTCTTCAACTCGCTTCTGGAGTCGATAGTCCGAGTATCGCAGCACCTTCTTCTGCCATCTCTAGCCCTTTAATTTCCATATCTACACAAGTACCCACGCGCCGCAAACTGAAAAAACAAATTTCATGGTTGAAATGCCGTATCAAGGAGTGTTCGCGACAGGGAAGGATTATAACAGAGAGGCTACATCAAATTGGCGAGGAAGAGGAGAGAAGGTGGCGCTGGATGCAGATTGCACGGCAGACGAGAATTAATGAGGGAATGCTCGAGTGGCAGAAGGGGTATTGGGATTCTTTCGTTCGCTGTGGGACTGCGGCAGGGTATGGACATGGTTATGGACATGGATATGGATACGGACATGGACAAGAGGATGGGCACTTGAATGCTAATACGCCTGCGTTTCAACCGGTAGCTAGTGGTGTTAGTGCGCATGGCTCGGGATCGCACTGGTCATCTGCTATAAGCAAACAATCCAACGAATTTTGGAATACAGACGCCCCTGTTTTTTCACCAGTAAATTTCTTTGCGGCGTCCTCTTCACCGCAAAATAGTCAAGAAGTGGAAAGACTGAGTAGGGGATGGGATGAATGTGATTTATCACCTTTAGCGGAAGAAAGGGCTGGGTCGGCTGAGGGATGGACTACGGAACTAGGAAATCAGGAAGCCGAGAAAAAAGGAGAAGAAGATGATGAGACGGAAACGGGAGAAGGTTCAGGTTTAGGTTTTGGGGAAGGGGAAGGTGGAGATTTTGCAATAGAAACAGCTATCACAACACCTACGCCCCAACAAAGTGCGAGGATGACGCCGACGGCTGCTGCGAAAAGTTGTAATGATGTGAAATTGGCCTTCTGCGATGGAACGTGGGGGGATGAAAAGGGGTGTATGGATGTATGGGAGCGGAGGGGCGATGAGATGGACGGAAAGGATAGAGAGGAGGGTAACGGGAGGAGATCTTCGTTTTTGTATATGAAAGATGAGGTGTTGGGTGAGAGGAAATGTAAAAGTTTACCTTGGGTGAGTAGTAAGAGGTTGATTGAGGTTTGTGCAGGGAAGAAAGAGGGGGAGGGGAGGGAGAAGGGGAGAACTAGCGAAGAAGAGGATGGAGGGGAGTCGTTAAGGGAGAGGAATGGGGTTGATCAGGTTTGGTGAAGTTACCTTTTTTGGGGATGAGATGTTTGTAGGGGGTTTGTAAGATGGTACAGGTTTTGAGAGTGGTTTTTGAGAGTGGATGAGAATGAGTAGTAGAGTAGGTAGGGGTGAAAAATGAAAAATCGTGTTTGCTGTATGTAGGTAGGATTACCTAAAATCGGAGATTATATATATGCTTTGTTCGATGTTTTTGAAGCTTTTGGACATACTTTATGTAGAATGTACGTAAAATTGTATACAAGGAAGGTTCTTTGTAATTTACAGTGTTATCCCATCACAGAAATTGATTGCAAAGGAGATTCTCGTGATACATGTATGTATATGTATGGTATTGATTCATTGATGTAGGTAGGTAGATAAAAGTAACACCCACCTAATTCCTCAGATTGATCTCCACCCTCTGAACTCCATTCCGATCTTTGAGCGCCTTGAATATTGCTCCATTGTAGCCTATTGAAATCCCTTGCTCTGTGAATTTGCTTGATTGAGCTTTCTTAGAAGCTTTAATGATGACAGGAGACTTAGTTCGACAATGCTACTACACTTTTCCTCAACTCAACTATGGCTGCCAGGTTTCTACTGGTTGTTTCATCACAAGGATGACAGAATCAGATCTTGGATATCTCATCAGTTTGGATCAAGAATAAGACTGATTCGTAGAGCTTCCATGGCCAAAATTCCTTCCTAGTTTTGCTCCTTGTCTCTCCCGAATCTTGACATCCATCTGCCTACCTTGTTAAGTCTTGACGTTCACTATTTCTCTATTGAAATTCTCCAAACTCCCCATCATCAAATCCTAGCTCCTCAGCTGATGGTTCCGGTAATGAAGGAGCTTCCATATTATTCTGACTTAATCTTTTCTGAGCCTTAACTTCCTGGGCACTAGGCGGCGGTGGTAAAAACGACCCCATGCTCGCACCAACCGGCGGAGGCGGCAAAGAAAACCCACCCAACCCTCTCTCAGACTCCTCACTCTTCCTCGGAGTCCTCCTCCCTGCACCCCTCCCTCCAATATTAACCGTAATCGTCTCACCCTCCTTCAAACTAAAGTCCCTCTTCACCTCCGATTTCTCGGATTCCTTCTTCATCCCCGCAGCTATAGGTTTTCCTCCTCCTCCTTGCTCCTCTATCCCTAACGTCTTCCTCACTTCTTGCAACGCCACACTAAAATCAAACGCTTCCGATCTCTCCTCAAATCCTATTCCGAGGACCGCTTTCCTTCCTCCTTCACCCTGGACTCTCACTGCGAAAAATCGCGAACTGTCCAATACCTGTTCTACCACTTCTGTTACCGTGTATGGAGCCGCGGCGAATAATTGTCCATTGCTTGGATCTTCTAGTAATATGTCTGCTTTGACTTTATCCTCGCCATTTTTATCTGGGATTGCGGTTTCCAGAATGCGAATTCGTGCAGTGAAGATTTGCCGTTTGTTGTTGTCTGCTGTCCAGGTGGAGGCTACGTAGCCTTTGTTGGAGGTGAGCGGTGGGATGTTGTAGATGTGAACTGAGGTTGCGATGAAGAGGATTCGTTGGAGGGCGTCGGTTGGTAGAGGTTTACCTGTAGCGGGGTCGATAGTTTCCATGATTTGGAGGAGAGTCGGTTGGGCTGTCTCTTTTTGGCTGGTGGATTTCTTATATCATTATCAGGAGAATAAATTAAAATCGGTTGAATTAATTCATTTCTTTATGAAGTTTTGTAACGTTGTCAAGATCAATAGCGATAGTTTTGCGTTTATACATTTGAACGAGTAGTGTAGTTAGTTGCTAGTTGCTAGGTATTCGGCCTTCCCCACAGCCTATCGTTGTATCATAAGGCTACACGTGAAGTCATCTATGATTGGCTGATAGATACCCCGGTCACCATTTCATTGTTTGATAATACTTGGATTAGATTGGATTGGAAGACATCAATCAAGTTGTATCGCAAACAAATTCATGACTCTATTGATGTTCCATATATTGAGTAAATTTAAGAAATATCTACTCTTACATAAGTTTCAAATCTTCACTAAATTCCAAGATTCCTCATCCCACACACCTAATATGGATCCAGAACCAGGTTCGTAAATCCAGAAAATGTCCATGCGATTAATCAACTATTATTCCTCTAGCTTTGGCGCCGTCAAAAATACATTTCGTAGTGCGTCACAGCCTTGCTAACAAAATTTCCCCTCCTCAATAGCGACACCTCTTTTCGAAGAAAGCTTTCGAAGTACCACTCCACCAGCACTCCCCGGACATCCTCCTGCATTGAAGAAAATGGCTTCCATAGGAAATATTCCCCAAAAGAAAGATTCCAAGCAATTCGAGTACATATCTCTCCCTGAACCCAATTCCCAAAGAACCCCTCACTGACTCATAATCTCTGCATTATTAGTATAGTAGAAACCTACCACCGACTTCTCAACGATGATCCCGATGTTACCATGCCCGTCGCTGCAATCGAAGCACTTATTGAACTTCTCGCTTCCTCTCGCGCCGTCACCGTTTACGAAACCCTCGATTTAGTTAAAACCCAATCGGATTATTTGAAATCCCGAATTCCCAATTCCATATCATTATCTGCTGGAACGGATTTATTTCAACGTTATATGATACAATCTTTAAAACCTTCCAGTACGGGCAATTTTGAAACTGTTCGACAGCATCTTTTGAGTAATGGAAGATTGTTCGTTACGAGAGCGAAGCAGGCTAGATATACGATAGCTACCTATGGGAGAAACTTTATTAGGGATGGGAGTGTGGTGTTAACTCATGGGGGAAGTAGAGTTGTTGGGGCTCTATTGGATAAAGCGGCCGAGGCGAGAGCTACAGGTGGAAATGTTAGATTTAATGTCATTTATGTTATGAATGATGCGAGGAGTTCGGAGAGTAAAGCAGTCGTTACATCATTAAGAGCTAAAGGTGTACCAGTTGCTACGATATCAGAAGGAGCTGTAGGATACGCTATGGGGAAGGTTGATTTGGTTATTGTTGGTGCCGAAGGGGTGGTAGAAAATGGAGGAGTCATTTCGAGATTGGGAACATATCAAATTGCGCTATTGGCAAAGGCGGCAGGGAAACCTTTCTATGTAGCGGCCGAAAGTCATAAGTTTGTACGATTATATCCTTTGGGACAATATGATCTTGGGATAGATCAGGAGATTATCGATTTTCGTACTGAGGATGATACTGAGGAGAGACCTGGGGATCAAACTCCAACGACTGAGGAGAGGACGGAATATTTTGAAGCAGAAAAGATTGAGATATCAAAATTGGGTGCTGTTGATCCAGTTGACTTTACGGTAAGTAATTTCCATTGAGATTTTGATATATTACTGATTATTTCACAGCCTCCCGATCTGATCTCAGCACTCATCACGGAATCGGGAGCTTTGACTCCAAGTGCTGTTAGTGAGGAGCTGATTAGTTTATGGTATTGAGTTATTTGTGGTAGAGTAGGAAGAGGAAACTACGCAATTAGCAAGCCCATCTCGCATACCCAATGATTCCATGGCGTCAGGAGTACAAAACAATTTTACCGATAGGATAGTTGATGAACGAACGATAGGCCATTAGAGATGAGATGATACGATACCCATAAACGTCCTTCTGAGTATGATCAGATGATTTCTGATATTGTTGTTAAATATAGTCGAGGCTCGAGGGGCCGATTGGATGATTTTCGAGCCAGGATTGTTTACCTAGGTGTGGAGAGATACGGATGTATATAGCTAGATTTTCGCTGGGATTTTTGTAGAGGTTGATAGATATTCATCCATGAGTGGGTGAGTGATTTGAGAGGAGAAGAGCAAAGGAGAGAAGAGGAAATCCAATTGGTGCGGAAATTATATCATGAATACTAGGTATATATATATATACGGAAGTAAATATATAACTTGCGTAGGTAGTAATACTTATTCTTCAATCTGCCAAGCGAGTGTTGCGAGTATTATTTCTTATAGTTTGATGGGTATATATATGAGTTTGATTTGACGATTTTGATGATTTTGACGAATTTATATAAGAGTTTTACTACGAATAATTATGGTAAGATTATTTCAGGGTCAAATAATGAATGTATGATTGGGGTGTTATCTGTTATTAAATGAGTTTGTAGGAGGCGGGAGGCGGGAGGCACGGAAGATGAGGGATGGATGGATGGATGGATGGATGGTGAAGATGATACTGGAGTTGGAGTTGGGGCTGGGGCTGGGGCTGGAGAGGAGTTGTGTGGTGTATAAAATATGTGTTATATGGGATGGATGTGGTCAGCACTATTTTGGGGAGGCTTTGGTTTTTGGGGTTGGTTTTCGTTGAGAAGATCTTGTAGATTTCTATGTGGAGATATCGGTTGAGCTTTGGAGGTTATGAAGATTTCTGGATTATTTTTGTGCTAGAGAGGATCTACGTATAATTGATTCCGACTCTCTTGATACCACGTCATTCTCTGATATAGCCTGTCCACTCTCAGCAATATCTTTCTTGGTTCCTCCTCGCTCTTCCTATGAACATAGTAACTGCCGTAGTGATTTTCTACAATCACAGCCTTCTAACGCACAATGATGAGATTGTCTGCGGATAGAGAAATGCTCTCGTCATTTATATAGCCATAAGCATCGTCGTACTCGTGGGTTTAATTTTTGTTGTGATAAGCTTAACTATGATTGCTTCATGAAAGCATCGACAAAGACGTGTACAACACGCAGGATAGATGTTTTAGAGGCCGGGAGCTAGAACTGAAGCACCACCCGATACAGTTGGATATGTTGTTTATTTGCCGGCTCATTCTTATGAGCCTGTGAGGGGGGAAATTTGATGTTGCTCGACCATCACCAATATCGTAGAACTGACATTTGCGCGTGTATCGAGGGATGAGAATGTGGCTTCTAGCTTGGGTCTCGCTGTGGTATGATACCTATGTGTCGATGTTTACACAATGAGGTACATAATGATGGCATTAATGGAATGTCTCGCTTGCTGGTCTGCAATTGATGTCATTCAATAGAATACTGGTTGACTTCCAATTTAGATCGAATACCCCTCCACTGTCTCTGAACTTTTGTCGACTTATATGGAAGCGCTTTAGTAGTGCGCGCGACATCGCGTCCGGGAAGAGTGGTTGCAAACTGCTTCATCCAGAAACATCAATGTAGAACATCCAACAATCTAATCTTTCATACATGAGGTAAGAAATGTGGTTTGAATTTCTTGTTCGTTCGATCAGCTGCTCGGTACATGAATTGTTCACCATGTAACTCGAACACCAAATCTTTGGTCGATTTTCCATCCTTCTCTGACTTCATATCGCCGTTGGCCACCTGGGTTGGTATCGTAAATTTGAAAATAGTATTTTCCTTCGGCAGAACCTTCAAATCATTATTCTTCGTGATAATCTCAAAAACTCCCTTGGAATCTTTAATCACAATTCCCTTGACACCGACCCTACCCACACACCTACTTCTCACAACCTCAAGTTCCGCTCCATGATAGTCGGCACTACATAATTTAGCAGCTGCAGGTCCAGTAACTGGCATACAGTTTTCCCCTCCTAACACTTCCGAAATGTATCCCAACCACATTTTATGTAAAGGTTCGTAAATGCTGTATTTTTGTGCAGATTTGGGTACATCGTATAGACATAAAGCACGCTTCTCTCTAGCTGACAGCGGGGCGGGCTTCAATTTCTTCTTACGTAGAGCAAGTTTTCGCTGTCGCTCGAGGCGACGATGTTGTTGTTCATTGTTTGGTTCTGTAGGTTTGAGGTGTAATGGTCGCTGTTTTATTTTCTCAGTGAAGATTCTGTTCGTAGTATCAGGAGAATGCGCTCGCGATAATAATTGAGTCGCGATGTTATTATCTTTCGATGCCATCTTTGGGGATTTGTTCCTGATTGAATTTGTCGCAAAGTATTGAAGAAGCCTATATTCCTAGAATTCACATGCTAAAAAAAAGTTCTAGATCGTAAACGCTAAACTATTTTTGGTGACCCCAGATTCCGCCGGTGCCTTTCAAGGGTGATGGCGCGCGCCCGGAATGCCTCACCGAGGCTTAAATATTTAGTCCTAAACAATGCTTCAAAAATAAGCTTCCGACAACAATGCATGTGTTTGGCTACGGCAATTAATGATCCTATGCGACAATGATCATTTCATAACATCATCACCTTTTGAATATCGACAAATATGGCAGATACTAAAACCTCATCTCCTCCAAGGACTTCTGCTCCTGATCTCGAAATCCTAGGTGATCAAGTAACATTACATCCTAGTGGTTATATCGAACCTCCGGAAAGACCTCACGATGGCGAGAAAGAAAGGAACCTGGTGGAGCATATGGCCAGATTCAGGTCAAGTCCTTTGGAGTTTTTAAGAGAGGTTTCTTTGCATGTTTCAGGAGTAAGTACTTTCATCAATTGAAATGCGTTGTCCATTGCTAACCTCCGACATTCTTCTAGACAGGATGGCGTGCCTACGATCATTTCATCGGACAACCTATATTCTACCCTGGATTCTCGGAAAATATGACAGCTGCCGTTATGTCTACGCCTATCTTACAAAAACGAATAACTGAATTGGCGGAGAAAAGGATAGAGATTGAGGAGCTGGAAGGATTATTGAATAGAGATGACCCATTATACCATACGAAAAGATCACAGAGGAAGTCGGCCATTGAACATAGTTTGCAAGAGCTTTCGGAAAAGTTGACAAGTGATATGATTTGCAAGATGGAGAGTAGGCCATTCATTAGAGGAGCCTATTACCTGTGCACTCAACTCTTAACCAGAGCATATCATCAAGGTAAGGATTGCGATAATGATCTGACGAAAATCTTTACTAATAACTATGTAGGTATACATGTTTCTAGTGAGGAAGTTCTCAGATTACGAAATGTTGCTGAAAAAGCACAAAAGGACAAAACATCCATCATTTTCCTTCCATGTCATAGATCTCATGTAGACTATGTTTCTTTACAATTAATTTGCTATCGCCTTGGTATAGCTTTACCAACCGTCGTGGCCGGTGACAATCTGAATTTCCCTATAGTGGGGAGCTTTTTACAACATGCAGGTTAGTCAAAATCCCATAACAGTCTTAACATATATTAATTTTATAGGCGCTATGTGGATAAGAAGAAGTTTTGGGGATGATGCATTGTATACAACTCTTGTACAATCGTATATAGATACTCTTCTCCAAGGCGGTTACAATTTTGAGTGCTTCATCGAAGGTGGAAGATCAAGAACTGGAAAGTTATTACCACCCAAGTTTGGTATTTTGAGTTTTATCTTGGATAGTATCCTTTCCGGTCGAGTTAAAGATACTATCATTTGTCCTGTCAGCACTCAGTATGATAAGGTCATCGAAACCGAAGGTTATGTTGGGGAATTGCTTGGAATTCCAAAGAAAAAGGAGAATTTAGCAGACTTTCTCTCAGCGTCATCAGTTTTATCTTTAAAGTTAGGTCGCGTGGATGTTCGATTCCATGAACCTTGGAGTCTACGAGATTTTATCTTACAACAACAAGCTCGATCGTCAGGGGTGCCAAAAACGCTTGACTTTGAGAGTATTAATGTGCCTAGTGTTCGACAAAAGTTACTGAGAACGTTGGGTTACAAGGTTCTATCTGATATCAACGCAGTCTCAGTTGTCATGCCTACTGCGTTGGTCGGAACAGTTCTATTAACTTTGAGAGGCCGCGGTGTTGGTAAATCAGAACTTATACGCCGAGTCGAATGGATTAGTGAACGAGTTAGAAATAAGGGAGGGCGCGTAGCTCATTTTGCTGGCGCTACTACATCTGCCGTGGTTGAGCGAGCTCTTGAGGTTCTTGGTAAGGATCTTGTAGGGAGGGTGGATGGCTTGGCGGAAGAAACATACTATGCCGTTGACCGATTCCAATTGTCTTTCTATCGAAACATGACAATACATCTATTCATATCTGAAGCACTAGTTAGTGCCAGTATGTATATGAATGTAAAACGTGGCGGAGGAAAAGTTCATCAAAATATATCATACGAAGAACTTCGAAACCAGGTTCAATTCCTCTCACAACTCTTCCGAGGTGAATTCATCTATCCGACAGAAGGATTAGCCGTTAATCTGGACAACACTCTACACGATCTGGAAGTAGATAATATCATTGAACTCGACCGAGATCCAGAAGGGAAGATTTTGAATATTGGTATATCTGACCACGAACGTTCTGTTGGACGTGAGAATTACGATTTTTACTGTTTCTTGATTTGGCCATTCATCGAAGCATTTTGGCTTGGTGCTGTTTCTCTCATGGGCTTTACACCACCTCCAAACAAGCCAGATGATGTTTGGCTGGAGGTCAAGAAAGCTCATGATGGGTCTCAACTAGTAAGTTCATATTAATGCAACCCATAACTACCTCGCTAACAAAATCAAGCTTGGCAAAACTCTTTATCACCAAGGTGATTTATCCTACTTTGAAGCCGTCAATAAGGAAACACTTAAGAATGCATATCAACGATTCGAAGATGAAGGTATTGTAATAGTATCTAAGAGTAAAATCACCAAGGTCCAGCCACGAGCTCGACTTGCCCCAGAATGGACACCAAACCGAAGCCCAGAGACTGGTATGATTATGGCAGAAGGGAAGTTATGGGATTTTATTGAAAAGATTGCAAAGTCAAGGAGAGAAGGAAAGAATAGGCGAGATGGAGCAACTGTATCAACAAGAGTTTTAAGACTTGCAGATGAATTGGGTCAGAGGCTATTTGCCGAAGGATCGGGGATGATAGGGATGTCGGAGGAGGATAAGAAAGAATTACTAAGGAGGGAGAAGAGAAGACAGTCTTTGACAGCTAGAGCACATTTGTGATATATGTTTGTGTGTATTGTACTTGATACCAGGGATTTAATTGAGATATTTATAGGATACCATTGATCTAGTAAGCGAGTATTATCATGCAACCTAAGGGTATTTGATTGAGAATAGTAATTTGGAAACAGAACAATCATGGCGCTTTCCACAGGCTGTCTTGGCATTCCGTTGAAGATTAAAAGTCTGATAGTCCGCTTCTTTTCATACTCATGTCATGCTTCTGTTCACACTAGCCTGTATGTATGCTTCGACTTTCGTTAATGTGATGTTCACAGTGATGAAATTCATGTCTCTTAATACTTGCTTCGTACAACAAACACACTTTCCATTTCTCCGTATAGGCAAAATCGTAAGTCTTGCCTCTTTTCACTTATATATGCATTCTGCATAGTCTCACAGAGTCTCTAAATTGGATGTTATAAGGAGTTTCGAGCTCGTCTCCGGTTTTCATAATTTCGTGTGAATAAAAAAACGAGAAAATAATGAATGATGTAGAAGTATTGGGTTTCTTGAGACCAGAAAGAGCATCAGATTGAATTGATTGATTCTCTAGCTAAGTAGTTAAGCTGCGAGTATATATTCAAAAAATGAAGGAATAGGGTTAGGTATTCGGCCTTCGGAATTAAAGTGCTTTGAAATCAAAATATTGAAAGCAAACAAACAGTATACCAAAAAGGAAAGAATGAATTAAAAGTTGAGTTTTGTTTGCTCCTTATATGCATCATGCAATATATATGCATATGCTGCCAAGATCCCAGGAGGTCAACAAGAAGAATAGGAAGGTCGGCATTTGAGTTGTCAATCTGCTAGGAATTAGTGTAATATTACACTGAAGTATTCAATTATAAATAGAGGAATGCATATTCAGAACCTGTGGAAAGTAGTTGTCTGGTTCATTGGATGGCAGTAGTGAACTTGGTTATGATAATGGACGAGATTATTTATTGTCACGGTACTAAACCGAAGTTTCTTCAAATGATTATGTCTTATTGAAGAAAGAAATGAGTAAATTACTGATATTAAAATTATAGTCTATATAATATGAAATAGTACATCTTTCCGCTCTTATTATATAATAATCAATTCTTGATTTTTAAAAGATTATTTATTGAATTCATTTTTAGATTGTGATTAGTATTGAAGAGGTTTTCAATCTTTTAATTTCTGAACTTTTTAACTTGGTTATATGATTTGAATAAATAAACTACAATCTGAGAAATAATATATTTATGATTCCCTAATTACTAATTTCTTGCTTTCTTAGGATGTATCTATCTATCTATCCTTAACCTTGAACTTTTGACTTGCCTTAAACCTGCGTATGATCTACCGCCCTAGCTCAAGCTATCAGACTAATCAAAATGGCAAGCCTCTCATGTTTAGGCTTTAATAGGCTCAAGGTGTTTTCTGAGGAAAGCTATAGACTCACAAAAAGTATCTTATATGCCCCTGAGTGCTCGCTAAAATGTGGCTTTGTTTCCTCCACTATTCGAATGTAGTGTTGCAGTGAATATATATCATGTATAGATAGGTATAGAGAATCCGCAATATCAATAATTCCATTCATCGGATCTTTTTGTTTTTTAAAAGAAAAAAAGAAAAAAAGAAAGACGGGGATTCACAGCGCTTCAAGGTTTATGAAATATAACTAACAGCCAAGAACAAGAAAATTCTTAAATCCACTTCTAGTTAACACATCCGCTTACATTCCTAGCCATATATCTACGCAAACCGCAGCTCTGCAAACATTAAAGCCCGTCGAACCTAGACTTGAATCTATATTGATTGACAAGACCCTCAAGTTCAAACACGTACATACAAGGTAATACATCTTAGCATCTTGCCATTGTTTGAAAAAAAAATATAAGACTTATATCTTGCCCATCTTACTGCAAATCTCATTGTGTAATATAGTTTGAATTAGCAAAGTTGCCGTTGAGGCTTCAAATTTGTGGACATCGACGTATTATATGGTTTGGAGTGGGATAAAGGAAAGGATGAGAAGGGGGGAATAGAGAATGAGTGAGAAAATGCACATATATTTTTAGGATGATAGAATGAGTAGTCTTTTTCACTGACTGATGATGGTTTTCTGGATGTATGGGAGAGAGTGAATGTGTGAAGACGAGTATGCTGGAGGAATATCTGAGAAATATTTGGTAGACAGGTTAAAATACGAAACAAGATATTTCTATGTAGAGATGTTTCATATATGTTTCTAACCCTTTACAATAATAATAATGATATAATGGTCATATTGAAGTCGTGGCATATCTTGGATTGTTTTAGTAGTTGAGATGCAGAGCACAAGAATCTGGGCCAGCTGACTAAGCTGTGTTGTTCCAGTGGTTGAAAAATTAGATGATCTTTTAAGTATAATTAACTAAACTCTTTAATTGATTTGGATGTTCAACGCAGTCCAGAGTATGATACCCTAGTAAGATGGCATGCTCAGTTGCCTTTACTCAAATGTAATGCCCAACTTGCCAAAATGTTTCTGTTCCCACATATATTGATAAGCGTCCTTAAGCTCCTCCAACTTAAATACCTTTTCATCAACCACCGGCTTGATCTTCATTGCATCAATGGCCCTGTTCATATCCTCGAACAATTCCCGGCTTCCAACGGCTACACCTCTAACAATGCAGTTTTTGGTCAAAGCTTGCAAGAATGACGGCTCCTTTTCTTCTGCCTCTCCTGACAAAAATCCAATTATACTGATGACACCCTCAAATCTTACGGCATTTAAGGACTGTGCCATGGAATTAGCACCAGCAACTTCAATAACGTGCGATACACCGATGGATTGTTCAGTGAGGGATCTGGCATGCGCACCCCATTCAGGAGTGGTTCTATAGTTGATGACGTGATCGGCACCGAGCTTTTTGAGTGTTTCAGCTTTGGCATCGGAGGAGGTCGTAGCAATTACGGTTGCCCCTCCTGCTTTAGCAAATTGCAAAGCGAATATGCTAACACCACCAGTTCCTTGTGTGAGGACCACATCACCAGGTTTGAGCGGCTTTAATCCGTAGAGAGCATTCCAAGCTGTGACAGCTGCACAGGAAAGAGTGCCGGCTTCAAGGTAGGAAAGTGAAGAAGGCATTTCTACGAGCGCTTCTTCGTTAAAGACACCGTGTTGACGAAGGGTACCATCAGAGCCACCACCCAAGGCGAGTCCCAGGGTTGATGGGGTGAGCGTACCACCGTAGTGACGTGGGGAGAAAAGAGTAACGACTTTCGAGCCCGGGTTAAATCGAGATACCTTTGATCCAACAGCAAGGACTTCGCCGGCACCGTCAGAGCCGGGGATGACACCCAATCTGATAGCAGCTGGATATAGGCCCTAGAAGAAGAACTGATTAGCATCTGCCTATGAAAGAAAAGCCGCCAGGAATAATGTTAGAAGGCGCGCAGAACTTACCTTGAGCATTACCAAGTCTCTATAGTTCAACGAAGCACCGTGAAATTTGACAAGAACATCGTTGTCACCCAATGCTGGGAGTTCAGCTTGAGCATCATATTCCAAGCCATGGAATCCGTCTGTTCCTTTGATTCTCCAGACTTTGGTAGTTGTAGGGATTGTTTGGGACATGTTGATTAGATTTCAACAAATTTAGCGGACTTGAAATTTAATGGCGTAGAGATGGTGTAGAAGATGGAGTTGTAAGTGATAGAAATATGGACAGTTGCAGGTGGGAAGATAAATATATATATACGTATATGTCTTTATAACGGACGTCAGGAGGTTTTCGGCGGAGTTGCAAAGAGATGCCCCACCACAGTGACGTTTCATGAATTGATCAATAATCACTTCCATACTAAAGTCCCAATATTACTAACAATTTTTCTGTAGTCTTGCTTTTTGTAAACTAATCACGGAATTCCGGTGGTCTTACTGGTACCGGAATGGCGATGATATTAGCAATGTTGTCTCCAATAAGGTTAATGGCAGAACCGATTGGGGATTTCTCTGCGCTATGCCATGCACTGCACCGGGAGCATGAGCAGCCGTGAATGATATGCTGAAAGCATAAATTTAACACCGTCGGGATTCTTTAGTCGGCAATTCACATATTAGTAATTCCCGTGATATATCTAGATATTAGTGCTTGTAAACATGTAAATATGTAAACATGAAAAGGGAAAGGTCTGGCCAGTGAGGTCATTCTTCATCACGTGATGAGAACTGGCTGACAAATGGTGATGACAAACGGACATAGGACCAATGATGTAATCTTTTTCAACACAACACTGAACCAAAATACTCCGGACTGGGGATACTTCTAACCAATCATAAGTAAGAGACTCGGTAGATCTAACGAAGGAAGTTTGTATAGACTCCGGTAAAGAGTCGTTATCACGTGGACCATTTTTATCACGTGAAAATCTCTTATCACGTTCATCCACTAGGATGTGAACCTGGTTAACTTCGGCATCGATTATCCGTCTGTTATCATATCGGCTACAAAATGTCTGGCGATCAGTTCATTAGGTATGATTTGATAGTGAAATAACATATTCACATGCTTTGTTATGGATTTTGACACCTTTGAGGTACTACCCCTCCCCCAGTAACTCATCAAGTACCTGTTACCTAGTACCTTCCTAAGTGAGTAGGAAGGACATTAATCTCAACAAGTCTGGAATTCAATAGCTTCAGCCATGGCTATAGAGGCTTGAGTTAAGAGAAAGGAATGAAATTGCTATTAATAAAGGGATGAGTTTTGGGTATCAATTTCTAACCACCTTTCGAGCTCTCCAATCATCTTACCTCGTAACATCGCGGTTTAAGTATGGCGGCTGACGTTTCAGTAAGTGCCAAAGTTCGCACTGTTAAGATCAATCAACCAACATTGAGAGATGGTTCCGGGAAGGACGTTGAAAGGATGACTTACAACAATTACTAAACCTTACGAGGTTAAGAATTGCGATGGCATCATATTGACCTAGTCTGAACTAGTCCTACCTTACAATACTGCGACATTGATCTCATGTCGGCTTGAAATGCAGTATCACATCACCTCGAGTTATTCAGAGTGACACGACATACAGAGTCGTCACTCGAGTTGGTATGCCAACCCATGAATATCAGCGTCTGACCTTAAAAGATATTCCAACCTCCATTGTACAGTTCTAGCAATCTTCCTATGGGAGCATGTTTGCATCGAAAAAGCGTCTATGAAGTTCTTTTTTAGCACCTGGGTCAACACGTGTGGTGGAGAGAAAATGCATCTTACTATGTGATCCCTCCACATTTTCATCCTAGTTCCAAGTTGGAATGTACTAAGCCATACAACTGTTTCGAATCCCCCCGATATCCATTGTTCGCCATTGAAGGACCGATATGAATTTCTACATTGGTAACAATTTTCCCACCCTCCAAATCCATGTCCTGTGCGATGGAAAGATTTTGCGATTACCAGATTTTAAGGAAGCATGAAAAGAAGGATCTTCAAGTCAGCTGGTGTTTTGGGAGTGAAGCAAATCATTCAATCAAGAAACGCAAAGAACATGAAGCTGTAGAATTTTTGGTAAGAGGCTCGTTGATCTGGGGTAACAAGGTAGCAAAAGTGCGGGAACATCGGCCCATCCACCGCAGCGCTTCCTCCGCCTACAGTACAAGGTTTCACCAGAACGTGGAGAAATCGGAGATTTTCCCGTCGTTCTCATGTTTATCAGAGTATTGGTCGACTTGTTCCTTGAAAATCAATTTATCAGTACACGGGTCTAGACATTCTTTGGCTCACGATTCGATAACTTTCACGACGCACTTGGGAATTGAAAGGCTTAGCAAAAAGGGGATTCCCGGAATAGCTATCTATGGGTGAAAATGGCACGTATGTATGTCCACACCACACATCAATAACAACTTGACAAGCATTATCGCTTCAATATTAAGATTTCCACCTTGACTGCGGCGGATTTCGGCTCCTGACGAGACACGGGCCATATTGCGCTTCTCGGGTGGCTGGCTGGCTAAAGCTTCATCGTCTAACCAATAACCAATCCCTTCGATACCCTAGACACGGAGCTCGAGACGAAATGCCTACGCCATCGATATCATATCTGATCCTGGCACAGTCAAATGTCCATATCTAGCTACCGAGAATCGAAACCCCTGCTTGGAATGAGAGAAATAAATAATGTGCATAATGATACAGATCGAATATCAACTAAGGTCAACTAACTAGGAGAGCGAGGAATTACCGACTCCGAAGTTAATAAGAAAGTCAGAACTCCTGAATTTCATGGGGATGGGGAATTTCACGGGGAAAACCTAACATGGATCTCCTCGGGACTCCGCATTTTGGACAATTAACAGCTGCACCTGCATATGGCAGTTCCAATTTTTTTCAAAGACCTCGCAGCTGATTTTACGTGGAGTCTTTTTTCGATCTGGAGAAGGACAGAACCTTACAAAATTCTGTTGGAGGTGCATATTGCATGCTGCACCCCCTTTTGAAAGCCTGACGTGACCCGACTGTTACCAACCTTGGAGATGAGATAGAGTGGATTTGTGAATTGCTGTTTATTGATCACGGCTTAAAATGTGACTTTGCTTACGACCTTTTCATCCACTCAATAAAATCAAGATGGAGTTGCCAAGAAGTTGGGGTCGGGCACAAAGTCACATTGGGATTAGAGCAACATATATGAAGGTGCAAGCGAAAGCATGTGCAGACGAGCAATCTCGAATGAGGTTGAGGAACATCGGACCGTTTGGAGCTTGGAGGTTTAAGTAACCGGGGATCAAGAATTAATAATCCAACCAGAAACAGTGCTGATCGTACCACATTTTGAATCCTTTTTTTTCGGTACGTGTGTATACAGAATGTATGGAGTATAATGTCTAATGTATCATGTATGGGGGTATGGGAATCGACATGCATTCAACACTAGCTAGTACCTAACCTCGCCTAAACTAACGTGTATGTAAGATTACATTACTACATAGGTATACTATATTGTATCTATCTACACTGATAACTGAACGTGGTTTGCATGTGTCCGTAACATCGGCCTTCCCAGAGCATGTATGTATGTGTTCGGTAAGACATTGCGTATCGAATGGAATGCTGTGGTGTTGTGGTGCGTGCTGTGCTGTGCTGTGTGTGCTAAAAATTGGAAACTGCTGACCCATCAAGCCAGAATTATTAGAGATTAGAGTTAACGATTGAAGTGGAGAATCATTTGTGGTGCCCGAAGAAGATACCTCGGGCTGAAAATAGTAACTAGAGAGGGGATTTTGATGTTCCATGTACCTCACGTTAAATAATATGCGCACCATTACGATGGAACATCTTTTACATCACGGAGTACGGAGTACGGAGTACATTCAATAGATACTCACAATACCTTATTAGCATTTGCTTCTAGAAGAATGGAGACCCAAAAATTGTCCAATTTTCATTGGCGCATTAATTGTCATGATGGGGAACTGGAACACTAGGCAAAGCGTATCTATCACACTCATCACTCTCACTCATATCAATGTAAAAAAAAAAACTCTCCGTGGGAATACTCGCGCGATTGGAAATAACACAATTTCCCCAGTCATCATTTCGTTGTGGATTTATGGATCTCATTACCGCATCGTCACTAAGCTGCGCCACCTTTCTTTTGCACTCGTCTCAACTTGATGTATTTCTTTTCAAAAGGGTGTGGGAAAGGTAGATCAACAAAGGAATGGGGAAATAAGGTCTGGAGGGGGGAAGTGTTACATGTTACACGGATCATTCTTTCGTCCCAACAACAAGTAGATCTCGACCTAAAATTTCTTTAAAATTTCCCTGTTCGTTCAATGGTCAGTCATATCAACCTCGGAAAGAGGGTGTCGATTTGCGGTGACTTGGGGCCTCCCTAGATGGTCATTCATCTCGAGAAATTTCGAGGGTTATCACGCATTTCAAGGGGCATCGATTGTCTTGACAACTTCCTGAATCATTTATTCGTCCATGTGCCACACTACTACTAGAAGGCACAAGAGTTTTTATCCCTGATCCCGTATACTTGGGGGATTTTATTGCGCAAGCTCGTGGACTAGAACACTGCTAACAAAATTAAGAGCTGCCATTTGCAGGATAGAGCCGTTTTCATACCGACTTAGCTATTAGCTTGGCTTTCATCCATCCAATCCTTCTCAATCCACTGAATAGACTTTGCGGACGGCGTAAAAAGATTAAGATTTCACGAGTGTCACTCCACTACTCCATTACTCCACTAACTGACCAACAGTTACCCGAGCTATTATGGTTACTTGAACCCCTTGTCGACCTCAACCAGGTCCTGGTAGAAGGAACAACGGGATTGTGAAATTGTGAATAAAGGAAAACTAAAAGAAAAACTAAAAAAACGACAAACGATAAACGACAAAAACACAATATGCTATCATACATACATACCTACATGTACCTCGTCACTGGTTGCCTTCCTATTTATGTCAGTTATCATTGACGGAGAGATGATGTTTCAACAAATTTCATACCTTATTCATACCAACCATCAAGCATCCTTGAGAAATCAATCTTCGATTTTCAAGCTTTCGGAAAAAGTATGACCGAATAATGGAAGATGTTCGGAGGCGATGCTGCCGTGGGGTAGACCCTCCGAGACCAAAAGACAAGCATCTGCACACCCCGGATCTATTCGCTGATTTTTTCTACCCTTGTTCTCTCCACAAGTTGAGATCAAATAAACCTCAGGAAAAGAGGATGTCTCTTATCCTTTACCGGTACTTCATGCGAACCCCGCCATGTAGTTAGTTCACTAGTTCATAGGTTCATAACAGAGATATTGCCCTGTCATCTTGTGGCGTCGAAATTATTATTCTATTTTTTTTATTATTTCCTCTTTCGAGAAGGTCCTGCTGATATACTGAGAGCCAAAGCCATATCAATTCCATGCCGTATTCAGGAGATATAGATGCTCGAATCGCTCTTTGAATCATATTAGAATCTCATTTACTCCCATCTTCTCGAAAAGCCATTACCTACCAACCATTAGCTCTGTCAGCCATCATTAGAGCTTCCATCACAGCTAGATCAGAGACTTTTCGAATCAACCTTGCTCCAGCAACTTTTTTCACACCCCAATTTCAAAATGCTTTCAAACCCCCTTCATCGTTTTTCAACATATAACACCATGCCCTCAAACAACATGATGTCGGCTGGGCATTTACCATCCAATCACATGCATACTTCAGGCTTAGATGCTCTTGCTCATGGTTCACAATATGCTATCTCGCAGCTTCATCAGCAGCAAGTGGACCTTCGTCAAAACTCACAAGCTCATAGGAACACTGCTTCAAAGCATCGACAGCATCCTTATGCCATAGGAATATCTGGAAATAACGCCACATCTGCCAGGAGTACCGGAAATTCTGGACCAATCCGAAGGAGAATCAGCAGAGCATGCGATCAGTGCAACCAGCTCAGGACTAAATGTGACGGCCAAAGCCCATGCGCTCATTGCGTCGGTAAGTATTTTTATTAAGACTCGACGGATAAGGCTTATGAGAATACAGAATTTGGACTAGGATGCGAGTATATCCGTGAACGAAAGAAGCGAGGAAAAGCTTCAAGAAAAGACCTTGCACAACAAGCTGCCGCTGCCGCTGCCGCCAATGGACAAAAATCACCCACTGATCAATCGTCCGAAGAAAGATCACCAGTGGAGTCTCGCAATGATCCATCTTCCGCCACTTCCCTAACGAATGACAATGTTGAATTCCCACGACACACACCATCTAGGTCTTTGAGTCTCAACACAGCCGCAGTCGAAAAACCTTCAGCTCGTGAATTGATGAAAGGAAGAATTCGTGCCGGTAGCCTCGAAAGCCTCACCGAAATCCCATCCCAAGGACATCAGCCTCACGTTAACCGCGCAGAAGTCGATCAAATCGGGAGCCCCGGGTCCTTGCACTTACATGGCTACTCAAGCATGCACGGTTACCGCTCTACATTAAATCCCCACATGATGAACGGCAGTGGCAGTCATGCGAACTTCAACAGCGCGCAGACCGGTTATTCAGATCTACCCTATTCTATGCAGGGTCAGAGCCCGCCTAATTTTTCGGGTAATACCCAAGGTCAGTTTCGTTTAGCCGAAAGCCCTTTGACTGGTTTTCCTATGGGCTCTGATGCCCCTTCACCCGGTGGGTGGATGTCATTACCCTCCCCTTCAAACCAGTACCAACACGTGACACATCAGAACTTCAATGCACCCCTACGATATCCCGTGCTACAGCCATTGGTACCTCACCTTGGCAGTATCATACCAATACCTTTAGCTTGTGATTTACTCGAATTATATTTCGCAAGCTCGTCATCAGCTTTGATGCACCCTACCTCTCCTTACATTCTCGGATACGTCTTTCGCAAACACTCGATCCTTCACCCTACGAAACCTAGGCAATGTACACCTGCCTTACTCGCTAGTATATTATGGGTTGTGGCACAAACTAGTGACGCAGCTTTTCTAACGGCAAGTCCATCAGCTCGTGGACGAATTTGTCAAAAATTACTCGAACTTACTGTCGGTCTTCTTAAACCTCTTATTCACGGAACGAATGGAAGCAATGAATCTGCTTCTAATTTCTCTAATACAATCATTAATGGCGTGGCGTTGGGTGGTCTTGGCGTAGCGATGCCCGGTTCGGTATCTACAGATGCGCTAAATGAGACAGGTGCTTTTGGGGCAGCTGGAACTCTTGACGATGTTATAACTTATATTCATCTCGCTACTGTTGTGTCAGCTAGCGAGTACAAAGGAGCAAGTCTTCGATGGTGGAATGCAGCTTGGTCATTAGCTCGCGAACTTAAATTGGGAAGGGAGTTACCACAAAACTCAACCACGATGGCTTCCGGACAACCAAATGAAGGAGCCAATGATGTTGATGCTGATGGAGAAGATGATGATGAATTACCCCGTACTCCGGGGCAGGTAACTGAAGAAGAGAGAGAAGAGAGGAGAAGGATATGGTGGCTTTGTTACACAGTGGATAGGCACCTAGCATTGTGTTATAACAGACCACTCTTTCTGTTGGACATAGAATGCGATGGTCTTTTCCAGCCAATGGATGACATATTATGGCAGGCTGGAGAATTCTATACTGGTGATTCAAGCATTCATGTTACTTCCCCATCGGGTACTCAACGGATAAGAAGGCGTGGACCTAACTTTGAGTGTACCGGACATAGCATATTCGGATACTTCCTACCCCTCATGACGATCCTCGGTGAGATCGTAGATCTCTACCACGCCAAAAATCATCCTCGATTCGGCATCGGCTTTCGTTCTGCTCGCGAGTGGGATGATCATGCTAATGAAATCGCAAGACAATTGGATGCTTATGGTCAAAGTCTACGGGAATTTGAATCTGAACAAATCCCTCCGTTGCCCGATGACCAAAATGATCAAAACATGGAAGGCAATAATATTCAATCCTCTACAAACAACAAATCTCTCGAACATAACGATATCGGTACTCCTTCAGTTCACTCAGTTCATTCAGCTCATTCCGCTCACACCGCATCTTCAAATCATGTCTCGGAAGCTAATATTCAAACGCGCATCGTGGTGGCTTATGGTACCCATGTTATGCATGTCCTTCACATTTTATTAACGGGAAAATGGGATCCGATTTCCCTACTTGATGATAACGATCTATGGATCTCGTCGCAAAGCTTTATCAATGCGACGGGACATGCTGTTAGCGCAGCAGAAGCTATAAATAACATATTGGAATACGATCCCGGGTTGGAATTTATGCCTTTTTTCTTTGGCGTCTATTTGTTACAAGGCAGCGGTTTTG